GCAAAATAAGGTTAAAATAGAATATTCTATAGCTTGATCAATGATGTTCTAAAGTCAACCACAAAAGTACTTACAATTAGATTTATGGTTCTATAAACTATATTTATAAAAACTGATAAGATACATAGTAATTTTCACCCTCTTTTTTAGCTTCTATACCTAGTTTTAGTGGGATATAATGTGATCAATTCTATAGTTCAAAACAAGTATAAAAACGGCAAACAAAACAGTCTAAATACGTTATTTTGCCCCATATTTAAATAAATAATACTGAAAAAATTGCAGTGTTTAGTCTTTTTGTCTATATGTAAAACTACTGTGAATTATACTGTATTTATATATATATATAAATTTATATACTGTATATATCAACTGAGTAAAATACTCGTATAAGTTTTTTTTAAGAATGTTGTAGAATATTTTATTCATTCGTTCATTTATAATATGAATAAATATAATGAATATAAGAAGAGAGTATTCTCATTTTCTTTGCTTGATTAAGGACAATTTGAGAAAGAAAACATTTGATGATTGATTGAAGACTCTCGCTCTCTCTGTATGTCTGTTTTTTTCTCTCTCTCTTTTTTTCTCTCCCTCCCTCTCTCTCTCTCTCTCTCTCTCTTTCTCTCTCTCTCTTTCTTATTGGTGTTTTCTATCTTGAATTACATACAAGGACAAAAAATTCAGAAGGAAGGCTTCGTTTTAGGAGATTTAAAGATTAACAAGGGTAAGAGTTACTAGCAAGGTGAAGCATATGATTCTTTCTGAATGATAACAAGTGAATAAAAACCTATTTCTATTTTGTCAAAGGTCAATGGTAGACATTCAACTCCTCTGCTAGCAAAAAATTGCTCTTCGCCTGGGGTTTTCGTATTCTTCGTCTATCCGTACAAGAAACATGTAAACAAGGACAGAGAAAGGGAAAGAGTATGTTGAATTGAAATGGGGAGGTAAAAATCTGGTGAAAATATCTGTACTAGAAACCTTTAGTTGTAAATTATATGACACAAAGTTCGACGTTTAGGAGAGGTTTTAGTCGAGTGAACTGCTTAATGTCAATTACTAGTATTAAAAAGGGCGCACAGTCTGACAATGTTGCATTCAGTTGGTATCTTCTTTGAGATTATCAAAATAATAAGAAAATAAGGAAAATCTCCAATTATCCAGAATTCTTTCTACTAAAGAACATGAAAAATATATTCAATATTTGGAGATTCTTTCGCTTCATAACATGTTTCATCTCTATTTAAATATATAATATATAAATTTATATATGCTTCAATATATCTTACTCTTCTCTCCTTTTTATTGCTTAGCATAAAGACAAAAAAGATATCAGACCAAAGTGACTATGTGAACGTCCTATTATATTTCGAAAAGACTCTGTGGTCTGGCCTCGAAAGATTATTCTGTTGGATTTAGTCAAAAAGAGGCTTCGGATAGCTTTTTAGCTCAAGAATAACGTCAATTGGAGCACGATTTTACGTCGAAGAATGGCAGGATATTTTTTCTTGCAGTTAATGAGATATATCAAAGCATGAATTTTATTGGCATGAAAAACATGACGTTTCACAGAGAGGATGGAAAGTACCGCCTAAAGTTAATCTAAGATACTTTTATTCTTTCCAATTAAAAGTAGAATAATGACAATTGTAGCCTTCTGCAATTAAAAAGCTATACAATATGTTAAAAATGGATTACCATTCTGCTTATATATATATATATACTGTATATGTAAAGATGCTATATCAAATTACTAAGAATTATAAGAGTGTAATGCTTTTATTACTAATATATTTGTTATTTTAGTATCTTTTACATATAATACGTTTAGTTTTAACACGATATATAAAATTTTACGTAAATTATAGAAAAGTTCTACATCAATTTAATAGTAGAAAGTATAAGAAAATAAAATGTCCGATGACTAATGTTTTTAATAATAGAAAAGAATTTTTTGCATAAATTTTAATATATTAAAGCAGTTTGTTAAAGTATCTTTGACTTATTTAACAAATAAGATGCAATGGAAACTTTACTTCCCATTATGTTTCCTTTGGTATAAATAATTAATATTCACTTAAAAAAACGCCTATTCATCAACTTGAAAAGAGACTATTTTCGTAAATGGCTACAAAGATAAAGCTGTACACAGGAAAAAAACTCAACACGAAATTAGTTTAATCTATATAAAGTGTGAAACGTCTAAGTAGCATCAAACCTTAAGGGATGTGAGAATCATTTTAGATAAAGCAAGTTGATATACAGTAGATAGTGTATTCTTTATTTACTGTCGACTATGGCAATAGACTTGCAGAAATTATTAAGTGTACTGCAATTTATTTATACATTAATAATCAAAAGAAAGGAATCGAAGCTGAAATATTATTGCTTATGACAAATCGGCGGAAGAAATTGTTAAGGATCATTAAACATATTATCCTTTATAGAAAAGCCAGGAAGCCGACAATATGAATTTTAAATGAAACTTTGAGCAAATATAACTTTTCAAATGTGATGTTAAAAGCCAATTTCCCTTCTCTCTATTAATATTCAGATATTATCCCAAAATCCTTGATGGCAGCTAATAATCCTCATGAGAAACTTCTTGTTACAAAAGTAGAAATTTGAAGTTTAATTAAAGAAAATATTAGCAATTTGCAAAAGTCAATAGATTTAATGAAAAGTCTTTGATTACATTACATGCCAATTTATGTTTGCGTGAATCTATATAACATGATAGTAATCAATTCGACAGTAATTAACTCTTTATTCCACATAGTAGCTATAGTTAAAAGCAATAGCGGGATGACTATATATTCTTTTAATTCTATACCTGTAAGCATTGCCTTTGTGAGGCCGACCGAACTCAAATACAAGCTTAATTTAATCACGTTTGTATATGATACGTTTGCAGCAAGTTTGTCAAACGTAAAGAGTTAATTATATATGCATATTTATATGTTTGTGTATTTGTACGTATAACCTATATTGAGATCAAATTTACCAGTTATAAGATCCAGTCTTTAGTTGCAGAATATATAATGGGTATTATATATTCTGTATTGGTGTTTGTACACAGTATTTTCCAAAATAATAATCAAAGTATCTAGGAAGGAAGAACAAAGCCTTTGGAGTTTCTTATTTCTTTCTCTCTCCATCTCTCTATCCCTTTCTCACGCTCTATATATAAAAGAAAGAGAAAATAAAGGGAAAACAGATACTTAACAACTTAAATAGATAATTCTCTACGAATTATTCTCAATTATTAAGAAAACGTCATACATTTCCTCCACCACCCATACTCTTTCTCTCTCTCTCTCTCTCTCTCCTCTTGGTTTCTCCCCCTCTAAGCTTTTATAGATTTTTTTCAATAAATTTTATAAACAGTTCGACGAGAAAAGCCCTTCTTCCGATCATTAATCGCCAGCATCGAACTAAAAGCTTTGTTTCTTTCAAGTCAATTAAACCTTTTTGCAGAGACTTTGCCAAATATCAATTTTATATAGAAAATAAAGAAAAGAGGAGGGGGTAAGTAAAGAAAGAAATTATTCATGTATTCTATCTTCTATTATCATATTTTTTGTTAACATATACAATTCTGAATAATCGATTTGATACGAAAAATAATTATATTTACTATGCATAAGCGCTAACATCTACACTATCAACTATAGCTTCACCTTTTTGTATTTATGATTATATTTACACTAATGGAACGTGTTACATGTAAAGAGCTCATGATATTTAGCTACTTTCACTATTAGTATATTTAGATATATATGTATTGAGCGCGGGATACTCTTGGTATGGTGTTCCCGTAATTATATAAACGTTACTTAAATACTGTATATACATGGTTTATGCACGCATACAGTATATGCCATGCACTTCTGAGTAAAGATGAAAGGAACAAAAGAAAAATGAGATAGAGAGAGAGAGAGAGAGAGAGAGAGAGAGAGAGAGAGAGAGAGAGAGAAGGAGGAAGAGGGAAAGAGGATCAAAACGGTTTGTTCTCCCAACTGTATAGGACATCATTAAGATTCGTTTAATTGTCGACTCTTCAAAAATACTAGTATGCCATAGTTTTATTATGTTTTTTTTCTACTATTCATCTTCTCAATAAGTGAATTAATAGTAGTTAATGAATTTTTTCGGGTCTCCATCAACCTAATTTAGCAGAAGTTATATACAGAATACTAAATACATAAGTTCAGTAGTGGTTTGACACAATTTCGTGGGATTATACTCTTATTTATATTTTTCATTGTTCTTTCTGTATAAAGTTTTCAAACAATAAGCAATTACATTGTACTAGATATTAATGACATCTGTTGGGATACGAAACAACCGCGTGATATATAATCGTTTAAATGTGATTCTCGAAACAAGTCAACCAAACACGAGATATATTCAGTTCACTGAGCGTAAAATGATAAAAGTTTCATATCTCTCAGATACTGAAAGACTTTTGAAATTTAATCTGGTTAGGAACAAAGTCAATCTCTTATTGAATAGTGATTGATAATTTGTAGGTTTCACTAGATTTTATTTCACAGATTTCTCAATAAAACATATAACTGTAGAAATCAAAAGCACAATCTGTATTTAATTATGTTTATATTACTCTGTATATTGCCATAAAAAAATATTTTTATTTATAGTAACTACAACGTCAATTCGACAAATTGCCCTATTATCACTCGCCGAATTATTATTTTCCTCTTTCAGAAAATATTTATAGCTTAATTCTTTTTTTAATCTATTACAAAGTGTCTAAGAAAATAGAATGTAACATATTATATTAAATCAGTGTTTCAGTTAAGAGCTTAATATGGAAAAACTCTCATTCAAATATATTTTAACCCGCCTTATTTTCGTATTTTTTTCCTGGTTGTAAAATTTATTATTACGAATAAAAGAAGTGTTTGAGTACTTGCTGATACTGTTAATTATAAAATATGTTAAACGTCTAAATTTTACGATAATAGGTTCAACTTAGCAGGCGAGCACCACAAGATTAAACCTGATATATTTTGGTTTAGTACTTCCGGTTGTAGAAAAATTCACTTTTTAGTGTTATTTAAAAGAGTCTAGGGTTTAATAAATCTCTCTATAATGTCAAAGAATACGTCTCAATCTCTTTTTCGAAAAGTTGATGTTGATAAGTACACAAATGAGACTTATGAGGATGATACGACCGCTGATGGAGGCGTTCAACAAGGTCCTGATCAAAACCAAGTGTTCTCTTTACTACAATCGTAAGTTCCTTTTCAAATATATATGCAAACAATTTTAATTTTAAATTAATAAAATTCTTGTCTATTTTAAATAGAAATTCTAATTTAGAGGCACTACGTTACATCCTGGCCAACGCCCCAGTGATGGTTAAGAGTCAGGCTGTCAAAGATGCTGCACTCCAGTTAGCAATGAAAGTCTTAACCTCTTTTAAATCTATGGAAATCGAACGTGCCGTAAAATCTTTAGAGAGAACTGAATTGGACATGCTAATGAAATATATTTATCGTGGTTTCGAATACCCAGTGGAAAACAGTAGTGCACAATTGCTTGTTTGGCACGAGAAAGTCTTCCAAGTCGGTGGAACTGGGTGTATTCTAAGAGTTTTGACAGATAGAAAACGCGTATAGAATGAATATGTTTTTTTTTTTATTACTATGTTACTTGGGGTTTCTCAATCGCTTCAATTTCTCTACCGATGATTCATATTTTTCAATATCTCTATAGACGTTAATCATTCGGACATATCAATTTATTCGTGCATCTCTTGATTAATTTGAAAAAAGAAAGAAAACAATATTTCTCTGTTTTTTCCTCTTCCCACAAAAAAAAACAAGAATTGTTGTTTTCTTTTTTTTAATGTATATTTTTAATGGATTACAACAAATAACATTACAGAAAAGAGAATATTTATAATTATATGTATATAAAGAAAACCAAATAAAAGATAGTAAAGTTAGACAGAAATGGTAGTTGAGGGAAACTTATTTTTACTTGTCGAAAACGACTTTAGTAGGCTTAATAGATTTACATTAATTTTCTAATATGGGAATCAGTGCCTTTACTGAGTAGTCAAATAGGAATACAATATTATAATAATGTAACGCGATCCGCCAAAACTGTATGTAGTAAAAAAAACTTTTTGTTTAAGATTCTTATTTCTTACTTCCTTCTTCAGACATTTGCTCGTAAATCTATGAGTTAAATAAGTAATTATAACCTTAATATATTAACATATTATTTGCCTAATGACTTAGAAATTACCTGTACGTAACTTTCAGATAGAGTAATCATTTGAGGTAGAATTTCTTTAACCATTAAATCTTGCATTTCATACCATTTGCCAGTACCCTAAAATGATAATAAAATGAAACAACAATTACTTAATGCAATATAATGTGTTATATAAAAAAAGAAACAATACCTTATGAAGAATATAGCATTTATAAATTCCACTACCAGGCTCTCCTTCGTGAACAATATTTGCGATAAGATTATAACTTGTTACTTTATGTTTAGCACGAACTTCTGGCAATAGAAGTTCACCAAAATCTATATTTTTAACGGGGAAATTAACAATTGTCGGATTCTTCTCCTTTAAGAACATATTCTTTGTAAAACGCTATTAAAATAAATTGGTATAATAAAGAATTATAAACATGTTTGTAACAATAAATACATTACCTTCATATATAGTATTATATAAGGTGGTAATTTAGTTATTTCGTATCTTTTCATATAAAGGTCCTTGTAGGTTTTATGCTCAGTTTCCGTTATACCATTGAATTTATTCAAAACTTGATAAATTGGTACTTGAGGTATAATATTTTCTCTTTGCTCATCAGGGTATAGGGGTGGAGGTGGAAGGTCGCAAGTTAAGTATAAGAATTGACTTTCTTCACACATCACTATATAATAATATTTAATGATATATGGTGTAAAAGTTAAAAAAGTAATTATATTCAAACCTTGATATTCTTCGCACTGTAAAAGTCTTTCCTTCTCCGATTCTTTCTACATTATCAATATTATTATTATCGACAAATCTTATCAAGTAATTACATCTAATTGTTAAGATATAATACTTTTTAATACATAAATTATAAAGCTTACTAAATCAACTGCTGGTAATTTTCTCGAATAGACCCGCATCTTTCCACGAAAAGTCTGATTAATTATACTACTGCTTAATTTCTTAGAACCGTTTAAAGCTCCATGTAAAGAGTTCAATAGCCAAGACAATACTTCAATACAATCACCTGAAAGTGAATTCGTCAATTTTAATTTTATACGCAATGCTATATTTATGATTGAAGGGATAATCGATTAGATAATTGTCGAATACCTTGAACAGTAATCTGAAATTTCTTTTTACTACATAAGACAATAGCCTGCAGCATTTCGTGAGGACTAACGTGAGCTTTAAAATTTCTAGGATTCCATAGCTTTCGAATCAGTTCACCGAATCTCTGTAAAAAAAATTAACATGCGTGGGAGAGCACGCATCGTGTGTACCAAATATATTAAATAGTATATAGTTAAAAGAAGTTTATATTTTGTCAATAGTGCTTTTTCCCTAAATAGTAGCTAATTTAACTAACCTGGACAATAAAAAAAAGAATGTCTCCGGGAGGCCTTTTCGTGTCCTTATAGTTCTCTTCGAAGAGAAAGTAACGTCTAAGTGGTTGCACGTGTGAGAGTGCCTTCAAAAAAAATGCGTTAAGAATTTTGAAAATTGAAAATACTAATAGTAAAAGTAACTAATTCGTTAATTGAAAAAACCTGTAAAATAACGTTGCAGTAATCATTAGCTTTAATGTTGTTTAATCCAACTATTCCAGGTAAATACGTTGTTCCATCGTAAGCTCTGGAGGGCATGTCAGTTAAATCAATAACTTCTAAATTCTTTTTTGGATAGGTTGGATTCAAGACGTACTAAAGAGGGGAAAATATGTAATTATTCTATATTTATTAAGAAATAAAACAAAATTTATTATTTACTACAATATCCTCTAAAGATTGGTCGATAATTTGATAATTATCTGGTAAGCAGTAAAATTTTGTTGTGGCTAGGTTCAAGAAAACGTGATGGCCTTCTTGAACGCTATGTGTGTAGGCATGCGATTTCTGTCCCCGTCCTTAATATTTAAAAGGAAAAATGCGGATAATTAAAAGCAAATAAGGCGATAAAGGTCAAGAAACTCGTACCCTGAAAGTATTTTCCACAAACTAGACACGCATAAACATTCAAGTTGGACAATGATACCGAACATAACTTTTCAAAATCAAAATCCAATACTGAGCGGTTTATAGTATCTAAATACGGGCAGGATCTACTTCTTTTGTCTTGCGGTTCGTCTGTAAAAGTATCATATTATAAAGTATACTATTCTATTTCAAATACGATTTAAAAGAACTAGTCAAAATTTAGCAAATATACGACTAACTGGCTAATTTAGCAAGAATTGCAATCTAAAACCCCTAAAAAAATATACTTAAAAGAAACTTTTATAAAAATCTGTGAAACCTGAATAAGATTTTTGTTCTATTTCCCTCTTTGGTACTTTTTTGGCCGGCGCATCCATAGCGTCGTTTAAAAAGTCAGTAGCGACGTCTGTTGTAGAAAAAAGTAGTTGGACAAATTGATAGCGATAGATGGAGTATTCAATAACTTGGTTTAATCTGGTGAAAAAAGATTAGTAATTATTAACTTAATGTTTATAGGACTTGGGAGAGCAATACATAGTCTAAATGCAATATTAGTATTTAAAGGGTCTGAAAAATTGATGAGCTTCATTAAAAGAAAAAGAAAAGCCCCCGCATCTTCCTCCCTTGTATTTCCTCCTTTTCAATCTTTATAAAGTTGAATTATATTAAATTTAAAGGTAAACCAACTTTTCTATATAGCGCTAATGTAACTTCTTTCGTAGTTATTGTTTAAATAATAACTACTTGAACGTAGATTCTATATTAATATATAGAAATAATAAGGATAGATAGATAGATATTTATGCCATAAATGGATAATTAATTATAAAACATTCATGTCTATTATGTGTTTATTCCTTCTGATAAATATATAGTCTGTTAGGCCTAAAACAAAAATCTTATTCCACTTAACCCTAGATACTTTTATACAAAAAATTAAAAAAAAAAGTTTACTTACCAACTGCAGTAAGTACTTTTATTTTGTTTTGTTCTTTTTTTTAGGGGAGGTGATTGGGGGAGTGGGAGTGGGAAGCAGAGGGAAGGTCCCGAGGAAGAGAGAGAGAGAGTGTGTGTGTGTGTGTGTGTGTGTGGGATAGGAGGGAAAAGCAAATTAACTAAGAATATTCTTTAAAAAGTCACATTTCTACTTTTTGTTACCTATTCTTTTCTTTCTTTTCTCTTTCCTTTTTTATCTTCCTTTGTTTTTTACTTGAAAACGTATTAGAATAACTAAAAACAAAAACAAAAAAAAAAAACAAAAGAAAACAGAGAATAGGAATTAGAATGAAAATAACATCAGTTTTTTATGTTTTCTAGTTAAAAATTTGATGTGTAGCGTCTAACAAACACATTCTTTTCATTTAAAACGACATTTTCAGGATTCTTTGTAATACGAGTCGTTGGAACGTTAATAATTAAGTAAAATTTTCTTTTTTTTTTTTTGTATTTTCTATAATAATTTCCCTCTAAAGGTATTTGTACTTGTAATAAATTGGATAACTTTACTAACGATGTCTATCGAGTTTAAGAATCCGAAATTGTTCTATTGATCTCCTAATGTAACATAGGCCGAAGCGAAATACGTAGGCTGAAATTCCAATATACACCATATATTAATATATTCCAGAGGCAAAGGATCTATATATAATGAAATATTAATAAATCTATATATAATATAAGCGTATTATTTCTCTAGAAAATTTTATTTTCGACGTTAACTGGGCTATAAAGGTGGCGATAGGAAGGAATGACCAGTTTAACAATATTATTCTGTTCATCTTAATGACTATATCGATATTATAGGCTTAATAAGACAATTCACGGGATAATGTTTAACCTCAAGAAAGCCATGTTTTTCTTTAATGAATGTCTCTAACGTCCCCAAACGATGCCACTGCTATTACGCAATAATTAAAGTATAGTCAATTAGATACTGTTTAGCGCCATCTGTAGAAATGATACAGGTGACTATCACGTCTTCGGTTAAAAAATAAAGGACACCTTTTTTTTATTAGTAATATTGTATTGAATCACGTCCGGGAAATCTAAAATTGATTGTTAACTGGAGAAAAAGTTTCTTTTTTGGTTAATTAAGTCGGAGTTTTCAAGATTAAAAAAATTCCCGAATAGCATCGACCCGCAAAAACCGCATCAATTTTGCAGACGACCGACACAATACAACGTTCTACGACGCGTTGGAACACGAATACGTCAGTCAATTTTCGATTCTTTCATTTTTCCTTCCAAAGTCACGTGACACTGTACACGCTCTTTTTACAGTTGGCCACTTAGTTGTTACTCAGTTATTGGAAAGTGAGCCCCTCTAAACTAACAGATGCGATAGTAAAGCGAAAAGAGAAGGATTTCTAAAAAGTTTAACTAATCTTGAGATATCATTGCTCGAGGAGGGCGGCGAACCGTGACGTTGCGCATGCGCATTGGGCTCGTTTCCTTTTGTACCATCGCGCATTTTCTTGTTGGCGCCGTTCAAGCATCATGACGCGACGAAAGCAAGCCAATCCCAAATTTAGAGGTATGTATACTGTTGTCATCAAACGTCTATATCAGTTTTGTGTCGAGATGTATTTTTGTACTACTAGAGAAATCTTTAATTTTATATTTGCCTGTTCAAGCTGTTTGAACGGCGAAGAGCGCGATGTAGACCATATGATTTGATACGGTCGAAACTTCTTAATTAATAATATTAAGTTACATAATATCGATTGTTTAGGCGATTTCAACGTTTAATTTGTTTGGCTACTTGCCAAATAACTACCTCATCATTAGGCCTACTTAGCGAGCAGTGTCTGGTGAAAAGATGCTTGAATAGTTTAGAAGTTGAAATTTTTAAGTATGAGTAAAAAAAAAAACTACATTTTTTTAACAAAACCTAAAATAAGAAAATAGAATAAGAAGAGACTATATAGATGTATTGAAGTTGCCAAGCAGCGAGGCGAGTTAGAACATGATGTGAAAGGGCTTATTCTGAATATAGCCATCGATCCGTTTGCGCATTGACATCGCCTGTGCCCGGGCACGTTTTTGCGTTAGGGGCGATTCGAATGCAGAGTGAAGATTATTTTCTTTTCTTTACTCTTTTTTTTCTTTTCTTTCTATCTCTCTATCTCTCTTTCATTCCTCCACTTAATATTGTATAGTTATATATATATATATATATATATATATTTGGTTTAGTCATTCCTATTAGATATATATGTATTAGTATATAGAGTTTTAAATCTTTTTTCTTCCTACATTCCTTAGTATCGTAATTTTTATTTTACGTTCCTGTCTGTACCTTGTTCCTATTTATCCTTTAGGTTTCTTTGACGTTTATACCTTTCTCTCTCAATCTTTTGTCTGGTTCGAACATTTTCGAGTAAAGGCAACAAAAAGCCGATAAATTTTACCAGAGCGCAGCATCAGGCGTAAAAAGAAGGTTTTCAAAAGGCCTTATTCATCAATCGCTTGAATAGAAAATGAAAAATAGAGAAGGTTTTTATGAAAGCATCTTTGACGTAGCCGAAGTCGTGTTCTCTCTTTTCTTACTATTTCTTACCCTTTTTCAATATGATGACGGATGCTGCGCGTTCCTTTGAATCGCCAAAATAGGCCTATAGTTTCATTCTATTTTTTTTTACAAGATGCTTTTTTGTGTATTAGCAAGTGGTACTGAGTAGAAACGAAAAATAAGTATGAAACAGTACGCGTGTTCACCTTGTTTGATACAGTATTTTCGTTTCATAAAAAATCGTTAAATTGTATTTACAACCAGAAGAAGGAAAGTCCTATATGTAGGGGGCTTATCTAATAATCAAGTAATGTGAGCTTTTTGTTGGGGATTTGTAAAGACGTATCATTAGCCTATGAGCTTAAATCTTTGACACTAAAAAAAATACCCGTTAAAGGAATGATGAGAATTTATTTTAATTCTCCCCGCTTTTGTATACATACCCTTCAAGAAGCCGCCATAAAATTTATGCGGATGAGATATGGGGTTTGATGTCAAATTTTTTCAAGTACGCCTATAAAAAGTCCCTTTTTAATACAAAGGCCTAAATTTTACAGTCATTTTGATACAGTTGGATACTTTTCTATCACTTTCTTTGCCACCCTTCTCGTCTTCTTCAATTTGGAAAAAAAAATTACAAGCAAAAATTATAATGCACTTGTCTTTTAAGCAATACTTGATTGTTTAATTATGACATTGTCTAATTACTTCGTACTTTTCTCTATAACGAGTTTGAACGTAGTTATTTAAATAAAAATTTACAATGACTTATAAAAATATCTTCTTACGTCATTTTTTCCTTCTCTGGTGATAGAAAAAGACAGATTTAACAATCGAAATTTGTCATTGTTGCTATTTTAATACAAAACTATAAAACCACCTTGGCCAATGTGTATTTGGGAGAAATGGATGGAAAGAGTAAATTCTACTTTCTTTCGTTAAAAATTTTTGTCTAGTTATTATTCATAACTTTCATAAGATGGACACTCGAAACTTTATATACGAAAATAAAGAAACTAGAAAAAGAAGAATTCTATTGTTGATAGAGAAAAAGTAATTCTTGAATAGTCCTTACTAAATATATTGTAATGATTGCGTTATATATCTTCTCAATATTTCTATCCTTTCCTCTTGCTTTTTGCCCTATTTCTTTTTTTTTTATTGTTCTTTCGCAAAAATCAATTGATTCTTCAATGAAAAATAATGATAAAAAATTTTCTACGCCTCCGCTTGAATATATCCATCAAAAATCTATTTTTAGTATATATCCTCTGTATTTCACGATTTAATAATAGGCTTGTAACACATTTGATTCACGACTTGGTTTCATCGGTTGAACTGTAGCACCCCTTTTCACTTCTCTTTTCTTAAGAAATTGGTAATCGGCACATGTTGACTATGATTAAAGGTCAATTTTTAAAACTATAAGAAGAGGAAAGAGCGGAGGTAGCTTTCTAACAGAATAGGGTTGAAAATAAATTATTCTCTAAGAAAAATAGGAGACGTAAAAAGATATAAAAGAGAGAGAGAGAGAAAGAGAGAGAAAGAGACCTATCGATTATAATTTGGGCTTTCTTTCGCTTGTTAGATGGAAGCGGCTCGGCCGCGCCCGTAGTTAGGAATTCACTTTATGAAGTTGTGCGATTTCTATGGGCCTATTCATATAGAAGGAGAAGGGTGCGATAGGAAAGCAAACATGTTTGAACAGGATGAAGAAGTCGGGAGATTCTTGATAGCTTTATATAGCAATTCAATGTTGTATTCAAGTCTGACTTTTTTGATAAGCCTATTTATTAAACACTTGGAAGATTTACAGAAAGCTTATTGCAAATATAAGCCCTTTAAAAAAGAGATGCTGCCGCATTGCAGCCGAGAATGAAGAGCTCTAGGCCTAAATTCCCTTTGTTCGCATTAAAATATTGTCCAATAGAACAGCTACGGACAGAGCGTTCAAAATTAATAGGCTGAATAATATAGCCTATTTAAGAGACTTGAGAGTTTTGATTTCTTAAAATTGAACTTTGATATCTTGAACTAGAACAAAAATTAATCAGGATGAGATAGCACATACGGTAACAACACAAAGTCAGCAATTCCCAAGATGCTGCCCGCCGTTCAAGCGTTTGAAACTTGTTCATACGCGTCGCGGCCGCCGTCTAATTATTGATAAGCGGAGAACAAACGAGTCTATTGACGAGCGGGACTAGGGAAAAGAGCATCCCTATACGGCTGAACAATACAACTCAAATTGACGCATTGTCGGAACGCATCCGCCCTTTGTTTCGTTCAATACAAACGACGAAACATTGAACGACGCCTGTCCATACTCGTCTCATTCCACAGCGTCTAATAGTAGACGCTACCCCGCGGGAAAAATTGGATGCTGTCGTCATGGAGTTGAATCGATCCGCTTCGGTGGCGTTTAGCATCTCTAGTTATCCCTGATTTCGCCTACTTGTTTATGCAAACAGGTTGATTTGAATTTTATGGAGGTCGAATAGGATTAGGTCGGGATTGTTATAGGCTTGGCGGGAAAGTACTGAATAAATCTGATGCAAAGCTGTTACCCTACACTGTTCAACAAAGCCTTAAGTGTTCAAACACAACATCCTGTTGAATATAAAATTCGACCGCGCTTATTATTCATCGTATACGTGTGACGAGAATTGGCTTTTTGAACAGCACAAGTGATGCTGTATCGATTTCTTATCGTAGTTTATTTTTATACTATTTGTTGTCCGATAAGGGAACCCTATTACACCGAATATGTTTCTCAATTTTCAGAGGAAACACGTGAGACCACGTGATCGTTTGTTACTCTTTGATCAGTATCTTTAACCTAAAATGACATCCTTCGAATATGGCATGTTCGTGGTAAAAAGTGTTTTATTGGATTGTCATATTTTGATGGCACTTGTTGCCACAAAGAATTTTTACCCTTGTAGTTTTTATGGCGTTAATCGGTGTCAAGATTCATTCCCTTTAATTATGCATTATATCGCCGATCCTTATAACGGGAAATCGTGAAATGATTGAGGCTTTTTCTTTCCCATTTCTTTAAGCAACGCTTTTGAACGGAGTTAACTGTACTTTACTTTTGCTGCTAACCGGATGAACCTTTCTTTTCATTTTCAAATCTTTGAATATGACCTACTGCTTTAACAAAAAAAAGTCTAATCTGGTTCCCCGATGCTATTCAGTTGCCCAGGAAACAAAGTATGACGTGTGACTCTTTTAGGTATTGAATAACGAAGAAAAGGGCGGCTTGAATAAGACGGTAGGAGTTACGTGAGAAAAATGTAAAAAATTTCAATATAATATTGAACAACTTCCAAAGTCTCTTAAAGAGCTTTCGAGGGATGGGTATTGGTTTTCAAAATGGCGATTTAAGCGGGGGGCGGCGATCACAATGATGAAAAAAGTATCAGGCCTAATGAGTCACGTGACGTCTTGGAACACCTGAGTATATAAATATTCGACTTTCGTGCATTCATCGATGGATGCTTCTATACTGCCTTAGCGTTCTCTGAATTGATTTCGAATTTCCTGCTTCATTGTCTTGAGCGCTTTTATCGACGGTTTGTGTCACGTGACTATTCGGCTGATAAACCGTATCGCTAGACACTTTCGGACGCGATGGCGATAACGGTAGACCGCAGCGCAACAGGTGTGGGGACCTGCTTTTTTTTTGTTCATTGTTTATTTATCATTTTGGTAATCGATTAAAAAAACCTTGTTTGTCAACAGATTTAAGGCGCGAACAAGCTGAACAGACATACGACGATGAACAGGTAAATAATTTATTGTTTATAACAACGATGTAGCTATAGCATCTCGCGATCCGAAACAGTAGACAGCTGCAACAAAAAACTATATATATATTGCACACACATACATACATTTACCACACACAATGATAATTACGTGAACAGTGTGGAACTTGCGAGAATAAAATTGAAAGGAAAAAGAGCGCACTTTTGCGACGTCATCGATTTTCGAACGCTTCGGGAAAGAAACGTCGTGTCCTTGACCTCTTCGGCCGGCAGTTTCTTTTTCACGCTATCGATTTCGAATAGTTTCGAGATGTAATATACCAATCGAAATCGACCTTGACCTTTTCTTTTTCGAACCGGGATGCTTTATTGAACCGACTTTTTTTTTCTTTTTTTTTTTTACTATACATATTGAAAGCTATAGTAGTCACACAAGCATATGTATAAATTAGAGTTTATATATAGTCAAGAACAAGTGGATCGTACGGATGGTGGTAGATTGTTTATTGCGTTTCGTGTAATAGATTTGTGTTAGTAATATGATAAGGTTTACGTACATTCTACCGTATCAATTTTAGGAGATACAAAATAGGAGATGGCCGCTATATTTCTTTTTTATCCTTATCCTTTATGTTAAGAATAAAGCGTCTTATGAATTATTCCTTCCTCTCCTAGTTGCATTGGATGGCAACAACAAAAAAAAAGAGTCCATAAATATTTTCTTAGCTCCGGATCGAGCGGGGAGTGGTGACTAGAGGGGCAGGTTAAACAGGACCTTTAAAAACTTGTCATATTTAGTTGGAGGAGAGGCGGAAAATCGGGTCAAATAGGGTCAAGTTGCTCGTTATTATCTCTTTAGAAAAAATCAAGTAACAGACGAAATTCTACAAAGGTTATATAAACAGACAAGCAAAAACATGTGTCAATTTCTTGTCTACTTCTTTGTAGTCTCATAGCTGTTCATTCTATAATTTATACACGTTATTTCCACCTCATTAGACGGCCTAGTAAGAGTGGCCACCTTTACCAGTTCTTTTTTTATTCTATCTAGTACACAAAATAAAGAATAACTCATCAACAGTTATATCTCATCTATTAGCTTACTATCTGTCCTAGAATATTCAAAATAATAATTTGAAAAGAAATAGGTCACTTTGACATCGGTCTCGGACTTTTAGACTTTTATAGCTGACCATCCCAAAAAAAAGTGAAGTACTCTAAATTTATAATTTTTATTTGCTCTCTATCGTCACATCTTTCGTTTCTTTTCTATTTATTTATTTGAATATTTTGGAGTAATAAATTATAAAACAAAAAAGGAAGAGAAAATGTCTATCCGTTTTGAAGATTACTCTATTTTTACGTTTATCATTTTATTCTTCTAAATATTTAGAAATTTGTCGAATATAAGTAAGGTTAACCAATAAGATGAACAACAATAATTAGTATATTGAATATATAAGGAAAGCAATATCAAAAAGAATTTAGGGAAATTGTAAAAGAAAAAAACAAAAAGTTGAAGAATTCTATTCTTTGGACGAATATACTTCATGTTTATAGATATCAATTAAATCTTTAACGCAATTATGATAATCGGAAATGAAATAAAATGAAAAAAAGAAGATTTTTCACATTTAATATTGAATATGAAGATGAATCATTAAAATATGAATAAAGTTAAAGAAAATAAATTATAGAGAGACGAATATAATGATTAGATAGATAATAGAATTTGTTTTTTGTTTCCTTTTCATAGATTATTAATCAAACTAAGTTTTTTCAATTTAATTGTTTTTGAACTTGAACTTTTTCCATAAAGCTTAAAATAATGATGTAAGGACAGATTATGACGTGCAAAATGTTGATATTTATATATTGACACTTTGGACTTTAGTAGTGCGATAGTATAGTTCCTCTAAAATTGATAAGGAGGAGACAAAATAGTATGTGCAATTGAATGTCAATTCGTTAGAGGGCGTCGTCAGCTCTATAAAAAAGAAATAGTTAAGATTGAACATCTAGGTTTAGCGAAGAAGTCTGAATGCATTGTTTCAACTTCTTAAAAGAACAAAAGTCGTCAAAAGGATTACAGAACTTTGAACTTAGCCCAGATGTCATAATTGTTGCTACACGTGCCGTTCAGATAAATGAAAAGAGGGTATGTTAATATTCCATCTATTGTTTAATACATCTGGATAGCATAGGATTTAATGCATAAATAATGGCCATCAACATAATAGAAACAAATTAGGACTAGCGTAAATTAATAGTACTTCAGAAGTAGTTTTAACTGCCATTAGTTTTTATTTTTATGGTAAAAAAAGAGCCACCTAAACGGAGCATCATTTGATGAATAACTTAAATATTACCAAGAAGAAACAAACAGATCCCAATTTACGAGCTTATTGTTTAAGTACAGTAGTGATACAATCAAAGAATAATGTCTATACAGTTTGTTTATTTATTGTATTTGTTGCGTATGTAAAATGTTTTGGATAGTCGTTTCTTAAGTTAGCTTTCTTTAACATTGAATTTGAAAACTTTCCCTATTCGATTCTTTTTCTCTCTGTTTTTTTTCTTTTTGTTATAACAATCTAAATGGGCCATAAAGCCCTGTACCAGCTGGAAAAAAAAAGAATTTCTTTACATAACGTTATGCAACTTTGACAATATGTCTTAAGGATTAGATTTTTTTTTCCACTTGAAGAATTCCTTTAAGTTTAGGGGTGTTACAGAAGAGGGCTAGAAACGCTTTTGAACAATTCCGATACTGAAAAATTTCTAGTTTTAATAACTCTGAGGGGCGTTTCCGAGTAACATTCTTCTCGTTTCCTGCTCAGTTGATTATTTCAACAGAGCTAATTGATTGCCTATTTTTTCGCCGAAAAACTATTTTTAAGCCATCAGAATATCCTTTAAATGATCATAAAACTTATAGAAAATAGTCTTCATATGTTTATTCAAAATATAATAATCAAAATAAAACATTTGCTTAAATTAATCATGTTGAAAATAGCTATAGAATAGTGGTGGATGTAAGCTTTTCTCACGGTTGTAGTCCTACAGTATGCGGCATGTTAGACGCGTAGCTAAGTGTCCACTGTTACAAAGCAATATGTAAAGATTTTAAGCCTTTTTAATGTAATTCCTTTTGTCATCTTTTTTACTATTGAAGCTACCTCAGTAATAAGTTAAAATTATCGTAAAATATGTAGGAGTTATACAGATCTTGTGTAGTGTTGGATTATTAATCAGTTAAAGATCCGATTTATTCTCGTTCAGTTTTTGATTCTATACGGTCTTTACTTATAATGCGACGAATAATACTTATTCTCTTTCTCTCTCTCCCCAACACCCCCCACCTTTTTTGCCCGCTTCTCTCTTCTTTCACTACACCCACCTTCGCCTTATTCTATATTTTAATTCCGTCTTTTCTCTAGTCGCCCTGTGTAATAAAGAATACTAATAATAATAACAAATAAAAATAATAAAAAAAAAAGAAATGTACCTTGTTCCAACTTGTACCTACGTGTTAATTTCGGCTTATAGCATATAAAATTGAATGAGATAGAGAGAGGGAAAAAAGGAGTAAGACATTTCAAGCAGGGAGTTTAAGTTTTATAGCGAGGACAATTATTGTTATTATTCTCCATATTACAGAACAAAGTTATATAAGATATCTTAATTTACCCAATTAGCTTGCTAGAACAGATATTGACAAGATGATGTACTGCCGTCTTCCCTATTAGTTAATAGTTTTCCCGATAGATGGCGTTCGAAATGTATCTAAAAATAAAAAAAAAAGGGGGGGAAAAATGTTCCAATTGTCTTAAAGAATTTTTTGCATTACGAAACATTCTCTAATAGTTTAATAAACATATTTTAAACGTTTTTCTTATTATTGATTAAACCCAACAATGTATGTAAATATTAGCTGATGCTTTTCTATCTATGTAGAGAGAATGAAGCATAACAGTAGCTTCTAAACATTTTAATGTGGACAACAAAGGTTTAGATGACGTCATGTACCGGTTTATTTTTTTTTGAATGCAAGTGCACGAGGACTAATTAGGACTTACTAATAGAAGTTTCTTTTGTACTTGATTATAGATTTAGTAAAGCAGAAATCAGTATTAGATGCATGATAATTTCGGAAATGTAAAGAGCGTTTTTTAACTTTAGAGAAGGATACATTATAAGGGAAAAAAATAAAATAATCATTCATTAATAAATTGTTTCATTTCTGCTAGATGGAGGATTACAAAGGGGCCGATGATGACCTTGAGGACGACGATGACGAATTGGCTCCCTTAGTTATAGAAACTCCCAGCACAAACTCACCGCAACCATCTGAGGGTCCAGCATTTCCGGTTCCAATGGAAATTGGGGGTGATATTGATGACGATGAAGATACTTCTGCTACAGAGACGACAACTACTCCTAAACCAATGGTGAAACCGATTCGTCAACCATCGCCGAACAAATCGAGAAAAAAAGGCGACAAGATTCAACCAGTTGGAATAGCTCCCGACGGTTCCGTGCATTTCAAGTGTCCGGTATGCAGTATGGTTCTTCAATCGCAACACGATTTAACCAAGCATATCAGAACGCACAATACTATTGCGGCATCACCTGGATCAAGCAACACCTGTACAATCTGTGGCAAAGTTCTCAGTAGTCAGAGTTCTCTCGATAGACATATGCTCGTTCACTCGGGAGAAAGACCATTTCAGTGCAAGTACTGCTCCATGGCTTTTACAACCAATGGTAATATGCATCGCCATATGCGAATTCATGCTAAGGAGGGAACCGCTACAACCTCCGCCGTTAAGAAGGCCAAACGTAAATCCGAACCACAAGAATTATCTGCTGTTACTGTTAAGAAGCAGCCGAAAGTTAATCAAACTCTACCTCCCTCCCAGGAAAAACCTATTCCGTCCAAGATGACGCCAAATGTGGCGAATGAATGCCCTGTCCAAGAATGCGGAAGAAAGGCCTTTCTAACTGCCTACGGATTAGACGCTCATATGAAGACGTGCCATTCAAATTTGATTCTTCAGTGCCCCGTTTGCTTCGTTCCATGTTCGTCGAGGCGTGTTCTTTTTCAGCATGTCTCTACTACCCACGGCACTCTCCCCAAGAAGAAGATAGAACAGGATGGAACCCGTGAAGAGGTATTGTCATTCCACGAACTATCCTTCTTCGATTTCACTCATTCGAAATTTCCTCTAATCGCTAAGGTATGGTGTGATAAGAACAAGCTCGTCGAGAAGGATGATTCAGAAAAGCGTTTCGAGTGCTCAGTGTGCGATAGCCAATTCCCGAGCGAAGACACGTTGAGGATCCACAAAAATTGGCATGCTCTTGAAGGTCAGATGGCGTCCAGATGCGTCGAGTGCGATGTAGACTTCGAAGAAGCTTCAGAGTTGGACGAGCACGAGATTCGACACGTTAAGGATGCCGTATTGAAAAGAGCGGAAGTCAAGCACGATATACGCGAAGATGTCTCCCGTGAAGAGTTTCTCGCCGCTTTTGATTTGAAAGTGAACAAAGAAAATCAGAACGAGAAACAACTACAGCAAGCATCCTATATTAACAGGCTACAAAAACTGTTTGAAAGTCCGACCCAGCCCGTCAAGTCGGAGCTACATCCCGCCTTTGGTTCGCCACCTTTTCCTGCCGTCAGCCTTCTATCAGATGTTGCCAAAAAGTTCGAGTATCCGTTTCCCCAAGGAAGCCCTTCACCCGTTAAAGATGAAACTCCCCGTCCATACGTATGCCGATTATGCAGGATTAATTTTTCTTCTAAAAGTAATGTTGAAAAACATCTTCAGACTAAACACGGAGTTCTGGTGAAGGACGAAATCGAGACGGCCATCTCCTGCTTCTCCCCGACGCATCTTACCCATCCCAATTCCGCCAACACTCTTCCCCAGATAACAACCCCTAATTCGAAATCATCCGTTCGCTTCGAGTGCCGTCTTTGCAACGCTTATTACGATAGAAGAGCCGATTGTGTCCGACACGTAACTCAACAACATTCTAACGTGCCTTGTGAAATTATTGATACTCAAATTGCTCAAGTTCCAGTCACCCAACAGGAGACGCCAATTGATTTAAGCGTAAGACGAAATCGTAAGAATTCCTCGCCCGTTAGAAGTGGAACAAACTTGACACATTTCTGCGAAATATGTCGAGCAGGTTTTACAGATGTTGAAGATCTTCAGCGTCATGTTCAGGCTAAGCATGAGGATAAGGAGATCCTAATGAGCGCTTTCGTTAAAGAAAAACTTCGCGAGAGGTTGGAAGTTAACAACAACACTGAGTTTTTTATGAGAACGAAAAAGAACTCATATTCAGATTCTCCACATAAACATGTATGCCCACATTGCTTCAGGGCATTCCCTTGGGAATCATCATTAAAGCGCCATGTGCTTACTCACACCGGCCAAAAGCCGTTCAAGTGCCCATGTTGTAGCGTGTACTTTTCAACAAAATCGAATAGAGAACGTCACGTAGCAAGAAAGCACGGTTTAGACGTTCAAGATAGGGTTACGAAAATGCTGATGGAATTAGCCCATGCATGCTCATATTGTACACGCTCACCACAGCGTTTCGCAACAAGCGAACAGCTAATCGCTCATCATACACTTTACCATGCGGATAAACCTCTTCCAGAGGAAGCTCAAGCTAGATCTTATCAAGATGAAGACGATGATGCCGATGTTAGCTCCAGAAGTACGTCGCCTGAGGCTGCTTCAACTTCTGCCGAATGCGGAAAATGCGGGGTTGTTTTGCCCTCAAGGAATCTATTGACAAGACACAATAGAGAAGAGCACCGGTCAGAAGTAGCTTTTAGATGCCACCTTTGCGACGCCAGTTTTCAAGTATGTTCAATAGTTTTACATTTGTAGCGAATAACTGAATAAATCTATTGTTAATGATTTTATAGGATAGGAGAGCGTGCGCTGAACACGTTGTAGCTAAACATCCAGAAGTTTGGAATGCTGTCTCGGAAAAAAATGGATATGACGATGTTCAAGCTCTTTGCGATTCGGTTGACGCAACCAGTGGCAACCATCGTGACGATTACGACGAAAAAAGAATTCAAGCGGCTAAAGTCGCATGTTTCGCTTGTCGAAAGAGATTTGGTAGTTTGCAAGATTTACGACGTCACATGGCAACACACACTGGAGAGAGAGCTTTTGTTTGCCCACTATGTGCCAAACGATTTTCATTTAAGCACAGTCTGAGGCGTCACATGAGGCGGCACGAAATAAACGAGGCATCTGGTAGGTCTATTAACTTTGAATTATTATGTAATTAATTGACAAATAATTATTTATGTTGTCACATTTAGATTCGAACCCTGCGAGTCCTGCACCGGAAATGGCTAAGGCGTGACAGAAATTTGTTAAATTTCCAAGCGTTTGTTTTCTCCCTTCATAATTTGTAAATCATATATTTGAAAGTTTGAGTTTGCGGTGAATGTTTTCAACAAAATTGTTGTTGTTTTTTTTTTCTGGCGCATTCCGTCCTAAATCGCTCCACTGTGATACACTTTTTTCCTTCGGATAGAGAATGTGGTCTATTTTTTACTGCTGGTCTTACTATAATATCTATGCATTTTTTTTTGAAGAGTTGGTTTGAATATAATTAACCGAGGTTGTGTTTGCTCATCTTGCAATCCTATACGCTATACAAGAAGCAAAATTGTGCGATAAAAGACGCTTGAATATTTGAAAATTTTAATTAGACAAATTATTATAATAATAATTAAGGAATCATAAAAAAATGTGTAGAAAATCCCTACATTATCTTTATTATTATTGATAATATTCTTTTACGTTTTCACATCTACCTATGTTTATTATTTATGTTCTAGTTTTAAAAATATTACATCATAATTTTATTTTTTGCTCTCTCTCTCTCTCTCTCTCTGTCTCTTACTTTTTCTTTATTTCTGTTATATTGATTTTTCTCAATCATATATTAGCAATAATAATTCAATTCAAGAATTTAAAAAAAAAGAAATTGACGAGAAAATCTTCCAAAGTGGAATTGAAAACATTTTTTTCTAATAGTAAAAAATATTTTTTTTTTTAAAAAAAAAAAGAGAAAAAAATTTTATAGTAATTTTCGAGATAGTTGAAGAGAAAAAGAAATATATGTGTGTCGTATGTAAATAAATGTAGATTGTTTTTCTTTTTTTTGAATTCTTCTAAAGGTATATTATATATATTTTATATATATAATATATCTTTTCAATCCAAAATTTTTTGATCGTTTTTCAATGTCATTCATCCTTTTTTTTAAGTTGTTTAAATAAAAAAAGTTAAAGAGATTCATGTATATTTGATTCATTTTTATAAAATTCAATTTTTTTATCTCTTGAGCCTTTTTCCTTCCTTGTTTTATATCTCTTACACTAGTATACCTTGTCGTTCCGCCCCTTCCGCTCCCCCCCCCCCCACACCACTACCGCTCTGTCGCTCTCTCTCTCTTCTCTTTCAATCTTTTTCATTCTTTTTAATTTATATGGAAAATATACTATTTTTTCCATGTGATTGTTAATTATTTATAGAATCGTTCTTTGACACCGGAACGTTAAGAAAAGATCAATTCGGATAATGAACAATAGTTTATTGTTTCATTATATTCATTTCCTTTTCTAGAGCCATCTGCTGGTTTATTGATCTATGTCCTAATTTGTTAACGTTTTCTCTAATTTATATTTTTCTTTCATGAAAAGGTAACTAACCTATCTGAATAATAGGAAAGTTATTCTGAACACACAACACAAGTATATGAGAATATACTGTATTAGGCCTAAATTTAGAAAAAAAACAAGATTTTTTCCCACTTCTCAGATTGGATTGTTATGTTATCTCATTAAAAAAAGTATTCCGTACGATTTATAAAAAAGGGTATAAAAGAAAATATAATAATTGTTGTAGAAATGTTTAAATAGCCTAAGGACCGTTTTATATCGGTTTAAATTAACAATAGAAAACTAAGAATGGGTCCAGGTAAAGATTTATAATTGCCAGTAAAAGGTTAGAAAGGAAAAGGATAACGAGAATGAGAAGCAAAAAGAAAAAAGTATATAAATTAGGTTACTATTGCCGTGTCTTTTATTTATTGGATGATAAAAATATTGTTATTAGCTTAGTTATGTCGTCGACGTTGAATTAACATATTAATTAGTATTGTCATCGATCCAATCCAAATATTCAGAAACTCTTACGTAACCGGATGGTCTATCGATTCTACAACCAACTATAACGAATGAGGTTACACCAGCAATTTGGTGGGCACCTGCAGGACCAACTGGACAGTTCAATGGGCCACCGGAATCACCCTGGATGAGAAAATTGATTTTTACGGTAATTTAATATTAATTATTATTAATTAAGCTTACATTGCAGGCTCCGTTAACATCATTGTCATCGCTAATACAGATGTGATATTCGTATCTAGCCATAGAAATACCTCTAAGAATACATTCGTCATTGGAAAGAACTCTAGTCTCAGCTTGTTGGAGAGTGTTTGGCAATGGACCGCCACCGAAAAGTCTGCCCCATCCGGTGATTGTACAAGCTTGACCAGCTAAACTACCAACTCCTCTGCTTACGAGGGTAGCTGGTGAAACCCATGGTGAAGAGAAATCGAGAGCTTCTTCAAATCTGACAACACCGATATCATTAGGGAAACCCAGGGATCCATCATTAATCCAGTTCTCATGACGAGTAACTCTGCTTGCAGTTCTAACTTGACCGCCAGTTTCATCGTCTCTGTTCAAAATACCAAATACAAGTCTGTAAGATGAAGCAGCACCAGTGATACAATGAGCAGCAGTCAAAACCCAGTTGCCATTTAGGACAGTTCCACCACAACTGAAGATGAAATTAATTAATAACGACTTTCAATTGGTGTAATAATTAAATAAGCATACTTATGGGAACAAGAGATTGAGCAGCGTTGAATGGACACCTGCCATGGCCAATCTCCTCTATTAGCATCCTCACCACCAACAATAAAGCCAGTATCCGTAGTTAGTTGAACAGCGGAGTGACGGGGTGCAGCATAAACGGCTGAAAGAGCTAGAGCAAGAACAACAAAGATTTTCATCTTGTCCGAACTTCGAATGTATATTAGTAAAACATTCTATTTTCCCCTTAAATAGTATTTTTCAATGAAAATTTCATAGAGTCACAGATGTTTATCTATTAAAATACAATTTGACAATAATACAATCTTATTTTTCATACATTTCGCATGTCATTTCACATGTTATTTATAATTCAATTTTGATATCTCATTCACAAATATTACAAGTACTTATATCATAGAGTCTCACTCTTTAATTACGCTTTTTATAGTATGAATAGTTTATAATGATTTCTACAAAAAACTAAAAGACAATTTACAATTTATCTCTTTTACTAGAATTGTATAACATTTCAATATAATGCCTTTTTATTAGTTGTCTTCTAGGACGATTTGGAATATTATCTGAGTTATCAGAACGTATGGCCATATTACTCTTCCTTGAAAAGGCACCTCTGAAAGCTCCAAACATTTCACTCGCTTTCGAAGCTATTGATATTACACTTTTTTTAGCCGTGGCTAAACCATTACCAATCTCTTGTTGAATATTTTGTGCTTGACTAGGTTGTTGGATTTGTTGTGGCTTTTGTCCCATTTGTTGATTAGGATATTGTTGTTTTTGCATTTGTAACTGTTTTTGCTGTTGCAGTTGTTGAGGGTTAAATTGCTGCGGTCTCTGTTGTTGTTGTTGTTGTTTTTGTGGATTTTGAATTTGCTGTTGATTTTGCTGCTGGTTTTGAACTTGTTGTTGTTGTTGTACAGTTGGTTGTTGGCTTTTCTGCGGCATTCTAGTTTGCTGTTGAGGTTGTTGATTCGTTTGTTGTTGTTGTTGGTTAAATTGGGAATTTTGCAATTGTTGCTGCTGTATTTGTTGATGACTTTGTTGAGATTTTTGCATTTGCTGCTGGCCCTGCTGTGGGTATTGTTGTTGCTGTTGAATTTGTTGAGAATTCTGGGATTGATGAAGTGGTTTTTGACTATTCGATTGTAAATTACTTTCTTTAACATGAACGTGATTTTGCGGTAAAATTTGTTGAGATAATTGTTTTTCTTTATCTAATTGTAAACTTTTATCTGCTAATTGTTTAATGTCATTTTCTTGAGTTGGTTTCTGTGATATATCTTCTAATACACTTTGATTTAAATTATTGTGTTTCGTGTCGAATTGCTGCTGTTGCTGTTTTCCAGATAAATCTTCATCTTTTTGGTCATTTTTGTTGGGTAAATTATCTTGTTGCTTAGGAATATTGGAAGGAGTTAGTTTTACTTCTTGATTAGATTTTGGCAGTTGATTTAATGTATGTGTTTGATCGTTTTGAGGAAAAGCCATATCTGTAAGGTTTTGATCATTCGTCGTTATGTTAAGAACTGGTGGAGTTTTTCGTTGATCAACGTTTGTCGAACTATTCAATTGTCTTTTGTCAAATTCAGCGTTATTTGCAGTTGGTAATACATGACCGGAAGGCTTATAAGGTCTGTTAGCTGTGTACAAAGAACATAAAGAATTATTCCCTTCATCAGATATAATGATTACTTTATTGACAAGTTCAAGTTCAAACAAACAGACAAAAGAGAATACGTCAAAGATCTCCCCTCCCTCCCTCCCTACCTTTTCCAACTACTGTACTTACGATCTGAGACGTTCTTACGCCAACGTCCCTTTTCATTTTCATCGTTTGTTACATAATGTTCAAAAGTTGGTAAAGCTCCAGGTAAATATTCAATATCTCCTTCTCTTAAATTACTATCAATCTTCAAACCCATTTTAGATTTTTGATCTCTCGATAAAAATGGATCATCATAGGTATATAAATCGACATTAGAATTTTGACCTTCAATTCTTAATCTTTCGGGTGGGAGAATGGAAAGTACACTCCTCCTTTTTGTTATACAACCGAAAAGAACGAAAATCTTTTCGTAGCAAGTAGTCATTAATATTAATAAGACAAAAGCAAATGTTGTTAATATTAAGATTAGTAGTAAAATGGCTAAATGTTGTTTCTCTACGTTGTTTACTGCATCTGCTCTCCTGATGATTGGAAGATAATTTTGACTGTTATTAATCACTGTAATTTCATTCATTTAGTAATACATATATATATATATATATATATATACTGTATAAAGCTCTTCTAAAAGAACATTTAAGTTATATTTTCCTCTTTTTTTCCTTAATTAATTAAAAAAAAGTTAAGTTAATTAATTATTTTTTAAATTTAAAAAATATTTAATTATATTCAAACTCTAAACAGTGATATTAATGTCATATTTTCTTAACCAATCAATCAGCTAATTATAGATGAATCTAAGAAAAATAAAGTATTACAGTTTTGTTTAAGGCCTATTCTACTGAATGTTTTAAACAAGTAAAAATATTATGGATATAATAGAATGATAGAGAGATAGTTGAAGAGAATATATGTATATGCATGTGTATGTACTAAGGTTAAATGAATAATAATTCATATTTAGAATAGATCAAAGTTCGGTCAAAGGTTTCTTTTTTGATTTTCAATATAGACGTTCCAAAGTCAATTATTATGTTTAAAGATAGAAAGTCAAGAGATCACGTGATTAAAACGAAAGGAGAGACAGAAAATTAATACCATCATTATCTCTTTATTAAATAGTTCAAAGTTAATTTTATAAAATTAGTAAAAGTTATATATGGTTTATTTCAATGACTTTGAGTTTGATCAAACTCGAATAAACGATTAATTTTCTTTTGATTTAAATAGATTTATATGTTAGTCGTGTTACCCAGCCACATCATCGCTAGTTCTTATTATTGACGAATATAATTCTAATAGTTGAATATAGTATCGATTATAGTTTACTATATATTAATATCTTGTATTAAACTTTCCAATTCTGCAGTGTCAATAAAGTACTGCAACATATTAACACTAACTAAAAACCAAGTTCAACTTATTTCTTTTTTAACAAAAAAGAGAAAAAAACAACGTTCGAATTGTTAAAAATTGCAGGATACCTAGCATTCTCTTAAATTATCAGATTGAAAGGAGCATTTTCAAAACTGAAAGAGAGTAGAAAAGAATATGGCAATATGAGAAAGAAGTAGAGAGAGAAAGAGAGAGAAGGGAAGAGAAAAGGAAATAAACAAAAATATTAATTAGCTTTTTCTACTTTTCTAGCAATTCAAGGAATAACGAAAAATAAAAAAATAATAAAAAATATTGCACAAAGAATAAATTTGTCAGTTTTTGTTTGAGTTATTTGTATCTAACAAAACAATGTACAATTAGATCAATTAATTACAATAAAATAAATAAATAATTTTATTATAAATAGCCTTTTTTCATATCTTCCCTTCAATAATATATATATTTATATATTTTCATCCATTAATAACTTTCTTTCTTCCTATTTATCATCCTCTTATTCTTCTATATTCTCATTTGATGGGAGTTGTTAATAAATATGCTAAGTTTTTGTGTTATTTTTAGTAGAATATTAGAGAACACATATAAGAAGTTTTTTTTAAGGTTAAAACTCTATAACCCTTTTACAATGGCGAATCAAAGTACATTTGAAGTTATATTATAGTTGATAAATGGGGGAAAAAAAGGCTACAGTTCGAGAGATCAAACGTTTTTTCAGCAGTGTTTTTAATCAGTTTTTAACCGCCTACTGAAATCTTCTTGCTGTTTCTGCATCATTTGTGGTTTTGGTTTCGCTCTTTTTAATCCTCCATCCCTAAAAAAACAAAATTCAAGCAATTTGATTTATGAAAATTCCTTTAAATACCCACCAATTGAGATCAACTAGACCCCCTCTTTCAGCTATATACGATTTAACTCTATTAGCAAATTGAACTGATGATTCACCTTCCTATTTATAGAGAAGAAATAATAATAAATTATATTGACAAATGAGAATAATAATATGTAATATTTATCTATATAATATTTATACAAACCCTTTGAGTTTGAGGAGGAAGGTACCAAACATCAACAACTATAGCCCAGCTTGATAAAATATTGATAAGATGCTTAGCAAAATTTTCTTGACTGCTGTTCCAAAATGGATCCGCAAATCTTGAATCATACTACATAAAAAAATCACGTTATTAATATAGTTCCAATATAGCTTTACAAGAAACTGTACTTTAATTGCTACAGGATATATAGTACTGCCAACTTCGAAACTTCCTTTCTTAAACATCATAATAGATGTATTGTTAATGCAGGTCCCTAAGGATAGGATAATTATTATTTAGAAACATGATGAGCAAACAGTTAATTAATAACTAATTACCCTCTGGAAAGATTAATATCGGTAATTTATTAATATCCGATACGTGCTCCTTTAATCTTCTTGCAACAGCTTCTCGATCTTTAACTTCAGATCTTTGGAACCAAATATGCGATTCAGCTCTTGAAAATCCTTTTTGTATAGCACCAAATAGACCACCTTGTTGTTGTCCAACCTAAAGTATTATTGATAAAAAGATAATCATTAAAAAAATAAAGATATTTTGCAACATAAGTGCTACAGAATGGATGCGATTTCAAAATATTTGTTGTTGTTTTTCTAGGCCTAACATACTTATTAAAATAAAAATACGAATATAATTTTTGTTTGTAAATCATGTTGAAATCAAAGGAACTACTTGTGTTTTTTTGTTATATATATAATAGGTCTAATAACTAGGCTAATTAACCATTAAAATCTAAGTACAAGTACAATAAATATTGATTTGTTTAGTCCATATTTCTAAGAATAAATAATTTAAAAATAGAATAAAACATACTATATTTATATAAAATTTATATGAAGATATATAAATATATATATATATATATGTATATTAGTATATATTAAATATAAAATGATGTGCATACCATTGCGTACATATTATCACAGCCCAAGATAATAATATCAATTGGTGAGGTGTGATTAGCAACGCATATTCCGCCGCCTTTAGCTTTATTCTCTCTATTATATAACATAAAAGATGTTAAATATGTGAATAAGTATAAAATAATTATTTAATAAATAAAATAAGGTCAGTAGAAGAGAAAAGGTTTTAAGTAAATAACTTATAAATGAGCAATAAATAATCAACTAACTTGTCATGGAAACGAATAACAGCTGAAAAAGCCCGGCTTCCCAATCGCATACAGGTAACATGTAATCTGTAAGTCAGCCATCTCTTAACAACACCTGAAATAATAACATTTAGTGATTTACAGTATATGAATTGAAACTGAATGGTTTGAATAATAGAACTAAACAACTAGAATACATAATAAATATTATCTTTCAAGAAATATTAATATATTCATACTATATACATATAAATGTATATAAATATATATATATATATATATATATATATATATATATGTATACAGTATATAAAGCATAATAATTACTCATTTAATAATAGATATCTTTTTTATCACAGTTGATCAGTCTTAGCATTTAAACTAAGTTCTAATTTCTAGTACTAATTTCAACACACAAAATGCATATATAAGCAAATACTATAAAAATCTATATACAGTACATAAATTAATAATTATGTATCAATACATCATTAAACCGCAAGATGGATTGTTTAATAACCATAAGTATATGATAATTAAGTTACAACTAATTAGAATATTTAAATTATCTTCACAAACCTGCTTTTAAATATCCAAGAATAGTATTCCCAGTGATTAATGATATTATAGCAAAAGCTATTAAAATTAATCGAAAAGGAAATAGAATAAAATATCTTAAAAAGAAGCCAATAAACCAAAGTGTTGTCAGCCTATAACTGTATTAAAATGTAAGAGATTATTAAATATGGACACGTATTTCTTTTTTTATATTAAAATATAAAAATATTGATTAAATTATGTGATATAATACCTTATAAATTGGTGATAAGTATTGGTTCTTGTCAGTAAATTCCAGGAGGCAAGTTCAGCAGCAGAAAAACGTTGAGTGACTTCATCTTCAATAATTGACTATTCAAAATATAATGGAATGTATAAAAAATTGATTAAAAAGAGAAGAACAAAAGAAAAGAAAAAGATTCTACCTCAATGCCACATTTAAAAAAATCCAACGCATCGTGTAATTGAAATTCACTAGTTTGGGTTATTGACTCCAAACGTTCCAACTTTTTCCTAACTATTGTTCCTTTTGAATTCAACTCGATTTCTCTTTCGATTACGTGAACTGTTAAATTTATTTGTTAGTTCTTTATATTCAAATACAACTTAAAAACTGAATGCAGTAATGTTATCATTAGCTTAAGTCTTACCTCCATTAGCCACAGGTTCTGGTTCAACTTCATTGGATTCTCTTCTCTCCTCTTTTTCCCTAATCTTCTCCCTTCCCCACTAATAAAATAGAAGGAAACATTCAATAAAATCATTTGCTAAATTTTGTTATCATTTTACACAAATACCTAAAGATATTGGTAATCAACATAAGACATAATTTAATTTGTCATGTTCACGTGGCTGTCACGTGATATCACTTAACTATTTAATTATGGACTAAGTTAATTTATCAAGAAACTTTAACGAAAAACAAGAAAATACTCAAAAAATAAGTGTTTAATTGAGCCTTTCTTGATTTTTTTGCTGTAATGTCCATTAAGTAATTTTATAAGTATTTCTGAAAGAGAATTATCTGGTAAGAAACTAGTATATCGAGATAAAAGTCAAATGACTGGTATTTTTTACTATACCACTACTATAAATACATCTATATATCTCCATATTAGATTATATTTATATGTATATCTGGCTGTGTGTCTCCTTATATTTACAATGAATATATACATATATATATAATTACTTAAAAAATTAATTTCAACAGAAACGATTGTTGATATATTAAAAAATTTTATAATAGTTGAAGGCTAGTCCTAGATATAGGTCAGACACGTGTGAACCACCAATTTGTTAATATAATAGCTTTAAAAGAAAACTTACTTCGAAGACTATTAAAAGGACTTTAACATAAAGTTGGCGAATACCGACTGAGCAACCACATCCAGCCAAAATTATTACAACGGATAGTAAAATTAGTAGTGGATAAAAAGCGAATTCCAAAATTGACCATATCGCTTCGGCTGTCATCTCGAGAAAGATATCCATTAATCTAGCCATTTCAAAGGTCGATTTTTGGCCTTATCAAATAGGTAAAAGTTCGAAGAAATATTTGGAATTACAGTTATAACAAAATATATTTATCACAGCTAATCAAGATAGAGATAAGTCGATTTTTAACCTTCATAGCAGATCCACACAAATAATGGTTGATAGTATTTCGCGATGTTATGATGAAAATTTGCTATTATTACGTAACACTTGCGTAAAATATATATTTCTTATAAAATTATTAATAGAGAATTAAAATTACAATTTAGCGAATATCAAAAATTTTATACGAAAATAACGGCAGTATTGTCGAATCGCGCCAAAATACCAATATTCTAAGTTGATAGGCCTATACAGTACTGTACTGTTATAGTAATTAGAATTACTTAGAAGGCCACATATATTTTATTATTTAAATTAGTAGAAAATAGATTTAAAATTTTTACGTTTTAATAATTTATTAATAATAAAATATGAAACATTTTAAACAAGTTATTTTATAACTTATATCTTCTTGTATATGAAGATTCAACAAAAGAAATTGAAATTAATTAGTTTTTTTTTGGCTTTCAGAAAAATGGAAAAATACTACGAAAATATTTATGAAGAACACGAATTCGAATCATCGCTAAACCTAGACTTCTTAGTACAATGTTCTTCAGCAATTTCTTCTCCAAAGTCCCTTTTTCGTCTTTCTCTAATTATTTCCGCCATTCTCATTGTATTACTATTTCTACTTCTATGATTAGCGAACCATTTTTTAACTTGTTCTTCGGTACAACTAGCTAATTTTGCTAATTCTTGAACGGTTTCTCGGTTTGGATAAGGAAAATCTGAATGGGAATCGTACCAACTTTTAAATATTGCAGACCTCCTCCTTTGTGCTGTATTTTCTTGGAACTTTCTATAGCCGTCTAAACTTTGAGCGGTTACTGGATTAGGATGTTCAACAGTTGTGGTTGGAGTAGATAATTTTGTTTCACCAGTAAAACATAAAGTTTTCGTTAAGCTATCGAACGATATTTGAGGTAGAATTATTTTTCCAGAATTTTCTCTCAAATGAACAAGAACAGGTAGTAATTTATCAACTAATTGTCTCTTTTGAACGTTAAAGAAACTATCTATAGATTCAAGCATCCAAGTATCATTTACACCTAAATTCCTTTTAGTTCGACGTCGTTGATCCTCCAAAAGATTAAGACGATAAAGAATAGCGTCACGAAGCGGAAGTACTGTCGATTCCGGATAAATTTTAAGTAAATTCGATATTTCATCCAAAAGAGGTCGATCCATTTGATCGTTATGAGCCATATTTGCCGAAACGCTGGAGGCATTGTTTTGAATAAAAATTGGCGTGTTGAAATATGGGAAAAAGTTCGGTTGCATATAAGAATAGTTAGGCAAGTGCGAGATATTTTCTTCCTGAAGTAAAAAAAACCAATAATATAATTAATAAAACGAACAGTAATGAGATTTAAATCATAGAGATATCAATACTCACCGTCATTATTCTTGATAAATTTCGACTCTGTATATATATACAGTATATATATATATATATATATATATTTAAATCAATGCGGAAGAGTTAGAGGTTGAGTTGAGAAAAAGAGAGAGGAGTATAATATATAGTATATATTCTCCTTTAATTAATCAAGCAAATTAATCAAGTTGCAACACACAGAGAAAAAGACTTGAAGAGACTTGCGAGAAATAGAGTAGTAGTGAGAAAATTAGAACAAAAGTTGAAGTTATTCTTCCGTTATAATCAAAGTATTTATTTCTTTCTTAAACCTTTCTGTACCGTTAAACGAATCGAACTGGTGATTTTTAAGCGGAAATCTCGCTATAAAAACGCTCAGTGTCACCTATTGACTCTGTTTCAGCGCTGGAGTTGTCAAACGTACTTTCTAATTTAATGTTTGCGGTGAATTCTACCTTTTGAAATCTACCGACCGAACACTATTTTACCTACTAAATAGGCCTAAAAGTCGCTTTAACGTCGTACTCATTATAAAAGAGTAAGAAAACAAAAGAAAAAAATGTGTAACGTACATTTCTCTTTTGTTCTCTCTTTCTAGAAAAGAGTGATGTTTTCTTTTATAATAGAAACAATAGAAAGAGGTTTAGAAGGAGAGATAGAGAGAGAAATAAAGGAAAAATAAATGAAAAATATGACACATTAATTGGTTAGGATTATATTTTCTTATTCAGTATATGCATTTAATGATTAATTATATAATAGTATTAAGATATTCAACGCAACCCGCAGCAATCCTATCCTAACCGTCCAACAAGTCAAGGCAACATGTAGAACTCACTATATTTTCACTTACCGTTAATCGAAAGATTCTTGACATATTTTACAGTCCTAAACAACCGAAAGAAGATATATAATGTTTTGGAAAAGCGACCTTCTTAAAGCCCTTGTGTAAATAAAATACAGTTATTTGTACTATATATAAATATGTTTTATATATTTATATATTCAAATGGAAAAGGTTCTTTAAAAAAGTATAAAGAGAAAAGTCGACATGTTAAAAGGTGTTATATTAATTATTCTGTGAATTAATTTTTTATATTTACTACTCAACTTATTAAGGAAACCTTGTTAAATCACATCATCAACTTGTAATCAGTTTGTCAAGGTTGAAATGAAGCCATTTGATTTTGATTTAGTCGTAATAAAGTACAAACTTTGCCTCTCTCTCTCTCTCTCTCTCTCTTTTTTGCCCTTTTGTTTTAATTCGTTTACATTTATTTACTTATTTACCAATCCCTTCTTGTTTCTTTTATAGATTTGTTCCTTTGTACAATTAGGCTTAAATTTTTTCGCACATTATGGAATATATCTGTATATAATTATTTATTTAAGCAAATCCGGCTTTGTTCTTCAACGGAAAAAACATTCTCTTTGTCAATTAATTCATAACCACAAATAGAACAAAACAAAATCTCAATTAAGTATTTGGCACATCAATTTTCATGGACGGCTTTAATCTTTTCAAGATATAAATATATATACAGTATAGACTGCATAAATTTATGGATATGTATCAATGTATATATTGAAAATGGACGTCATAGGCAGGAAGTAAAATTATATAGAGGTGATTTGCGATTGCTACATATATAGTTGGATTACTGAAAATACAGTGTTCTTTTTTTTCGAACGAAACAGAATACTTTAATACAAAAAACAAAAAAAATATAATTTAAAATCAATCGTCTAGTTGAGTGAGGAGAGCTACTCCTCTCAATATCCAGTGTTGTTCCTCCTTTTTCGACGGAAGATTTATGCTCATTACAAAGTTTGTTGAGTGCCCCGTAGACGAGAGAGCACCAGCTCTTGCCGACGTCCTATAAAGTGGACAATCATACAGATGCTCTACACTTGGTACTGATTTTCTTTTAGCACTTGCTAGTCTTTTTGGTGGTATTTTTTCAGTTGAATTTTCAATTTTTTGATGATTTAATTGCTATATGAAAACAGAGTATTAATGACATTAATTAAATAAACCACTAAGTAATGTTTTTAATTTACTTGGGCTGAAACTGGTTTAAAGTGGATCTCAGGTAGCCTGGATATTCTTTGGCCTACTACAACCTCGTCTAGACAGTGGTTGTCCAAGTTCCACCTTGCACCGTCTATAAATAAACCAAAGACGACAACTCCATCTTCTGGTGGTGCTAAACCTTCAAAAGCATCTTTTATGATATCTGCTTTATGGGTTGAATTCAGTTCATCTTCGTCTAGAATATTTCTCGAAACTTCAAATTGGAAAGTTAAAGAATCGACTGATTGACCTATTTTTCTGGCTTGATTCTGGAGGACTGCAGTTAAGAATCCTTGGGGAAAAAAGAATGCTGATAGCCAAAATGATCTCGGTTGGGTATCGAAAACATTCAATTTCTTTAGTTCTACAGGTTCTTGTAATTTACCACCTTTACTGTGTAGTGATGGAACTTTAAGAACCTTTTCCACTTCGTTAACAACGGTTTCGACCCATTTCTGTATAAAATTTACCCTTTCGCGCAAATCGATGACCCACGAAGATAATTTCTTACATGACTCGTAAGATATTTGACGCCATTTCGTAGGTACATTTTGATTAAGTAACGCCGAATAGGCGTCCTCAAGAACCTCACTCATTACAACTTCTCCTTTTACGGCTTTTTTAAGGGATTTAAGAGATTTATGAATGATTGATAAAAGACGATTAAATCTTTCCATTTCTTGTCGGAGAACAGTGAAAAGGGCAGAATTTGTTAGCTTTGAAATTTGAGCTATTTGTTGAGGGTACATAGTTTCCAGTGTCGCTATATCTGTAATAAATTAACACTTTCAGCCAGGTTACATACTTAAATTCTTATTGTAAATAGACATTTCTACGATCAAATCTAAGAATTATTCATATTTTTTTAGTAATTCTAAGAAAAAAATAGACAAGAAATAAATAAAAAAAAATAGCTAGGGATCTTTTCTTTCAATAATCAATAAATCAATAATCATCTTTGAACGACAAACCTTCAAAAGTCAAAGCAGCCGGGTCAAAAGCCCGCCTTATCTTATCTATAATAATAAACAAAACCAAACAAATTCCACACGAATCGTCTAATTTTTGTACCTATAGTTTGATATAGATTGTACGATTGTTTCCTATGTATTTTAAAGTACAACTTTAAAAGTCGACTTCTGTAGTCTGTGTACTCTATTATAAAATAATTGATGGGTAGATTATAAGGGAAATAGGGAAGAAGGTAATTTTATAAGAAGTATGACTAATGACCATTAAAAAAATAGGGTAAAAAATAGGAGGTTACAAAAATACCTTTTTTAAATTTACATACCTTTGTCCCGTTTAGTTTGAACTTCTTTCTTACTTCGGCCTGTTAAGTAGGTTCCATTCGCAATCTATTGTAAATTAGATTAATACTCTATTTGTCTTCTGGAAAAACAGTATAAACTAACTTGTAAGATTTCTGATAGGGTAAGTAATTTATTGTCGCCGCCGCCTTTTTCGTCAACTTTCGGTGGAAGTTTCTTTAATATATCATCCGACATTGCTAAAATGAACTCATCTCCACTAGAGCTTTTTGCAAAACCTCCAACACCTTGTTTAGGTTGCATTAATACTATTGTTTCTAATATATTTTTTGTTTGAGTTTCCAAATAAGCTACTTGGGCTTCTGTATGCATTCCAACTAAATCGGGACTATCTGAAGCTGGAAGATTCTCTACATAGGCTTTAACATCTGCAAATGTAAAATCAGCTGGAGGTGGACGATAAATTCCATCCGATGAAAGTGTATGTCCAGGTTCAAGTACGTTTTCGCTATAAAATTTATCAACGAGATGGGATAAACACCTACGATCCCAGTCGTCTGTTACCTAAAAAATAAACAAATATTTATAGTTACTCTGTAAATATTGAACAATATTGAAAAGAATATATTAAAAAGAATAATTACCCTTCCACCAAAAGTTACTTGACCTGTTAAAAAGCGTAAAGCTTTCCATGGAATTTCATTAATACTGTCAATCAATAACTGATGAAGTTGTAATACAGACACTTCTAAATCTGAATCGTTAAATTCATATGGAATATTCCACCCTAGTGTACCGTATTTTCGACGTTCGTGTAAAGCGGCGTTAAATAAACATAGCGAGAATAGAAGAGTTCTCCAAGATTTTCCATTATCGTCACCTAAAGCCTCTTCGTATTGTTTTTCACTAATTGTTCCCCCTCCAAGTACTCTTTGAATATGTGCTCTAACTCCAACAGCAGCTTCAACCGTAATCTATATTGGTTATTTATAAAAATATATGCCTTATCAAAATATAAAGAAGCATAAAGGATATGCTACAAAAAGAAATGGGATATTTTACTATATACTGTATAGATATATACTGTATATACAAGAAACTTAACTATCCATTTATATTGAAAACCAGAGGTCATGTATTATAAGACTATAAAATACGAATAAAACAAGTTGCTCTTAAAGTCTGCGGTAGGTCTAAAATAATTTTTAAACTTTTAAAGGAGGACTATTTTTTGCTCTATATTTTCGAGCACCGGAAGTCATTCTTGTAATATATATATTGATAAAAAAAACATAAAATTTGGAAGAAGTAAGCCTTCTATTCGATTTTGGCATATGTCCGTTTTTTTTTGTTTAAAATAATCCGTATAAAAATATATAAAGTAGAAATTGATAGTTTTGACAATATATATATAACTATTCTTTCCTTCTCTTTCTTTCTCTCTCTCTCTGTCTTCTTTTTATTCTTTGCTATTTCAACTTTTTTCTTCTTCACTTGCTTCATTAACACAAAATGGACACGGAGTTATACCCTTACTTATATGCATGGGACTTCTTAGTACCAAGTCTTGAGCACATTCATTACAGATATAGTGTTTAAGGCATTTGACAACGCGTTCTTTTAAGCTTTGCATTGTTTCTCCACAAATAGAGCATTCGTTCTCACTGATATTATCCATATTTTGTTACTTTTTGCTTCTTTCGATGATACAAAGAAGAAGAGGGGATAAAGTTTGTTTTTATTTTTTAAGACGATTGATGATAGTGATGATGGTGATGATGACGGTAGAGACGGTTATTTCAATAAAAAATTCTTAAAAGATAATTGTCAGCCTTCAGATAGAAGAATATAGTAGTCAAATTATTGTCGAATGATATTAGAGATCACACTCTCGGGGAATGGGGCGTCCCTAATCCGATTGAAATCAGCGCGGGGAAAACAAGTAAGCAACTAAAGCTCAAGCAATTACAAGCTACGAACTAATCGATAAACTCCTAATCGCCTATTGATTCATTATCGATCCCACAGTTACTTTTTTTTCTAGTATAACAATAAAAAACTAATACGTTATCGTCTCTATCAACCGCTGTGATATCGTTGCGTTAGTCAAGAGCGATAAAGCTGATAAACTTAAATAGAGTAATTGAAAAGACTTCCTTACTTTTAAACCAGTCTGAAGAATTGATATCGGGAAGCTTGGGTCTGGCTTACTACTCAACCACAGTCTAAAATTAGGATCCATTTCCGCTCCAGATCTATTGAATCTGTAAAAAGATAAATGAAAATAGATATGAATAGTAGTATTCTCTTTTTTTTCATTAATAGAGAGCTAATCCTTTCTGAAGTTATACTGAATATATATTAGATTATATAATCCCATTAATCCCTTAGATATTGATAAAAAGAGGTCGAAAAGATTCTATGAGTACAATTAAATTGCTGATCCCTTATCTAAACTAAAGAGAGATATAAACGTTCACCAAAATTCTTTTTATCCACAATGTAACAAAATTGTTATTGCTATGAAATTACTAACCCGTCAACTATAGTTTGTAATTTAGGCATCCAACTTGCGGCTAAATGGCAATTTTGTAAGAATACCCAACGTCCTTTCAGTATTTGAGCTTTATGCATTAACTCTTCAGCTTTTGGACCCTGTCCTCGACCCAATGATATCATGTCTACGTGTAATGTGGAACCTCTTGTTTCTTTAGCGAATCTTAAAAGTTGGGTGGCCGGATCAGATCCAGGAGATAGTATAAATATTAAGGGAGTTTTAGCGTCACTTTCCCGGAACATACTATTTAGATCGACAGCTCCAGTGGCTAAGAATTTATTACCCATTTGTTGGGCCACAAACGTTCTCACTGAAAAGGTGAAGGCCGCTGGGCGTAAAATTCGAATGAGAATTAGTCTTTCAAAACGTGATAATTTTTCCCAATGAAATATAACGGTTGTATCGAGTTTCTCGACAGGTAATTTCCTGGTATCGAATGGTTGCGAAAGATATTCGTAGGGTTCGTCAGCTTGGAAGAAATCATCCCATTGTTCGTAACATGTTAAAAATGATCTTAGAAGGAAGGCGTAAGACTCCAGAGTAGCCTCCAAATACTGGCAGTCTAGCCATTTCTCCGAGCTAATACTGTGATGTCTGGCAGGCTGTTTACCAGTATTTGCTACTTCTAATCTTTGCATGGGAGTTAGGCCTACAAGGAGGATAGAAATAGGGCTTTAATAGGGCGAACAAGTTAATAAAATAATTTTTAATTTTTTCTTACCGTCGTGTGTTGCTTTCGTTTCTTCTGTCATTAATTTAGCCAAGATAGAAACTCTCATTAATATATTCCAATGTTCATCCGTGATACTTCCCATGTTTAATAATTTTGAATATTTTTGCCTCTCTTCTTTTTCCTCTTGTAATCTCTTTATAAATCGATCGTTCGATCTCATAATTGATGCGCAAAGGGTAAAACTAAATGTCAATTGATGCTGAGCGAATAAACCAACGCAAACGATTCTGTAAACATTCCATGTGAGCCTTTCGATCATAGAATTCATATGGTTTATTAAATTGACAGGTTGATCTTCCGTGCTCCTTGCTGATAGTGGTCGAACTCTACCAGGCTCTATTTGAGATCTTTTCTGCTTTGGATCGACGACAATGGGCTTCGTAGTAATAGAAGTTGAAAATATTCTCTGAAACCAATCTAGAGAAAATTGGTACATAATATCTACATTACTAAGGGAGGCTAGAACGAAATAGAGAACTGCTCCTCTGGTTGCAACCTGAAAGAAAAGAGTAAGAAATTTTCAATGCAACATAACTAATAGAGAAGAAAGAGGACATTTTATTGATTATAAAACTTAATTGGATGAATTTGCTTACTGGAAGATATTCGTGCCTAGCAATATTAAGATTCTTGGCCGTTTCTTCAGAACGAACAAGTCTTTCGCTTACTTCTTTCGACATGACTTTACTCTTTTGAAGTGTTTCAATCAGATCTTCATCGTCCAAAATATGTCCCTCTGATTTTTGCAATAAACTTAGGGTTTTATCTTCTAAATTACGTAACGTTTGTAAATCTGAAGCAATACTCTCAAGTAATTGTCTTCTTTCCATTTCTAAATTTGGTTTTTCCTGAAATTATATATGTATGTATTGTATATATTAATATATATATATATATATGAATAGTAATGTAGAAGACGCCGTCTGTCGGAAAGCAACCTCACCTGTTTGACAACGTTCGACAAAAGCTGCTCTTGCAAACCATCAAAAGTAACGGTAAAGTCGATTATCGTTACGTTATTACTAACTGCTGGTAAGAAGTGAGGATTTCCGAGAGAAGTAGTTAAATATAATCTATCAATATGTATAAAATGTAAAAATCCGTATTATCATTAATAATTATATTAATAAATTAATTAATATTTCTAAATTAATCATATAGTGTTTTTTACCTAAAATTATCGTTATACTCTATTTCAGTATCGCCAACTCTAATAACGGTATTTCCACCTCTCATGTAAGTGTTTCTTGATAAAATAGGTCCTAAAGACGGATCTAGGACTTCTCCTACTTCTTGTAAAAGAACCCATTCTCCAGTTCTCAGTGCTCTTTCAATAGTTCTCATGTAATTTGAATCGGCAGCCTGTAGAACTTTTAGTTCAGAGCCCTTTCTTCTACTAAGCCATCTAATTAACAAAAGGACAAGAACTTGTTAATAATAAAGCTGTAAATTAGTTAAATAATAAGGTTTAAAGAGATTTACTTGAAAGCTTGCCCTTGCGGATCAATTAACAGAGACCATTTTCTGCTATGTTGCATTATGATAGCGTTTTCAGTTGAATGACTATCTAATGGTACTCCTTCATTTTGCCATAATAATATCTGATTTTCAGTAACCATATTCTTAATCAAAGAATAATTCTTTGAAATAGGTATTTTAAATTGTCTACACAATTCCATCCAAGTTTCTATTAATTTCGCTCTAAACATTGTATCGAATGCTCCTAAATAGGCTATAGAACTTGCCGAAACTAACGTATCACCTACGAGACTCTCTAAACGTTTCTCTAAGCTTGCAACAGATTCTAACCATCTTTCTTTCTCATTTGAAAGTGCAGTTATTAGAACTGATGCTCTTTTTAAACGAAGACCAGTTAGAACCTTTCGTTGCTTTAATTCTTCCCTTTGATTAACCGAATCTTCGTACTTGAAAAATAAAAAAAGAAAATGTCAAATATACAATATAACTCTATGAAAGCAACAATGACAAAAAAGAAAACTCTTCTTTGTACTTCCGGTTAAGATAAAGAGAACATTTCTTAACAATTAATTTGCAAAAGCAATACAAAATTATCATTACTTGCTTGTTCAGCATTTGTAGATGTTGTGTAATCTTCGCTAAGCTAGCTTGTTTCTGGGCTAAGTTTTTTCTGGCTAATTCAAGAGCTTCTCGGGCTTCGTCGCATTTCTTTTGCTTCGGTTTCGCCATCTATCGTTGTTGAAGAGTAAATAAATTTATTTTCTCATTTTAATTAATTAATAGAATAGGAAGAAACCGTTTAGGTTCCAGATTAGAAAAAGGGATAAAGTATAGAGAGGAAGCATAGGTGAAAACTCACTTTATGAACTTCATAATATCTCTGTAAGGCTAGTACCCACATACATAGAGATTTACAAGCTTTCGACACTAATCCAACCTTTTCTGGTGTAAAATTGGGATGACCAGTGAACCTCTTTAATCTTTGGAAAATCTAATTGGAGTTAAAAAAAAAATTAAATATCGTAGAGTAACTCCATCTACCGGGTAGTATATGAAACATCCTATTAATTGATAATATTTTGTTCTATTGACTAATTGATAAATTATGATAATAAACTAATTATCAAGTTAAACGTTAGATTGAAACGCTCATTGCCTGCGGTAGGTTTGTGGTACATAAATTATATAAATAATATAAAGAGAATATCTTAAAACCGGCTTACAGATTCTCCAATTGAATCTCGATCGAAATTTAACAATCTATTTAGGAAATTCGATTCTCCAATTATCTTCTTTGAAGTTCCCCAATCAGTTTTCTCCCCTAACAGAACACCGACAGCCGACATAACGATCATAACCAATTCCGGAGGATTTGTATAAACTCTAAAAGAAAACAAGAGAAAAAAGACAGTTTTAATAAAGATATAATAATATCTCTAATTAGGTAATTAATTGTGCATTGTATATTTAAATATACTATATATAGAATTAAGATATATTGAAAAAAAACTCGTCTAGTAGTTTCTAAATTATTGATTTTCTAATTTATATAATTTCATACAAGTCTCTATAACTTAGTCCTATGTAAAGTTATAGATTGCGTAATAGATTTACTTTTTACGTCATATTAGCTTTGATGAATAACTATTAACTGAAGTTTAAAAGGGGCTAATAATTGATATTTGATTTAGCCTATAAGAACGTTTAAGAGAAAGATAGAGAGAGAGAGAAAGAGAAAGAGTTCGATAAAGTATGACTTCATTCTCTCTTTTATTATTGTATTATTGATTAACGATTACAGGAGGAAAATTTCTATTTTTACTTTACTCTTTAGATGAATGAATGTATGAAGTTGTGAATGAGGCCTATATCTAAATAAATCATGTCCTTAAACTTTAAATGCACAACAAAAGTTGCTATTATTATTAACAATCATTCATTATACACATGTATTACATATATACTGATTCGTATACATATATATATATATATATATATATATATATATATATATATATATATATATATGTATGTATACTACCTTAGATCATATTAACAATAGGTTATTTGTTCTAAAAAATTTAATAAAGGAATCGCAACGTTAGGTAAACATGGAGTATAAACAATCTATTTATATATTTATGTGGAATGTATACAACATATAAATTGACAGCTGCGGTAGTCTTTATATATATATATATATTTATCGGAACAATACTATAGAATATAAGAAAAAAATTGGCCAATAAGCATACAACATACACTCATTTTAGTGTCTTTCCCTGTGCGAGTGCGCACGCTTACTGCTTACGCAACTTATGACTAATCTTTGTAAAATTGATTAATATAGGGCAATAGAGAGTGTAAGAGAGAGAGATCGGAGAGAAGAGGAAGAGATAGGGAAACGGATAAAGTAGGAGGAAAAATATCTAGAACTTTAACTATAACATACTATTTACATGAGTATTTGTTTCTGATTCAGTTTTATGGCGGACTTAGAGATTGAACTAAGAGCTGTTGCTCGATCTTTAACACCTTTACAGGGATTCAAACTATGCTGTGATTTGGATGATAAAACTAATAAACTATTGGATATTGAAGTTGATGAAAAATTGAGAAAAGCTAAAACTCTCGTCGAAGCGTACAATAACATTCCATCAACGTCGAAAGCAGATAGAGGATATTATTTATTACTTAAAAAATGCCGTGTATATCTACACCTAAGTCGTCGACAACTTTTAGTGCCTGAAATTGCTCGTTATTTAACAATTGGACAATGTCTCTCGGTAGCCATTGATTTGGGAATGAATAGAGATAGAGTAGAGAAATTATTATTCGGATGGTCCTCATTAGCAACTCAAAAAACATTAAATAGATGGTGGACTGATAACGTTCATATATCCGAGGAGACTAGAAGATCGAGATTATACGCGGCAGTTATGAAAGTTTGCCTAAAGAAATAGCCATTTTTCATATATTATATTGAAAAGAGACAGAATGCAAGACAAATAAAAATTAGGTATTGTTTTCTTTTGCTGTGTAACAAATATATTTATATATATAAATCAAATTTTCATGATTTTTGTATATTTCTCCTTTGTCTAAGTATTAGATCAATTATTTATCTTGTTATGGTACTGTCCATATTTTTGTACCATACCGTCTAAAACCAAATATTAGCGCCTAGCTACTATATACACATATATTGATAAAAAACACCACTATACGTTTATACTGTATATAGTATATATATATATATATATATACTGTATATACATAATAATATATTGAAGTAAAGCATATGTAAGTGATACAATCGTATTTGAAAGATGATAAAGCTATATGTATTTTTCTATTGATATAAAGGACAAGGAGCGGCGTAAGGACTAGTGATGTTTATTAATAAGTGTGGTTATAATTTTATAATGTTATTTATATAAATTGAATAGTTTAACTGCCTTGTTATGTGTTTTTTTTATTGAATTTTTATTATTGATAGATAGAGAATTTTTAAAATATGAGATTATACTAATTCATACAACCGCTAAATACTGAGAATTAAACAATTATCTACTAACGCCATCTAGCATTATAGCACTTAATTTTTCACCTTATCCATATATTGATGGTTATATTTGTCATTGAAAAAAAAACTGGCTTAGTCTTCCTCTTATTAATACAGGATTACAGACAGTATAGTGATAGACTTGATCCAATGTTACATTTTTGATTGATTACAATTATTATAGTAATAAACAGATGATGTATAAAGTATTAACTATAAAACTTAATAGCTATTTGAAATATCTATATATCTATATATTCAGGATATAGTTTTTATTTATTTAACATTTATGGATGTAGGTTGCTAGTTAAACAAACTAAACTATACCAACTTAAATAAATACTACTTTTTAAATTAACTCTGTTATAATAACCTATATATTTTAAATAATATGATATTTACTTACCTAACTTCCGATATATCATTTTTATCCAAAGCGTTTAGAGCTTGTAAAGCAGATTCCAAAAGAGGAAGAACACTTGCCAGATCATTATGACATTCCTGTAAATTAGAGAGAATATAAGCTATAATGTTAATCTATTTTCACTAATCATGCTTACATCAGCGTATTGTTGAACAACATTTGTCTCTTTTTGCATTACAGCTTCCTCAGCTTCAACAATTTCTCTTACTTGATCAACGGCTAGTTGATCCTTTTGTAATTGTTCTAAAAGAATTTCTGTATCTTTCGCTTTCTGATCAATTTTTGGGCCTAGTAGTACTAATTCTTCTTGCATTGTTCCAACTAGTTCATTAGCCTCTGATAATTTACTTAAACCGTTTAACAATCTATCTCTGTCTCCACATAAACTTTTCTTCTGATCGTAAAGCATCTTTTCGTAAAGACGTATAAGTTCCATATAAGATGAAGGTGTTACATAAAGTTTCCTTCTTCTTTCTTCGAAGAAGTTAAATGTCTCGTGTTGAACTGATTTATGAATTTCCACGCAAACTTGACCAATAGCATATTTCAATTCCTAAATTAGACATTTTAACATTTATTATTATTATTATTATTATTTTATCAATTATCTCGCTCCTTACATTCTTATCTATTTCGGGATTGGCAATCAAATCAGCATTTTCAACATATGCATGCGCGACGTCTAACATTGCCGATGTATTCCACTCATCGAACCAGTCAATAGTGCAACAAGCTATTAATGATGGATTCATTCTTGTTCTTTGACGAAATTTTGATCCAGCTGGTGACATTGCCAATACAACGTGCATATTTCTTCTAAATCTCTATAAAAAGTTTATTTAAAAGATTTAATTCTGTTTGCTTTTAAAAAGAATAATAAGTTTATCACCTTGATAAAAAATGCTGATAAAGCAACTCTAGTGTCGGTAATATTTGCTTCTGAAGCTGGTGTTTTTAAATCCATAAGAATACCATCCATTTCTTCATTGTCGAATAGATCAGGTACTTCTCCACTATTTAATATACAATTTATATCTTCTAAGAATGATTCATGAACAATATCAGAGTCTGTTAATAGGAATACGGTATTTTCTCCGTGAACTCCTGCCAATTTATAAACTTTCTTTAAATCTTCTCTAAAATCAGATAACGCGTAATTTCTAGTTAAATTCAATGTAAATAATTCAGCGTTAGCTACGAATGATGCTAATTTAATTGTTGTAGATTTTCCAGTACCATCCAATCCAACTAGAAGCATATGACCACCCGGTGATCTAAAAACTCTAGCAGCTCTTAAAATATGTTCAGTAGCCTCTTTAAAGAAGACTATTTGCTGGGCATTAGTTGTTCCAATACTCTGCCTGATGTAAAGTTCCTCCAGAGTTAATCTTAATTTGCTTTTATCAACAACAGATTTATAACTTCTAACTGTTGTCGAATCTTTAACGGAATCGGCAAAATCAGTAAAAAGTATTGGGTCGTTCTGTAGTTTGACTGCTTCCCATTTTACTTTAAAGAAATCGTGTAAATTATCGGCCAACATTTTGAAGAATAAAGCTCTATCATCTAAATCAATAAGGCGATCGTGAAATACTCTCGTTGCTTCGTGAGCGAATAGAAGAGCGCATTGTTCAAGGTTCACAACTGATACTTGGTCGGCGTTCATCAGACCCTTTATTACAGATGCTAAATCTCTTATATTAAACGTATAATGACTTTTGCTCGGTGTTGGTCTCATACTAAAGCTGGTTCTATAATAAATTCCAATAGCTGCTGACACAAGCGGAAATAGGCATTCTTTCACTTCTGATAGGAAATCGTTCTCGTTAAAGAACTTCCCTAGTTGAACTTGAAAGATATGTTGTAATGACCTTGTAGATGGCGTTGGTAAGGCTAGTATTCTAAAAATAAAATACATATTTGGTACTTTTATTTCAGTGGTGTTTTTTTTAATTACAACTTACGAAAAATTCTTTAAAAGTCTATGAGATAGTGAATTTCTCCCTCCACCAGGTGGAGCGCACGCTGCGATAACTGTTACATCTGTTATATCTCTCCAAGATAATTTTTTTGTATCGTAGAAACCATTCAAGTCAATAAATTGTCTGAGAAGTTCTAAGGGAGGTTGTGAGCCATACTCTTCCATTGCAGGCATGTTTAGGTCGTCGATGAAAACTAGTACTTTACGACCTTTAGGAGCACCTAGCATATCTTTACCCTTTTTAATTAGTTTCTGAATAATAGCCTGTTGCGTTCTATCTGCTGTCGTTTGAGCACTTAGTTGAAGAAATGACGTTACTAATCCAGGAACATTTTGCGATTTTGGACGAGATCCCAGCATTACATCCAGAGCGCTATCATCTATGAAATGTAAATGTAATGAAAAAAATTTTAACAGTTATAAAGCTGTTAAATAACACAGCAAACCTTCGTCAGTCATTTTCGTTAGCAGGCTTATATTGTCTAGCAAAGCCTGATTCCTTTCGGTAAAGTTAAATACATTTCCAAGTAAAGATCCACTTCTAAAGGTTGTACCATTATCTTTAGAAAGTTGATTAAGAGCATAGTGGACTAAAGCCGTTTTTCCTACTCCTGAATCGCCAGTTATAAGAACAGGATTTTTTCCCAGGACTAATAAAGCCGATAGGAAAGAATATCTTACACTATCAACTGTAGGAACTATTTCTCCACCATCGTCAGAAAAGGATATCCCTCTCTCAATTAGCTGATTTGTTGCTGGAACTAGATTATCCCATGGTATAAAATTACCTGAATCCAAATCTATAAAAAAGCTATATATTGTCTTTACAGAAGCTGGAAGCCGAACACCCAAAGGAGGTTCTACTTCGAATAATTCTCTAACAAAAGTATCAAAGTCTGATGCAACGTCGACATCATCTTTTTCTCTGATTCTCATCCCTAAATCATCGTCCAAATCGTCTTGTCTTTTCAAATTTCCACCAAACGACCAAGTAAAAGCGAAAACAAACAGTTTTCCAAGAATAACTGTTAAATTTCCAGGATTTCGATTCAGATAAAATTCTTTTTGCCTTAAATTAAAAAGAAAATACATAAATGATCAATATAAATCATATTTAAAGCCAGATAGTTACTGTGCTTTATCAGCCTCCTCTTGACGTCTCAAATCCCTTTTTGATAGTGTTCTCCTAGGTTTTGGAGGTTCATATGATTTTATATCTGTACTTGTCGATTCATCATCATCTGCTGAACCGAAACCTCCGTGTGTTTTCATAAATTCAAAGAAGGAAGTCAGTATGTGGCAAAGACAACATACAGCCGACATGTCTGGAGCTGGAATACTTTGGAATTTTCTAAATTTTCTTAAAAAGTTCAATCCTTTCTCTATAGCATGATTGAAAAGAGCCAACAAATGTTTCTTTCCAGCTTCTGGTAATTCTTTGGGTAATTGTGATAACCATGTATTAACGTAAGGCTTCCAGCCAAGATCGACAGGGTCCTAAAGAAAACAAAGATTTTTTCGTTAAAAGTGGTTAAACGAGCTGTAAGGGTTGTTTACCATATAAACCATAGCACAACGACTTATTGTTGCAGGGCTAGCTTGGGATAGGTAATCCACTTCAAACATAATTCTCATTCCATTTGGTAGACCAATTCTTTCTCCATTAGCCAAACATAGAACTTTAGAGTCATCTAGAACTGTATTTAAATTCTCAACCCACATAGTGTCAACTGGTCCATCCAATATAATCCACTTCCAATCAGTTGGCATTGCATCGGGATTACCTTCGAGAAGGGCCATTTGATGGACAAGTGCTTGTCCAGCCGAAATACTTGTCATCTCACTGCCTCTCCGAGATACGCTTCCTCTGGCTCCCTGATTCATGATGGACGAGCGACGCCTTGTAGGATCGATAGGAGTATAATTATCTTCCAAATCGCCGAGCTGAAAAAATTAATTACTTCAGAGAAGACTATATAAAGTAAGAAGTAGACATATACATCGTCGGATTCAGTTTTTGTACTCTGAGCTTTCTGATCTTCCACATTTATTGAATCTCTAGCAAATTTTCGAGTTGCCGATGCAATAAGACCGTCTGTCCATTCAAAAGTATTCGGATCAGTTTCTCCATATAACTCTCCTAATTTGACGCATTTAGGATTAATTGTAAAAACTTCCACATGGCCTTTTTTCGCTCTATTATGCTGAAGGAGATCAAATAATTACTTGAATAAAAGAAACTTTATTCCTAAGATCTACATACAAAGAAAACGCTATGTCGTCTATTGCTAGAACCTGTACTGGCTATACTTTTAATATCTTCATCCTCATTTTCGGAAAGAGTTGGAAGCAGAACTAAGGCTCTTTGGAGTAACGATCTTACTGTTGTTTTACCTCCACCAGTTGGACCAACCAACATAATACCATGCCGAACCATAATTTGTGAATATAGTTGTTTAACTTTTTCTATTTGCGATGGCCACAGTTGTAAATTTTGTTCTCTAACAGCCATTGATATAGCCTTTTCAATTGTTCCTAAATCTTGCGTAGGAACTGTAATACCTGGGAATAAATCAGCCATAATTGATTCAAATAAAGGTACGTCTTCAGCTAAGAATTTAGGCATATTTGCATCTCTTAACGAATGTATTAAAATATGAGCTTCTTCCTCTTCATTGAGAACTTTCTTCTTTCCCCTGAAAGTAGAGATAAGTATAGTAAAAGTGATTAATACATAGTTTAATGCTTATATAAAAAAAGAGATAAAAATCTAACTTAGATTGAGCCTGTCTTTTCTTAATACCAGCATAAACAAGAACAGATTTTATAGCTCTCATTCCAAAATCATAGTGATCTTGTTGGGAAAGTTGCTTAGAAGCTAATTGGTAAAGGTTAACGATTTTAGTAGAAAGACTCTTGGCTGCCGTAAATCCTTCGGAAAAGAGCATAATTTCGGCGATAAGAGCATAATCTGGTACCATCATGGCTACAGGTCTAAAAAGAGCTTTTAAATTATCTGGAAGTTCCACTCTTCCAGCGTATGTGGGATTCATAGTAATAAAAATACCACAAGTAGGATTTAATTTGATTTCCCTGCCCTCGAACATAAACCTTGGTGTTTGCATATCTTTTGCAACTTTTATTGTATGTATTTGTTGAGCAACGACCGATAAAACTTCAATATCAATTCTATTGAATTCATCAAAACAGCACCAACTCCCTGACTGTGACAGACCAGAAAAAAATTTTCCCAGCATCTTATAATCAAGACCTTCAGAACAATTAAAGACGACGCATTGTTTGCCCATAGATTTGGCTAAATCCTTAACTGTTTCAGTTTTACCAGTTCCTGCAGGCCCAGCAGGTGAACCTCCTAAATTAAGGGATAGAGCTCCAGTTAAAGTCAAATAGCATCTGTCAGTTAAAGGTGTGATGACCAAACGAGGCGAGCATCCCAAATATTCATAGCCATAGCTAAAAATAGCATTTGATTGTCTTACATTACAATTATTCTTTGTTTCATCCCATTCGTATCTTAATTGCCTAATGAAGTCAATGAAAAAATTAGAATTTTAATTAATGAATAGGTTTAGTATTACCTTGCCCATTCAAAATCTTCTCTTGAGCAAACGTTTAAAGCAATCAAATCGTTTATAATATCTCTATTGTGAACATCTAATGTTAATAAAGCGTTCACGGATAATCTCCTGAATACTATTAGATTTTGCGAAACCAAATTAGCCAAAATATTTAAATATTCCACCATCTTTTCTTTTAATTTAATTAGTTCACTCTTTGCATCGGCTGCTCCATTTAAACAATGTATAACATCTTTATTAAACATTATTTGAGCCTATTAAATAGAAACGAAAATTAAAGATGTAACGTATTGTATAGTTCATATATAGATATAGATATTTAAATTGTTGATGATTACGAACCACTGTCAACACAACTTGACCTGGATGCTTAAGAACCCATTCTTCGTGAGAAATACCAACCCAATCCTGTAGGCCAGCTTTTAAATGTCTTTTAACAGTATCAAACATTCCATTTTCAACACTTCCCAGCCATTGTTCAACAGGACCTCTTGCTCTTAGATTTCTAGGGGGAAATTTGTATATGAATTTTCAGAATTATGAATATTCATAGAATAAAATAAAATACTTGGGCATTTCGATAGTTTCTCCTTCTGCCGATGTCATTGTTTTTACAGTGGCAGGTTGCCTAGGTGCAGTTCTTATCTCTAATTCTTTTATATTACCGAAACATTTACCAAGATGAGGTTGAACTGCATCGGGATTCTTTGATTGGGCGAGAATATCGAGTAACTCGTCATTACTAAGAAAGTAGAATCTTGGAAAGACCAATCTCTTCGTTTCAAGATAGTCCTCCAAACACTTTTGAACTTTTTCCAAATTCGTATTGGCTGCTTGTAAAGCTTCAAGAACGCCGGGAGCAGTTGCTGATTTCAAAGCATTTGGTGAGTCTTCCGTCTTTCTCATAATATCTTTCCAACTCTTATCAACTTGTGCAAACAACTTGAATTCATTTGGTAATTGTCTTTGTATATCGGGTGTTGTGAAAATCTGTTCAAGATATAACCAATTTCTTTGACAAGTCATCCACTCGTCCAAAGTTCTTGCGAATAGATTTAGACGCCTCTCCCAATCTTCTACTTGATTTTTTATTGGTCCAACATATCTAGATCCTCGAATAGTTCCAATTGTTATCTATTTATTTAGTAGAGACAATAATTATATCTGTGAATTTGTTAATTTCCTATATTCTATTTTGATGATACCTGACTCTCTTCCAATTGAGCTTGAATATCCTCTGCTCCGGCAATAATAACAACGCTACCGCTGACGTGAGGAAGGAGACGGAACATAGTAGATTGCCAGAGATCAACAACTTTTTGGAGCATTCTTTCAAGAGTTGCTTCGTTACTAGCAGTAGTTGAAATATCTTGAATTTTTTCCTTAAATTTGGTGATTTTCATCTCAATAAGATGACCAAGAGTAAACTCCTTATCTTGCCAAATGTTTTTACCGATGAGTTGTTCAATTTGATTCCAATGCCGTTCTCTTAAGGATGGATTCCTTAAACTTACAATAATAGGCATTATTAATTTGAAGTTCATTACTTTCTTTTTCAATTTTGGTACTAAATCATTAGAAGGCAATCCTTTTTCAAGCATATAAACTGTTTGAGTGAATCTATTAACATTCTTTTGCAAATGTTCTACAACAAGTGTATCGAATGTTGAAACAGTCCACTCCGCTTCTAATTTATCCCACTCCCATAAAGATTCCCAGAGTAATTTCCTCAGCATTAGATCTCTTTCGATATCGGACAAATCCGTTTGTAGATCTTGAGTAGAACTTTCTTCTTTTTTTTCTATAAGAGCAAATTCATCTTTCTTAGAAGGTTGTAAAGAGCTTCCAAATCTATAAGAAAGATAGAAAAAATATAGGATATTTATAGATATACTTTGACAATTGATAGTTGTCATTTTACCTTTCTTGATAATTTGCATAATTTCTAGTCTTAACTTGTAAATTGGTGACTTCTTCACTCATTAATTTAATCTTTTCTAAGGCAACTTTTCCATGGGTATCCTCCGCTAATAAATAAGGATCTTGAACTCTTATCTTCATATCAATAATCTTATTTCTTATTCCAGATATTAAAGTGTCTAGTTCACTACTGAACTTTCTTATATTATCCTCTTTCTTTGCTTCGGCCCACAATAGAGTTGTTTTAAGATGTTGGAAAGATGGTCCTAATATTTGATAAAGAGCAAATTCCTCTGCATCTACTTCAACATCAAAATCTTTGGCAATAGCGTACAATTTGGTAACAATATGATATTCCCTCTCAAGATTATTCATTTCTGCACTCATCTTTGCAGTGAAAGAGAGATATTCAACAAATTCTTCCACATTCAACGGGGTTCTATCAAGAGTTTTCAAAGCCCTTTTAATAATTTTTAAAAGCTCTTCATTTCTCTTACAAGCTATGCCAGGTAATCGACAAATGACATCATGGATAACTGTTCTTGGAAAAGGAAGACAATTCTGGCAAAAGTTTTCACTTTCAACTTGAATAAAACCTATACGTCGTTCTCTTTCCATGGCAAGCATTTCTCTCTCTTGATCAGTATGTATCGACAGGACGTTATTAAAGTCATCTGTTGTCCATTCTCTTTTATCCATTGACTCTCCAACTTTAACGTGTCTTGCTTGTTCTACCATATCGGTGAATGTATCAAATTGTACAGAATAATCTATCACAGTATTCAAATTAGACTCAACACATTCAATTACACCAGTTATTGTAGCTTGAAAGTCTAGGTCAAGTCCAAAGACAAGATCTGTATTAGGCCAAGGAGGTTCAATCACTCCTTCTTCCTCTTCGCGCTTCTTTTCTTCTTCGTATTGGGAAGTTAAATCGTATTTCGGTGGCATGTAAAAAGCTTTCAGACGAGGATTTTTTAACAGAGAGACAACTTGGCCGACAGTATTTTCAAATCCAGCAAGGACATTAGAAATACCTTCTTTAATTTCATCTTCACTAGGTGAAAGTGTTACGTGAGCGATTTGCTCTGCATTTTCCGATTCTTCTTCAGTGCGGCTACTCTCAGGATAAGCATAATTTTCATTTCCAAAACCCTCATCTTCTTCATCTTCCTCATTCTCATATTTTTTCTCATCCTTCTCCGAATCGGATTCGTCGCTTACGGAATCAACAAATTTGACACTTTTCGCTTCAGTTTTGTTAGTTATTTTTGATACTTTTGATAATTTTCTCTTTTTAACTTCTACCGGAACTGTCAAGACTAACTGAACACTAATTATAGGTTTATTTTCCTCAACAACCCTCTTTTCATCATTAAGTTCCTTAATAACCTGAAATTAAATTAAGATAATAAAATATTGAATAAAAAACATGGAAATAAATAAATTAATAAATTAATAAAATAGTAAAATAATCTATTTCTTTACTTGGTCAATAAAATTCAAGCTTTCAACGTTTTCGCTACGTTCCGTTTCCGATCGAGGAGAAGGTAAAGGCGATATCGTATTTTGATAACGACTTAGACGGCTAGTCATTGATGGAAGAGGAGTTGCCGGTGTTGTTCTTTTAAGTGAAGGTGATCTAGTAGAAAGTTATTGAACAATGAAATAAAAAGAAATGACTGTGACAAAAAATTGTTCTTAAACGAAATTTAAGTGAATAAATTTGTTTTTTTAAAAAGAAAAAGAGCAATATCAAGTTGAATAACTTACTCTTGATCAGCAGCGGATAGGAAGGATCTAATTGTATCCCTTTCTTCTCTATCAGAGTATCCAGTGACATTTTGAATAGATATCTACAATTGATAAACGATATATTAGTATATTTAATATACAATTAAATATCTTTCGAGTATGCAAGCAAATAAATCTATATTTAATAATATAAAGAGGATAGATGAAAATATTGGAAAACTCTGATAATCTTGAAAACTTGACTCTAATAAATTTATATTTATGCTTGAGAGATTGCTTGTAATAGTTTTTGTGCTATTTATAATAAACAAAGAACTACGGCATTTATACTTTACTTTTGGTATTATGAAGTGAAGCTGAAAATATGTATTTATTAAGTTTTCATAATTAATTTCAATCATTAAACACTGCCATCTGGTTTGTACTTTTTCAAGTATTTTATTATTAATTCCAACTAATTAAATAATAAATATTGTACTGATAATACAGTAGACAGATGGCGCAACTTTAATTATTTAATTATTTCAAGAAGTTAGAATTTTAATACTTACTCCATCATTTTGCTCTTGTAGAGATTTTTCCGTTTGTTCATTTCCGGTTTTGAAGGATTCTAAGAAAAAGTCTGACATTTCAGCACCAGCTGTAACAACTAATCTCCTAAGTAATTCCAATACTTGATAGTCAATAGCACGGAGGAAGAATGATAATCTATGAAGTATTTTCCTCCACTCAACGATTAAAGCGTAAGGAGGTTTCTTCTTCTTTCTTTTTCCATTCGGTTTCTTTTTAGGTTTCTTATTAAAGCCATACTTTTTCTCTAGTTTAGCTTTATAGATATCTTTTTTCTTGTCCTCGTCATCATCGTCGATGTTGTCGTCGTCGTCATCGTTGTCTACGTCAGCTTCTTCTTCCGAGGAATTTTCATCACTTCGTATACCTTGCGTAATTCCTTCTTTTTCAGCCACGACCTATAAACATAAAAATATAGTTAGTTTACATAACATTTTAATTTAAAAAGAAAATATCTAACAGCGCAGGCTTCATAAACTAATTCGGCTACTGAATCTTCTATCTGCTTTAGTTGTTTTAAGGCGATTTCACCTTGAACTTTCTGATCTGATACAAAATCAGCAAGAGTTATGCACTCTTTCCGTCTTAAGTTTAAGAGTACAATTGCATTTTCACCAGACCCATATCCTGTCAGCGAACCTGAAGCTCTCTCGCATAAACTTCTCACGTGTAAAAGACAACCTTGAAGAACTTCATTTGCGCAGAATAGTATTTTGTGCAATACAAGTTTACTACTTCCATGAGTAGCCCTTTTAACGTTGCTCTTCCATACTTGAAAAGCTTTCCATTTCCTTTGTAATTAAATAACTTTATTAAACTTTTCGATTTGAGATAAAAATACTTTTACCTGAATTTTACAAAAACTTGAATATTATAGATAAAATGAAAAAGTCTTCTTTCCAATAGCCATAATAAGGCTGGAGTTCTTTCAGAATCGTTACCCGGTCTAACAAGAGTTATATTGGATGCTGAGCCCGTCCAATAATATTTTGAAGATCTATGTCAATATATGAATATTAAATTATTCCAGACTCTCTCTATATATAAGAAGTATATCTCATATATACCTGGCTAAATGTGGAGATACAACTTCTAAATCATAAGGAAAGTAGCGTCCTCTGGGATCATACCTATTTTTTTCCAAAGCGTAAACAAACGCTCCATCATCATCTTTCGTATCGAGAACTTCCTGTAACACCAATTAATTATTTTCAACTCTACTCAATTAGGAAATTAAAATCATCTAGAAATGGGATACCCCAAACTTAATAAAAGAGTGTTTATTTATAGGTATTACCTCAATTTTAAGTTTGCTGTCAAATTTCTTACTAGGTTTTTCTGCTGTTGGATCGTGTGCATCATTCTAAACAACGTAAAAAAAAAGAAAAAAAAGGGAAAAACAAAAAAGGTGTGCAAATGTAACAATAAAAAATAATAAAATAAATAATAGAATCACGTGTCACGTGACACGTGATTAGAGGGAAGGAAAATAGTTTAAGATAATATATAAAACAAAAAAAAAACCTCTTCTTCACTATCCGAATTAATGAAAACTTTATCAGTTAACTTTTCAAATTTCTTTCTGTAGCCAGGACCGTGTCTTGGTAAATCCGATCTCCAATTTAATCTCTTCCTCATGTTTAAAATGGCTTTATAAAATTCTTTTTCACTTGGTTCCTTGTCATCATATATATTTGATTTAAGATGTGTTAAAATCTTTGTTGGATCGGGAATTGCTGATGATCTCCTTCTTGTTAATGCAATATCATCGGATAATGAACTTAAACTATCCGATTCTAACTCTTGAAGTTGAAAATGAACTTTTTTGATATTTAATCCATCAGTTTCATCTTCCTCGTTCTTAACACCATTTTCCTCTTTTATTATGTAAAGGTAAAATTCCTTTTTATACTAAACTACTTAAAAAATAATAATATACCTTTATCATTCATTTTCTCTGGCGAAATTGAAGGAGTTTTAGTTGGAGAATCGACTTTTCGAAGTTGCTTCCGAAACCTGGTATTGAGTTAAAGATATTTCAATGCAAATATATTTTTTTCATTTATTAAAAAATTACATTTCTATAGATAAAAATTCGTCGTCTTCAAGATGTTTTTCGCTCTCTTGGCGTCTAACTTTATGTAATCGTCCTGCAGTTGCTCCATCAGGTTTAGCGGAGCCAGGAGGATGAGGTAAAGTCTATAAAATTTAATTTTATTCTTTCATACTGTGTTTATTTTTCTAAAATTCAACAATTAAACAGTAAATGTAAACTTACGAGAACTTGATTGTTCTTTTCTCTCTGTTTAACAACTGCTAGAGCACGACATTGGGATGAAGTACTATATAATCTTGATTTAAGGCTTGCAGCTTTAAATTTTGGCTTTTTTGCTATCGGTGCATCCTCTGGATTAAATTCCTTAGTCGATGCTGTTGGCTGTGTAAAAGGAGTATTTTGAGGAACAAAGGTTGTTTCAGCTTTTTCATTCTTATCTTCAAGTATTTCTCCTAGGTCAGTATCTTGTTTTAAAAATTTGAGCTCTTTCGAACTACTTTCTCGAGAATTATCAATTAGATGTTGATATTTCGCGCTCATCTTGAAATTCGAATAAAACAATCTGAGTGATAGTTGGCACAGATTTGTTGATTGGCACTTTTTTAGTTACTTGTTAATTTTTAGAGCATAACAAAAAAATTCTTTAATTTTATCAAAACTTTCAATACAAATATGAGTTATTTATATTCCTGTACTGTTTTATAATAATTCAAGAATAATTCAAAAGGAACGGAATGTTTTGACCCGCCATACTTGCCGACGGATTATTGTGAAAAAATTACAAAAAAAAAGAGAAAACAAATTAAAAAAATAATAAAATTAAATAGAATCTTACTAAAATGCCCTTAGCAACATATATTATTTTAAAAAATACGAAAATCTGGAGTGGCATTGTGTATCTATTCCGCTTCGATAGAGAGCAGTACATTTTCGCTGTTTACCACTCTCCGAAATTTTAGTACCTTACGAGAAGGGTTCTGCCAAAGAGGCAAAAACCGGTTGTTTTTAGCGACATCTATAGGATTTTTAATGGGAAAATTTTGAGCATGAAACTTAAGAGAAATATACGGTTTTTACTATTTCTAACATTCTTATGGCTTATTGGGTTACTCTACTATATCTGGTCTCTTCCTGCAGAGGTAAATTTGTTAATACTTACTGATAATAATAGTTTATAAAGCGAATTACGAACTGACGAACGCAATATTTTTTGCCTTCAGAAAAACAGCGTGTAAAACCTTAATAAACGTTAATAATAAATTTAAAATACTGCATAACTATCCACTATAAAATGCTGGAGAATGAAAGAATGCTTTTAATCAATGTCAAGTAACTATTAAAGATAATTAGTTCCTATTACTTTAATTCTAGTATTGTCCCTTTATATGATTGCTATATTAACTTGCTATTTCGCTGTAAATTTTTTATTAGTTATATCAGAATGGTAATCTTTAATGCAAAATGAACCTTGAATAGTCATGTAGGCTAAAAAATTATTGTTTTATACATAGTAAGCTGATTAAAATTGCTTTAGTCTATTTGATAATGTATTGGAAGATTAATCAATTTTAGCAACCGTTTCTTTAAATTATTACAACAGAAAAAGTTACATAAAGGATTATTGTTAAAAAAAGAAGGGGTCGAAGATCATACAAATCAACAAGAACGCTATCAACAACAACATCGCACTGCAGGCAGTCTCTACTTCGATGAAAAAAAATATATAGATAAGACTCGTATAAAACCAGGTGAAGATGCTTATGCAAGGAATAAATTTAATCAAGCAGCTAGTGATGATATTCCAAGTGGTAGAGACATTCCAGATGCTAGAAATTATGAGTAAGTTATTGATCAAATCGTATACTAAATATTAACTTTATTTATTCAAAGAATATTAAAAATTAATTAAAATCTAAAGATAAATTGAGTAAAAAAAATTGGGGGAGGGAAACAGCGAGCAAACAGATAGGAAGATGGCTTGTTAGTTAAAAGTGATGGATAGGGGCCGGCAATATTAATACAAATATTTTAATCATCATAGATAGCTTCCATATATATATATATATATATATATATATACTGTATATATAAATTTATATACATTGTATATTTATAACTAATTAGGATCAACATATTAGCCGATAAATGCTCCCTAATTTTGCAGGTGTCATAAAGTTAATTATCCCAATGATTTACCGAAAACTTCCGTTATCATAACATTCTATAACGAAGCAAGATCAACATTACTTAGGACTGTTGTTAGTGTTATAAATAGAACACCAGAAGAGATTTTAGAAGAGATTATACTTGTTGACGATCATAGCGACGATCCAACGGATGGTTTGGAATTAGAAAAAATAAATAAAGTAAAAGTTATTCGTAATGAGAAAAGACAGGGTCTAATAAGATCGAGAATAGTTGGGGCCGACAAGGCTGTTGCCCCTGTGCTAACTTTTTTAGATAGTCACTGCGAATGCGGTTATCTGTGGCTGGAACCATTATTATTAAGAATAAAAGAAAATTATAGAGCGGTTGTTTCGCCTATAATTGATATACTAAGCATGGAGAATTTCCAATATTCAGCTGCCTCTGATATGCTAAAAGGTGGATTTGATTGGAATTTAATTTTTAAATGGGTTTATATGACAGATAAAGAGCGTTTAGAACACGCCAAATCGCCAATTGCACCTATAAGAACTCCAATGATTGCTGGAGGCTTATTCTCTATTAGTAAACAGTATTTTATTGAAATAGGAAAATATGATTCTAAGATGGACGTTTGGGGAGGAGAAAATTTAGGTAATAAACTTGAAAAAGATTATCATCGTTCTATTTTAGATAGTTTTTGTTTTTGTTGATTATAAACTATTTATAATTTATATAGAATAATATTTTTCCATAATATTCCGAGACAAATCCCTTTGGTATATAGATTTGCATTGCAGAAATATCGTTCCGTGTCTGGCAATGTCACGGCTCCTTAGAAATTATTCCGTGCAGTAGGGTTGGCCATGTGTTTAGGAAGCAGCATCCTTACACTTTCCCTGGAGGAAGTGGTAATGTGTTTGCTCGTAACACAAGGCGAGCAGCCGAAGTTTGGATGGGCGATTATAAGCGTTTCTATTTTGACGCTGTCCCTTCAGCAAAATTTGTTGATTTTGGAGATGTTGGGGATAGATTAGCTTTAAAGAATAATCTCAAGTGCAAATCGTTCAAGTGGTACTTGGAAAATGTATACCCAGAATTGGAGTAATTATAAATAGATTTATCCTCTAAGATCAGTTGTCCTTAATTAATGCATAATTTACTTCGATAGAGTACCGGATAAATCGGAAGATCACTATGGTGCATTTAGACAGAATTTAAATTGCTTAGACACATTATCACGCGAACAGGGGGAATCAGTTGGGATATTCGGATGTCATAACTCAGGAGGTAATCAAAATTGGGCACTAACAAAAGACAATCAAATCAAACATTCTGAATTTTGCTTGACAATTGAAAGAGAGACATCAGGATCGATTCTCAAATTATACGAATGTAGTAAAGTTGATTCGAGACAGGTAAAAAAATATGAAATGTTTTTTTATTAATATCTCTTTTATATTGATTTAAATTAATAACTTTACAGAAATTTATTGAATACGGTGATCGAATGTTCAAGCATATTTCAAGCAACTTGTGCATAGATAGCTCATTTTACAAAACCGATAAAGGGGTTGGACTAGAAATATGTGATACTAATAAAATATCACAAAAATGGAGGCATGTACCAAATGTAAATTAAAGAATAGGATTGTTTTTAACTGTTTTTAGACTATGTTTTTAATTACAAAACATTTATATTATGAACTTTTTGAGCTTTTCCTTTTCTGGTGCTATGTTTCATTTTATTTATCGCTAGGCTACTTCTGAAATTTTTTATCTATTTTAAACAGATATACAATACGTCTATCTATATAGAGTTTTTTATTGTTCAAACAAAAAAAGAGACAAAAAAAAAGATTAAATGATGAGCGTTTCACTAGAATTAAATATATTAATGATTTATTGATTTGTTTTTATCTTCTTTTTTAAATGAAGAAACTATAGGAATTATATGCATTGTTTTAATAGATATCTGAAATATCGTATTTATTCTGCAATGCCCAATCTTTTAATAATTTTACAATTGTTTCAGCTTGACTATTAGTTGAATTTTTCAATATTCTTATGATATCTTTCAACCTTGTTCTGTTTTTAAATATTCATAAAGATTATACATAAAATTATTGAGTAATTTGTAATCATTACTTTTTCTCCATACCATATGTTATAAAACGAAAAACACCCATACAGGCTCCTCGTTTACCTTCCCAATATTCAGGACTAGGATCTAGTCTGTCAAGTATATCAAATGCCTTAGCAGAATAATAAAATTGATCTGTCTTATAACAATCGTTCGCTATCAATCTCAAAAGATTGAATGACTGAACACCAGTTTCAGCTTTTAAATACAGTTCCCAGGCTAAATAAGCCTTTCCATTCATTATATAAGATCTAGCCAAACAGGACAAATAGGTATATTCCGACCTAAAGTAATAATTTGTAATAAGAAGAAATACTTCTTCAGCCTTAGCAAACTCTCCAACAGCTGTCAAAGCTTGCGCAAAATTATAGTTAAATGTGTCATCATTATGGAAATAGTTCTATCAAAATAGAAAAGAGCATTACAATAATAAAACTTTCATGCTGGTTTTAAATTATTACTTTTATCGAATCTAAATAAATTAGGACATCGTTAAAATTCTCCAATAAGAAGTAATAAGACGCCATACACTGCCTTCCACGTATTGAGTCTAATTAATTTAAATGTTATGTAAATAGAATAATTATACAATTAAGATAAAAGATGACAACGTACCACGTTCACCTTTAGAATCTCCAACGGATTTAAAGCATTCTTTCGCAAATTCTATATATGATGACTAAAATATGAAAGGCTCTTTAGATTAATATACGTGTACATATATTGTTAATTACACAATACATTAGAAAGATTTCTTAGTAAGTATTGATTTCAAAAAGAAAGAGTTAGTGAGTGAGTGAGTGAGTGAGTGAGTGAGTGAGTGAGCGAGCGAAAGAGGAAAAGGAGATTTTAATAATTCTCAAAACACGCTTGATGATAAAACATAAAAGGAAGAGAAACACATATATAATATTGAAGTGATTGTCATCTAAGCGACGAATTACAAATGGGAATTACTTCTAACGTCATCATCTATTATTGAGAGAGTTACGCTGCCGATAAAGACTCTCTACTGAAGATCAGAACTGCTGTGAATTTGTATACTCTTTAGACAACTTACGTGCATATCTCCCCTGCTCTATAGTCTGCGTTTATATATTCTAAACACAAATATACAATTGTTACGTAATTTAATGCAAAAATTATACAAACCGATCTTTCTTCCTGTCCTAAACAAGCGCAAACTGTTCCCTTTAAAATATACTCTTGAATTGTAGAAGGGTTAAATTCTTTTATCAATTTAAAAGCTGCTTGAAGGTCATTCTTTTGTAAATAATAAATAACCAAATTTAATCTAGCTTCTGGTATAATATTAACAAGTGGTGGAAGAAATCGAAGTATGTCTTGACCCGAGTTGAAAACAACTAAATTATGATTTAGAACATCTAAAAAGTAACTGTAAGATGACTCAGAATATTTTTCTTTATAAAATTCTAATTCAGTATGAGCACTTTCAACGTGAAATAGTCGAAAGTTGTTACAAGCTTTCAAGTTAATTGCAACGACACTGTCTGGATAACTTCGAAGATATATATTTAATATTTCCTGTTTACAAAAAGATACGGATAAGCATATATAAAGAAATCTTTTATTTAAGCCTTTACTTGCGAAATATCATAGTAATCCATCTTGTAATAGCATAATGCTATATAAACGTGTACAGCTAAGTAGTCCCTAAGGAAAACAGAGAAAAAGAATAGATTAAAAATTAAGGGTCAATATTGTATAGTATAAAGTAGCGTTAACTAATATATAAAGTATATACACTAAACATCTTTTACATTTATCCAATATAAAGCTAAAAAGGAAATGTTACTTATGCTCAAATAAAACTCTCTTGTAAATATCAATAGCTTCTTCGTAATGCGAACGTAAATAATGCATTGAAGCCAACGATAATTGATCTTCTGTGATATCCTGTAATCTTTGATGATAGACTATTATCTTTTCTTCATCGTCGAACTTTTGCGAAAGGTGAAAGAGCAAACGATTTTTTAAAGGTGTTTTCGGCCCTTTCTCAATAAATTCCCTCGACTCTTCGTACATTCCCAACATAAAATATGTACATGCCAACCAGATATAGATTTCTGGGTTAGGTCCATCATCTTTAAGCGCCTTATGATAAAAGTTCACAGCCTTTTTAAAATCACTCAAATGGAATGCACAATATGCTATCCAAATGCTACGGTCATACAGACTTATTTCTGCCGTATTATGCACCTCTAAAAGAGTTATGGCGCCCATAAAATCTCTTTTCTGTATGAATTCTGAGAATGTAGGAAGTTCCTTTCCTTTATCTTTTCTTTTACATTCTTGAAAGTTTCTTTCAATGGACGGTTTCTTTCTGGAAAGTAACTTTAGATAAGAGCGAATTAGTAACGATCTTTTAAGTATTTAAACTAACCATTTTGTAGACATTTAATACTAAAAAGTATTAAAACTAACGATAAAAAGTAATTATCAATATCGTTCTTAATAACAATAATCAGCGATCGTCTGCAAAGTGAAATAATTGTTTTCGTATTTTGAAAAGTTAACTTTTTCAAAAGGAAATATCTAAATGATGTGAAAAGATCAATAATTAGACCCATTCTACTTTACTTATATAGATTATTTACTTAAATAGTAAATATTCTATTTTTGTATCAAAACATTATTATCTAATTAATATAATATATTAAAGCATATGTACTAAACCGGATGCACTTTTCGCTGATTCATGAAAGAGAAAACTGCACATTTACTTACATATTCAATTGATTAAATAGAATTTATTACAAAATTATCATTTAAATTATACTTTACGTATTAGCTAGCAGCATATATATATATATTTAGTACATACACTGCAGATTAATAGAAAAGTACTTAATGCGCAAATGAAGGTATCTTGCATTGATAGCTGAAACAAATACAAAGTCAAATAAACAGAACAAAAACAAACAAAAGTTGTTTTGTATCAAAATTTGCTTCTCTTTAAGATCGAAAGTACTAGTAAAGCAACACAAGCTGAACCTATCCTTAAAGGGCATATAAAAGCAGCTATAATTCCGTATGCTTTTCCAAATCCGGTCCACGCTAAATATATCTGCCACCATACAATCAGCAAAATGAATACATAACTTTTCCATTTTACTTGTTTCTTTAATGTAAAGACCGCCCATAGTGTTAATGGGGTATTAAACGTCCATAATTGAAACAAACCAAAGAATGGTAAGGTTGGAAGCGATATGACACCATGAGAATAAGTAAACGCGCCGTAAAAGCAAACGACACCCCAATGATTTTCAATCAGTTGACCAACAAACCAAGGTCCTAAATATATATATAAGGACCAACCAATTAGAACATAGCACAATGTAGCATCAGCTGATAGAATGGACAGTCTCCTAATCCAACTATGATCAAAATGAAGCATAATGTTACGTTTTATCGTTTGATGACGCAACATCAGCAGGGGAACAATGAGAAATAACTCAGTAAAAAAGAACAACCATCTAGCGACTAGTCTATGATCAGCCATAAGGATAAACCTGGCTCTGAAGGGAAAAGGTAATCTCGAATTGTCCAATGAGAAAGGCTGTTCGTGTTTAGAGATACGACCTCCACACTGTTTGAAGACAAAAAAAAAATTATATTATGTTTTAATAAAAAAAATTGAATATATAATTTTCTACCTTAACATTTACGCTTATTTTATGTATACCAGTTTTGAATTGTTTAGGATCCCAAGGTATTGTATACAATGGACTTGTATTGGTTTTTTTAGCATTGCCTAATTTAAAGCCATCGACAGATACAACAACTTGATCGACAGGTACAGGAGAAAATATTAATATTCTGTAAAAAAAAAGAACAAAAGAGAAAGGAATAACAAATTCGTTGGCAGACTGGATAAGAAAATCGCAATTTAATTTAAATTGATATAAAACCTTATGTGAGTAGAATGTAAAATCTTCTCCGTTGGTTCATACTTCGGTGAATTAAATTGACTATGTTTCGGATTCGTAATTAATACTAGTGGGAACTCATCGAATAAAGTTTTATCAACAAATGAAAAGAGGCCATTATCAACAGCGAAAATTCGATATGCTCTATTATCTTTCCAATCTGCTAATTCTAATTCCATATTACCGTCTATATGACTAGTATACATTTGCGGTAAAAAACCAAGTAGGTTATGCAGATGACCGCATAAATAAAAGCCAGCTTTCCTAAGGGATAAAATATTTAATGTAATGAACCACTATATATATATATATATATATAATGTATATATAAAGTATGTATAAAACTAACGAAATTAGAGATTTCATTTCATGTTTCTTACCAACAACCGTTGATGAAGGAAAATGTCCAAAAAACACAATTGCATCTTTTCTCTTTTCAGCCTCTTTTATAAATTTGTCAACTAATTTATAATTTTTCTCATCTAATTGACCAAAGAAGTTAAAAGGTCTCTTCAACCCAATAGTCAGGGCAACATCCAAAGCAATAAGGGTAACGTTTCCTTGCCTATGGTAGTAGGATTGTAATTTATTCCCTCTAAGTGAATAATTCTTATAATAATTCGTAGAGCTCTTATCTCCACCAACGTTAAACGTGTCTAAAGGGAAACATAAAAATAAGAAACGGTTGTAATATTTTCAATAAACATAATCTGTAAAAGATATTTATTTAACTGAATCTTACTTCAGTTAACATTAGACATCACTAGGAAAATAAGAACGGCTGTTTACAGTTCATTACTCATTCTGCATCTATCATCCTATTCTAGTTTTTATGTTTTCTACAATAAATAATGTTTGTATTGTTATTTCATAAGCTATAAAAAATACATATAAAATATATGTAGTATTGGATAATCAGGATTATATTAATTAGTTATATTAGATTACCGACGAATTTTCACTACAAAACATATATTTTATAACAATAGGTTAAGTTTAATTTGTCGAAAGTTAATAATAATTAATAGTATTATAGGCTTAAGGTATTTATAGTATCATATATAAAATAGCTTTGTTCTAACTTTTAAAATTATTTTTTAATCAACAAATTGTGTGTATCTGTTAAAAAAAAAGAGAAAAAAACATGAACATCTGTTCTACACTAACATTTTAAAAACATGGAGACATTGACCAAAAATCATTTTAAAGAATTCCGATACAACTTTGACGTATAAAAATAATACTTGAATTACATCAGGTGATAAAAAAATCGGATGATCCCTACTCTTTGCTTCCTTCCTTATCAATTCTAGTATATGTAATTCAATCTCTATCTCTATAGCTCTAGATATTTTTAAAGAGTTTCCTCTTTTCACTACTTTCTATATAAATTTGTGTTACTGTTGACCTTTGCTATTTATTTTTTATTATTATAGGTATAAATAAAAAACAATGTATTATGTGTAAAATAATTAAGTCTTCAAATACAGGGTACTGTTTGTTTTCGTAATATATACTGTATACATTCATAACAATAGAAAAATAATAATAATTAAAAGCTGTTTAATTGTTCAATTTACATGAATTTATCAAATTTAATAGAAAACTAACCATGATTGCCTCGAATATCCAACGTTGTTGTTTTTTTAGAACAGTAATTTTTAACAATTTTTGTATAGGTCTGCCACTCATCGAGATATTGTTCGGATCCCATATGATCGTCGTGTTTTGCATCAGTTAAATCTCCTAGAAAATAGTAATTTTCATTTAATATCTATGCTTATAAATCTTAAATTAAATTGTATTTTGTTAAAAAAGAACCTGTAATAATCAGAGTTTGAGGTTGTATAAAGTCCAAATACTTTGTGCAAAACATTTGCAAGTCGTTTATTCTTTTTTTATCATAAAATCGGCTTATATGTATGTCCGAGAGCTAGAATTAAAGAATATCTATTTAATTAATTAGAAGCTTTAGATTTTTGCGTGAATTTACTATTCTTTTTCAATTATTCGAACGGATACAACAAGCACAATATACATTTTTATGATCTTTATATAGACACATGTACGAGCTATAAATACTGTAATAACACTTATATATAGGTTTTAAGAGGCAATTTTGAGATACATCATCAGAACATGTAGTGTATATTATAATCAAGAAATATTTAATATTATTTCAGTTTGTCATTGAAAAATAAAAATAGCCTTTAACTAACTTGAACAAACCATTGCAAGCCCTCGGTCGAACTATCAAGTAACGGTGGTTTATTTCCATGAAATTTAGCTTGGTGAATCCTTTCACTTGCATCATTCAAGTGCTCCAGAGTATTTGAAGCTAAGTAAATAAATAAACTTAACAAAACTGTGAAAATTGCAAAGCTGATACAATTTTTCATTGTTAAGAAAGCAGGTATTTTTTTAGAATCCGAGTTTTTCACATAAGCCATACTAATGGAATAAACCATCTATCTCCATGGTCCGCCTCTCTTGTATCAATTTGTAATTATGTTGTAATATAAGTTTTCGTCAAAACTTATTATTTGGCAATAAGATTTCGTCGTCTGCTGTTAGAGGCTGGTTACCAGTCCAATAAACATTTTACGAAAATAAATTTTTTCTATATCAAATTTATTAATTAATAAATTTTGAGTAATTTGCTTAAATTTAATAAAAAAAGGATTTTAGTAATATTACGAAAAAAATTTAATAAATCAGACAATCATTAGTTTTAAAGCGGGACAGTTTCATTTTCAACTGTGGTAAATCATGGCACATGAAAACAAGAAGATCTACGAAGGCGTTCTCTTCTCCACTTTAGAAGAAAAAGATTCAATATCTCCATCTTCGCCTGTGACTGTTAATATACACTTGCAGGAGAGTTCGACTGGTTTTAAAGTGCTTGCTAAAAATGGTTAATTTATTACAAATTTATCAAAAAAAAAAAACGTGACCAATTTTTTTAAAACTGTTAATTAATTTTCTTTTTCTTAGAAGGTGCTTATGTAATAAGAGCTTTATCACATATTATACAATTAGCGACTTATTAAATAGTAAATTTAAGAAAAGAAAATGCAGCGAATGGTAATTGACTCATATTTAGCACAAACCACGTGCGATTTGAAAAATGTTAACTACTGGTCGTTGTACCGGTGTATGCTACGTTATTAATTGAATTAAGATATAATTACATTAAAACTAATATAACGAACGTTTTTAACGTATGGAAGAATATATTGATAATTTTCAAAAAATTGTCTAAGTTCTCCAGTTAAATGGAGCATAAAAAACACTCCCAAACCACGGTGATTCTTCCTAGCTTGCAATGATAGATTGCCCTAACTTTATCAAAAAGTTAAAATGTTGAACCTTATTTGCTATAAAAGAGATATAAGATTCAAATCATTGGCAGACTATAAAAAATGTGTATTTTTTGTAAAGGGAATGAATCAGACTACAAATGTCTTATAATCTTTAATAGATGTTTTGAAAATAATTTCAGGCACTGGAGAGCCAGCAGAAATTGGGTTTGTCGACAAAACCACAGAAATATGCAAAGTTGGCAAAAATACGGCTGTTGTAACGTTCGAAGAGAAAAGTATAAGCCTGAAGTTTCAAGCTGAAAATGGTTAGTATTGATAAACTTTAAGAGAATCTATCAACAGGCTCTGAAAGTAGTGCTCACTGTAATAAATAGGTGTCAAAATCTCCGTAGCTGTTAGTTTAGTAAAGAGCCACCAGGCGGAAACGTTAAATTTTAAAGGCTAAAATTTATCAGGCATATCAAGACAAGCATACCCACTTTACTTGCTATTCAAATTCAGTTTAGAAGCCTAATGCCAGACTTGGCAAGATATTATTCTATGAAATGTTAATTAGTTGTTTAAGCTACTTATTAGTAACACAACCGTGAGTCAATCATGTATTTTTAGCTGAGTGAGTGTGGAAGTCACAATGAATATTTTTAACAGTAATTATTTCTTTATTTTATAATAAAAGTAACTTTCTTGACATTTTTTTTTATAAATTATGTAGCGAATAATTTAATTGCTCATCGATTAAATTTGAAACGGGTTAGGTGAATAAAAAATAGCTAATTGATTCGGACATTCTAAAGTTAGAATGTCATTCCTTGTGAAATTGTCTACGATTTTAATTTAATGTATGATACATGTATTATATTGGTTACACTTTTAATATCTCAACAGATTTTATATCGTTTTATGACAATGCGAAACGAGCTATTTCTCAGAAAACTAATTCGGTGTTCAAACTTCGAACTGAAGAAACTTCTGCGAAGCAATATTTTCAGTTTTACGGATACTTAGAGCGACAACAAAATATGTTGCAAGATTTTATACGAACAAGTACCTATCAAAAGGCAATGCTAAATAGTAATGAAGATTTTATGGGAAAGGTTGTTTTGGATGTAGGAGCAGGATCTGGAATTTTATCATTTTTTGCAGTACAAGCTGGTGCTAGGAAAGTTTATGCCGTCGAGGCATCGTCTATGGCCCAACATTGTAGAGAATTGGTTAAAAATAATAACCAGAGCGATAAAATAACTGTTCTCTCTGGAAAGATAGAAGAAATAGAATTACCAGAAAGTGTTGATATTATTATCTCGGAGCCTATGGGCTACATGTTGTTTAACGAACGTATGTTGGAATCTTTCTTGCACGCGAAGAAATGGTTAAAGAGCGGAGGACGAATGTTTCCAACAATAGCAAATTTGCACATAGTACCCTTTATGGATGATGCTCTCTACTCTGAGCAATTCAGAAGGGCTAACTTTTGGTGTCAGACAAGCTTTCACGGAGTGAATCTGTCGAGTTTGCAGCAAGCAGCATTGTCAGAATATTTTTGTCAACCCGTAGTTGACACATTCGATCCGAGAATTTGCTTAGGTAAACCCTTCAAACACATTCTTAATTTTGAGAAGGCAGAAGAAGAGGATTTACATCATATTGATGTTCCTGTTTCTTTTACGATAAACCAATCTGGAACATGTCATGGTTTAGCCTTTTGGTTCGATGTGGCCTTTTCTGGAAGTAAGGCAGAGCAAGAAGGTCCTGTTTGGCTATCGACTGCTCCATCGGAACCACTAACACATTGGTATCAGGTCAGATGCTTGATTCCTCAACCAATATTGCTGAAAAGTGGAGACTCAATGACAGGAAGAGTTATTTTATCAGCTAATAAGAGACAAAGCTATGACGTTGATTTGGAGTTAGTGGCTCCAAATGGTGCAATGGTGGTTACCAACAAGCTGGACTTAAAGAACCCATATTTTAGGCACACTATACAAGGTGTTGCCCTGCCAGCTCATACAAGCAAAATAAGTCCTACTGATCAATACTTTTCAAACCAAAGTTCTTCTGCAGAACAAAATGTTTTATGCGACAATGTTCCAGGACAACCACCTAAGGGAACTGATGTTTTGGAAATGACGAGCTCGGTTCCTATGAATCCTGCATATAACCCTGCAGCGGCGGCGATGAGTAGTGTTCACCAACCTCAGCCTATAAACTCTCTGTTTAACTTCCCAGTATTCCGTGCTAGGATCTAGTCTGTTAAGTATGTCAAATGCCTTAGCAGAATAGTAATGTTGATCTGTCTTTTATCATTCATTTGATCTCAATTTAAAGAGATGAAAGACTAAAGAGCAGTTTCAACTTTCAAATACAGTTTGTAGTCTAGATTTGCGTTTCTATTTATTATTTAATATGTAGCCAAACAGGACAAATAGGTATATTCCGATCTGCGTTAGTAATTTGTTATTAGAAGAAATACTTCTTCAGCCTTAGCAAACTCTTCAAAAGTTATAAAAGTCATTGTTAATATTATCCGATAAGAAGTAATAAGACACCATATACTGCCTTCCACGTATTGAGTCTAATTAATTTAAATGCCATATAAATAGAATAATTATACAATTAATAATAAAAGATGACAACGTACCACGTTCACCTTTAGAATCTCCAACGGATTTAAAGCATTCGTTCGCAAATTCTATGTATGATGACTAAAATATGAAAGGCTCTTTAGATTAATATACATGTACATATATTGTTAATTACACAATACATTAGAAAGATTTCTTATTAAGTATTGATTTCAAAAAGAAAGAGTGAGCGAGCGAAAGAGGAAAAGGAGATTTTAATAATTCTCAAAACACGCTTGATGATAAAACATAAAAGGAAGAGAAACACATATATAATATTGAAGTGATTGTCATCTAAGCGATGAATTAGAAATGTAAATTATTTCTAACGGTATTATCTATTATGAAGATAGCTACGCTGCCTATAAAAACGCTACTGAAGATTATAACTGTTGTGGATTTGTATATTGCTTAGACAATTTACGTGTATATCTCTCCTGCTCTAAAGTCTGTAAATGTATATTCTAACTACAAATAATCAATTGCTACAATTATTAAAAGTTCATAACCTTCTTACAATCGCTCAAATGCTCAATAAGCTATCCAAATTCTACGGTCATACAGACTTATTTTGGCTATAATATGCTCTTCTAAAACAGTTATGGCACCCATAAAAATCTCTTTTCTGTATGAATTTTGATAATGTAGGAAGTTCCTATCATTTATCTTGTCTTTTACATTCTTGAAAGTAACTTTACATAAGAGTGAATTAGCTATGATCTTTTAAGTATTTAAATTAACCATTTCGTAGATGTGTTATACTAAAAAATATTAAAACTAAGGAAAAAAAGTAATTATCAATATTTTTCTTAATAACAATAATAAGTAACCATCTGCAAAGTTAAATTTTAAAGTTATCTAAGTAAATAAAAAAGCTTAACAAACTGTGAAAAGTGCAAAGATGATACAGTTTTTCATATAAGCCATACTATTAGAATAATTCCGCTATTTACATTCCCCGTTTCTTTTTTTTCCATTTGTATTTATGTTGTAATATAAGTTTCGTCAAAACTTATTATATGATTTTGTCGTCTGCTGTTAGAGGCTTGTTACCAGTCTATTAAACTTTTTACGAAGATAACTCTTCTCTATATCCAATTTATTATTTTTTTTGGTGCATTGATTAAATAAGAATAAAAAACGTATGGATTTCAGTGAGGAAAAATGTATAAATTAAATCAGACAAATACCAGTTTTTAAGCGGGACAGTCTCATTTTCAAGTGCGATAAAAATGGCGACTAAAGACAAGAAGCTCTATGAAGGCGTTTTGTTGACCAGTTTAGAAGAAAGAGAATCAGTATCTGCATCCTTGCCTGTCGCAGTTAATATACTGTTACAGGAAAGTTCGACTGGCTTTAGAGTGTTTGCTAAAAATGGTTAGTTTATTAGAAATTTATCAAAAAATAAAAACGTTTTTGGTGAAAGTAAACGCATGACCGGTTTTTTTAAAACTATTCATAAATTTTCTTTTCCTAGAATATGATTGAGTAATGATATCTTTACTATCTTTTTTTATAATAAGAGACTTATTAAATGGAAAATTTAAAAAAAAAATAGACTCGTCCTAAAAGAAAATGAAGCGAATGATAATTGACTCTTGGTTTAAGCACAACACACATAGTGTTTGAATAAACGTTGACTGCTGGTCGTTGTACCGACGTATTCAGCGTTTTTAATTCGATTCAGATGCAATCACACTCAATCTGACATGTCAAACATTTTTAGCGAATGGAAGAATATATTGAAAATTTCTGAAAGTTCTTTAATTCGAAATTCTGTGTATTTTAATAATACAGAGCTGAGCTTTGGAAATACAGAGTCCCAGAGATATTAATTAATTGAGTTCTTGAGCAAAATTGAGCATACAAAAAAAACTCAGTTCTTCAAATATAAATTAGTGGTAGATATAATATTTATTATACTTGTGATTAATTGAATTAACAATCAGATTCATAAAATATTCTTAAAATATCAAGTTATTGAAGCCACGATAATTCTCTTCCAAACGTGAAATAATAGATTGCTCTAACTTTATCATCAGGTCCAAATGTTGAACCTTATTTGCTATAAAAGAGATATAAAGACTCAAATCATTTACAGAGACTAATAAAAATGTGTTTTTTTGTAAAGGGAATGAATCAATCAACAAATGTCTAATTTTTTAATAGATCCTTCGAAAATTATTTCAGGTACTGGAGATCCAGCAGAAATTGGGTTTATCGACAAAACCACAGAAATATGCAAAATTGGCAAAAATTCGGCAGTTGTAAGTTTTGAAGAGAAAGGCATAAGCCTGAAGTTTCAAGCTGAAAATGGTTAGTATTGATAAACTTTAAGAGAATCTATCAACAGGCTCTGAAAGTAGTGCACTTTGTAATAAAGAGGTATCAAAATCTCCGTAGCTGTTAGTTTAGTAAAGAGCCACCAGGCGGAAACGTTAAATTTTAAAGGCTAAAATTTATCAGGCATATCAAGACAAGCATACCCACTTTACTTGCTATTCAAATTCAGTTTAGAAGCCTAATGCCAGACTTGGCAAGATATTATTCTATGAAATGTTAGTTAGTTATTTGAGCTACTTATTAGTAAAACAACCGTGAGTCAATCATGTATTTTTAGCTGAGTGAGTGTGGAAGTCACAATGAATATTTTTAACAGTAATTATTTCTTTATTTTATAATAAAAGTAACTTTCTTAACATTTTTTTTTTATAAATTATGTAGCGAATAATTTAATTGCTCATCGATTAAATTTGAAACGGGTTAGGTGAATAAAAAATAGCTAATTGATTCGGACATTCTAAAGTTAGAATGTCATTCCTTGTGAAATTGTCTACGATTTTAATTTAATGTATGATACATGTATTATATTGGTTACACTTTTAATATCTCAACAGATTTAATATCGTTTTATGACAATGTGAAACGAGCTATTTCTCAGAAAACTAATTCGGTGTTCAAACTTCGAACTGAAGAAACTTCTGCGAGCCAATATTTTCAGTTTTACGGATACTTAGCACAACAACAAAATATGATGCAAGATTTTATACGAACAAGTACCTATCAAAAGGCAATGCTAAATAGTAATGAAGATTTTATGGGAAAGGTTGTTTTGGATGTAGGAGCAGGATCTGGAATTTTATCATTTTTTGCAGTACAAGCTGGTGCTAGGAAAGTTTATGCCGTCGAGGCATCGTCTATGGCCCAACATTGTAGAGAATTGGTTAAAAATAATAACCAGAGCGATAAAATAACTGTTCTCTCTGGAAAGATAGAAGAAATAGAATTACCAGAAAGTGTTGATATTATTATCTCGGAGCCTATGGGCTACATGTTGTTTAACGAACGTATGTTGGAAACATTCTTGCACGCGAAGAAATGGTTAAAGAGCGGAGGACGAATGTTTCCATCGGAAGCACATTTGCACATAGCGCCTTTTATGGATGATGCTCTCTACTCTGAGCAATTTAGCAAGGCTAACTTTTGGTGTCAGACAAGCTTTCACGGAGTAAATCTGTCGAGTTTGCAGCAAGCAGCATTGTCAGAATATTTTTGTCAACCCATAGTTGACACATTCGATCCGAGAATTTGCCTAGCTAAGTCCTTCAAACACACTGTTAATTTTGGGAATACAGAAGAAGAGGATTTACATCATATTGATATTCCTGTTTCTTTTACGATAAACCAATCTGGAACATGTCATGGTTTAGCCTTTTGGTTCGATGTGGCCTTTTCTGGAAGTAAGGCAGAGCAAGAAGGTCCTGTTTGGCTATCGACTGCTCCATCGGAACCACTAACACATTGGTATCAGGTCAGATGCTTGATTCCTCAACCAATATTTCTGAAAAGTGGAGATTCATTGGCAGGAAGAGTTATTTTATCAGCTAATAAGAGACAAAGCTATGACGTTGATTTGGAGTTAATGGCTCCAAATGGTGCAATGGTGGCTAGCAACACTCTGGACTTGAAGAACCCATATTTTAGGTACACTGGCCAAGCTGTTGCCGCTCCACCTCATACAACCAATACAAGTCCTACCGAACAATACTGGACAACCCAGAATTCTTCTGCAGAACAGCAGATTTTATGTAACCTTATCCCAGCACCACCACCGGATGGAAATGCTGTTTCGGAAATAACGAGTTCTGTTCCTATCAATCCTGGATCTATACCAGCGGCGGCGATAAGCATTGGTCGCCAACCCCTGCCTCAACCTATGAACTCACCAGCGTTTACAGTTTCGAACCAGTTTATGATAGCAGATTATGTTCTTCCTCAAAAGTCCTGTCACAATTCGTTTGTGAAGCATCTGTAATAAGCACGTCTCAGTTGTTGTTTTCTGTTTTCTTTTAAAATATGACTCGATTAGGTTTGGAGCGCTTCATATTGAAGATTTTTTTTTTTTGATACTCCACGTATACTGTTCTCGAAAGTTCATCTTTAAGAAGATATCAGTCGTGTGTGTATGAGGCAGTGCAGTTCTGTAAGTTGCATTTTGAAAAGTAATAAAAAGATTTGTGAGGGTTATTTTATATAAAGCATTATTTGTAAATATAACCAAAGAAACCTAAGTAAGTTTATATATCCGTTAATCGATTATCCATATCACCTCTAAAAGCCAAGATATAAAATGAGTTCTTTTGTATTAAAATACATTTACAAATTTGCAACGCAGTTTAAATACGTCGGACATTTATTTGTTTGGTCTTTCAATTAGTAGCAATCGTTATGAATTTCAACAAGCATAATTAAAAGAATCGTTCATATGAGAGAAACTAAAGAATTAGTTAGTTCAAAACTGAAAAAAGAACGTTTAAGGCATTTTAAAGTTAACATAATCAATTTGTACTATACAGTATACAAGTAATTATTAATTAATAACTATTAAGGCCAACAATTTCACTGCTTATGTTCCACAATTCATTGCAAACTCTATCATTTTGGCAATACTTTGCAGCTTTTCTTGGCTTGCATTCCCTAAATGGATAGAAAAGAAATATATAATTTTTTATTATAAAAAGTATATAATGCTTATACTTACATGAAATAAGATCCTGATTCTGACTCTATACCGGATTGAACACAGCAGTAGATCGGAGTCTGAGCACCCTGAGTAGCAGTTTTAACGTAACTAATACGATCCGGATTTAATAAACATTTTGTGAAGAATAAAAAACAACAATCATCACCGCAGGATATGGTACTGGTTAAATTAGTTTTTACTATGCCCGGATGACATGAATACGATGTAACTCCAGATTCTGTGGAATTAGAAGATTGTTTTTGAACGGATTAAATATTAACTGTTAATTATCTTAATCTTAGTCTACCTGAAAATCTTCTGTGTAATTCTCTTGTGAACATAACATTCGCAGCTTTACTTCTACTATACAAGAAGTAAGTGCTGGGTCTACAACATCCTCTTTTAACGTGGAAGTCGTTAAACATCATATCAGTTCCTGAATAATGAGCTGTTGAAGATACGTTCACAATACGACTTGGGGCACACTTTATTAGCAATTCCATTAATAGATTGGTTAAGAGGAAATGACCTAAGTGATTGGTCGCCATTATAGTTTCAAAGCCGTCTTGAGTGCTTTTCGATGTTGGTTTCATCATACCAGCATTATTTAACAAAATATCTAATCTTTCTTCCTCTAAAATTTATCAAAGAGTGATCTATTAATCGCTTAATATTATTATTACTTAATTAAGTTACCTTGTTTGTATTCATCAGCAAACTTTCTTACACTTTTCATTGATGATAAATCAAGTTGCATCGTTTTTATCTTGCCATATATTCCCGTATCTTGTTCAATAGCAGTCTTTGCATCATTGCCCCGTTCTAAATTTCTGCAAGCTAAAATTACTTTTGCTCCTCTCCTAACAAAATCGCGAACACTTTCTTTTCCAATACCTGAATTTCCCCCAGTTACAATTGTGACTTTACCTTCTAAGGAAGTTGTAGATTGACAAACTGCATGTTCTATTATTCTATATAACACAAAATTATACTTATAGTAATGTTTCTATAAAAATATAAAGGATTACCCACTTCTGATCGTCGAATCCTGCGTCCCTAAGCTCTTTATTCGTTAACGAATGCCACATAGAAGACATCTTGATGCGGTAGTTTAAATTTCAAAAATCACTAAAAATTTATCAATTTCCCAGGTAAGCTGCGAGATATGTTGCTGTAGATGAAACAAATATCTTATCGATTCCAGTTAACCCTTAAGTCCCACAATCAAGGTCAAGGTTGCATAACATGGTGTTTTTTGGCGGGATATTATAAAATGATACGGAATTTAGTCTTTAACTACATATCAATATCAAAATAACTACACATGATTTCGTTGATGCACTTATTCATCAGCTTATAGCGATAATACAACGAAAAAGAACAGAGTATTAATAATAGAGAGCAGGTTTATAAATAGAGGTCTACAAATACACTCACATTTACCCTTGTATACCACGAGGGGTAGATGTGCAGAAAGGATACGTTAATGAAACAGTTTCGTAGGCAATAATTACAGATTAAGGAAATATTTTATTATAAATTGTATTAATCATAATCTCTACCATACGCGTAAAATTGTAAGAAGGCACTATTCTCTCTCTTCTGCTGACGTACAGTAGTCATTAAAAGCTAGTTAGGATCTTTAAATAAAACAGCAAAAGAAGAATATTTTGCCTAATTCATTATTTATATATATTTTCTATAGTCTAGATAATATCTTGTATTGTCTATTGTATAGAATAAAATAATGGAATTTATGGTAAAACTACCTGTACGTGACAGTATATACTTGTCACCGAACAAAATCAATAGCTTTTCACTCTACGCCTCTGTTTTTCACTCTCTTTATAGCTCTTTCTTTCTCTCTCTCCCTCTCTCTCTCTTGTCTGCAGATATATATATATATATAGTATTTATATCTTCGTAAAGCTCTGCTTTTGAGAATATCCACTAAATTATTATCACTACTTCAATGTGTCCTTGTAAACTGCATACTTTTACTTTATTCAATTTTGCTTATATCTGATAAGCATGATACGTTTTTATTTTATTATCAAAAAATACTTACGAGGCGATAATTAATTCCAATCCTCAATAAAACTTTATATCTTCTTTTGTTACAATGAATACATTACGTCTAAACACATGTATACAGGCGCCACCTATTATTTTCTTAATACTATTTATTTAATTATGCAGTAATCGATTTTTAAGATATTTTTTTATGAATATATTATAATCGTAGATTATCCAATATTTTATATAAAAACAACACAGAATTTGCTTTTTTTTTCTCAACTTTGTCCCCATTTTTTTGCTCTCATCATTTTATTTTTGGATTGTATTAAGTATAAACAATATGAATGCTTGGCTAATTATTTAATTAAAATCCTATACATAACAATATATCATTCAGGTGAAATGATTTGTTTTTTTTCAATTTACATACAAAACTTTTCTTGTAAACGGTCTTTTATCGTTAAGCATTATTTCAAAACCGAAAGTAGGATTTTTCTTGCATAAATGAATATATTACTTGTTGTTTAAGTAACTAGTAAATTCATTATTATTTTATATAATACAAAAATATTAATAGAATTTGATTTATAACCGTTAATTATTGATTAATAAATCTATATATAAGATAACTATAGTTTTATAAATTCGCTACGTAGCCAAACGAGAGATTATGATTATTATGGAGAAATCTGTGTAAAAGATGAAATGATTAATGATAATTGTAAATAAACGGTATATCTTTAAATTAAAGATCATTCAGAATATAAGGAATATTAATAGACTAGAATTATTCTCTATGAAGTAAATATAATAGCAAATACATTGGATTTTTTCATTATTCAATAATACAATTTATCAATTAAATCTAGATAAAATTTACAGAGAATCGTAGATGTCAATCAATCATCCCATGTAATTGTTATTAGTATATCTCTTAATTGAATGTACCTAATAGAAATTGCGCCGCATTCATTTTGTTAATGTTTCTTTTTAACCATCTATTTAGTTTAATACCCATTAGTTATACATAAATAATAATAAATAAAATCTACTAACAATTCTCTTTATCACGTTATACAACAAAGACAAAGCCACTAATAGAAATAGCTATATGAATGAGAGGGAGATAACCATAGTTGGGTTATAGATTTTACGACCTTTAACAACACTCTTTTTCAAAACGGCGGTCATTACATACAGAAATATATAAAATATTATAATTAATTAGGTTAAAGTAGAAATTATACAACCTCAGTCTTGATACCGTACTGATCTACTTAGTAAATAGGTTCAAAAATATCTTTCTCTGTTTTAACTACAGTAAAATGATAGTAGTTAATTTTCTTCTTCATTATTGGTAACATTTTCGTAATCTACTATAAGAATACTATATATTTATCTATAATATTAAAATATTAATATTTATCGAATAAAACATATATTTAAAGAATGTTGAATATTAATATAGAACGTTTTCTAGGTATTAACCAATATTTAAATATATTCTAACCGTATTAGTAGTACTACTAGCTAGAGTTCCTCTAACAAGACACAAAACGAGGACATAAAGGTCACTAACTATTTATTATATATAAAGTGTGAGAGAGGTAGAGTTCAGAAACAGAACTTATACTATGGAAAATGATGCACTTTATAATTTTTTGCATTAATATTCAATTAAATAAACTAAAGTTAAGAATTTTAGTAATGGATAAAGGGTATTAAATTAGATATCTGGGTTATCAACACCATTTGCAACATATAGTTGTTATATAATCTTTTTTAATGATCATAAAATAAATGGCAAGGAAAGGCGACTATCGATGTGATGATGCTCTTTTTTGGAAATTTCATGAAAGGTAATATTATGGAAAAAGTATGTATATTTTCTATTTGAAAGATTTTATATAAAGCTCTATATAGCTTTTTTTTTATAAGTAACTCAAGTAAAAGCTTTTTTCAATCAGTTTCTAATTAAAACAGCAGCTGATTATATATAAGCATCAAATCTTCTTTTATATTATAATATAGGACGAAAAATGACGGTCTATTCGACTATTTCAGGAACTATTTCAACAGTGTGCCGAAACATTTAGATGAATTGAAAGATTGATCATTAGAATAATTTATCCAAATATTCCATTGTTTTCTCAAAGGTTTTATCAAAAGAATGCAAAGAGAACAAGATGGATAGTGAAGAATTAAGAAGGCGTTTGTGCATCTTGTTGTGATGCTTTGAAAAAAGCCTATCATATCTCCAGGTATCTTGTAAAAATTAATGTTTTATTTTTAATTTATTCTAGGAAATATATATAGGTATATATTTATTGCAATACGCCTATAGATAAAGAGTTACTCTATTTGACGTGAATGGACAACCCCGTTGTCCTACTTTCAGAACTTAGATTTAAAAAAATTCTCTCCGTAGCTCTTTAACGAAAACAAACGTATCGAAAGCGTTAAATGCTAAATAAATGGATATTTCTTTATAAATTCCAGTATTTTATTAGATTACATGTTTTATTATTAATAAATTATAAGATAATTTAAATTATCTTCTAGCTTTCTTATTTGTAGAACACCCATCAAACAAACTAGTATTGTAGAGTTCTAGCCTCCAGCTTTATTACAACTTCCGAAAGCGTGACATTTGGGTCAATCTCTACTATATATCCTCCTGCAGGGAGCAGTCATTCTTAGATATCCTACCTGTTTACCCAAAACATGATTCGCGCTATATGGTTGGCATTAATAAACAAAGAAGTTAGAGATGCAAGTAACGAAGAAATGGCGTAAGATAATTATTATTATTGTAACACATACGGCTATTCATTCTTCATTTTCTAGGATAACCGACCATGCAATGTGTCAATCGACGCGTTCGCTAGAAGGTAAAACTGTTATTGTTACTGGTGGCAATTCTGGAGTTGGTAAAGGATGTTGCACAGATTTTATAAGAAGAGGAGCCAGGGTTATACTTGCGTGTAGAAACCGTGAAAGAGGCAATGATGCTAAATCGGATATTGAGCGGGATACAGGAATTCATGGAAATTTAATAGTTATGATACTCGATTTATCAAGTATGAAAAGCGTACGAGAATTTGCAGAAGAATTTAAAGAAAGTATGTAATTTTATACTATAATTCTTCAATAATTTTTAACAAATATCATTCGTATTTTGTTTCTTTAAAGAGGAAAGTAGACTGGATATTCTTTTGAACAATGCTGGTGTACCGCGAGCGTCGGAGAGATATTCAGTTGATGGATTCGAAGGAATTATGGCTACAAATCATATTGGTCATTTCCTATTAACGTATCTATTAATAGATATGCTTAAGAGCTCTGCACCCAGTCGAGTTGTTAACGTCTCTTCATCAGGCCACTTTGCATGCAATGACATGATGTTTGAAAATTTTCATGATAGAGGATGTTGCAGTTCTAACGGATTTGTTTTATACAGTAGAAGTAAAGCTGCAAATGTACTATTTACAAACGAATTGGCTAAAAGATTTTCAAGTGAGTATTATATTAAATATAATGGAATGACTATAACCATTACATTTTATTTTTCTTAAACATAGAGCATGGAGTGACAGCCTACTCAGCTCATCCTGGGTTTGTCATGTCTAACTTTACAAGTGGCTATTCTGGATGTAAAGATTGTACAACTATACTACTTACCAAATGTATTGGAGGAGCCGATAAATCATATACAAAGACAGTGGAGCAAGGAGCCCAAACACCTATTCATTGTTGTGTAGCAGAGGGCATAGAGAATGAATCAGGATCTTATTATCAGTAAGCTTTTATAGATAATACAAGTAAATATAAACTAATGTTTCTTATCTAATTATTTGTAGCGAATGTAAAGTGCATGTAAAATCAAAATTTTGCACTGACGAAAAGAATTCTCTACGCCTTTGGGATTTAACAAATGAACTCGTTGGAGCCCAATGGTGATGAATATATCAACGATAAACATTTATACTCGAATATATTGACTTTATTACTTGTTAATCTTTCTTGTATAATGCATTAATTCCTAGAACTATGATAAAGGCTACTATTGATTGTCTTAACGTCGAGATTAATACTTTTTCATTATTTTAAAAAGAGTGAACAAGAACATTTATAAATGAATAAATTATGATAATTATTACAAAATTGGCAGCATTAATACTATTATTTATAGTATGTTATTCAGTATGAGAGAAAGATAAAGATTATTGGATAAATTGAAAATGACATGAAAGCTTAAACTTTAAACTGTTAGGGGAGAAGAGAGAGAATTATTTATTAAATTAGAAGTTGTCCAATACGTAGATTATTATGACAAGCGTTACGAACAGTCTATTATACAATAATTAACGTATTTATTAGACATAAATACTGGTAAAAGCAATATTGATGAAGTAGTTGAAATTATTTTTAAACAAATGAATAAAACCTATTAATTTCTTTTAGAATAAAAAGATATTTCGAGCTGTATTTAAAGATAGATTTGCATCAGTGTTTTAAGCAAAATTTGCACAGACATACATTGATACATCGAAGGCAAACGTTTATGGCTGTAAAAGATTAGATGTACGAACAATTTGTTATATTAATATACAGCAGAATTTTTTAATGTATATACTTGTACATATTTGTTTATAGAATATATATAAATATATAAATTCATAAATATATACCTAATATATATATATATATATATATATATACATATATGTATATATATATAAATTATATATATAAATATACATATATACATATTTCCTTTATTTTTCATTACAATAAAAAATAGTTGAAAAATGAAATTTTTACTTTCAATTATCATCCTCCTCATCATTACCATTATCATCGTCATCGTCATCATTATAATTATACAATCATCATAATTATTGTTATGATTCTATTTTTTTTGATTAGTTTTGATAACTTTTTTTCATTTTATATCTCTTTTTTTTCTGGGGCATGGAATATCACGAAATTTCTATTTAATGTTAATACAATTGATGTTGTTTTTTTTTTCTTTTCATTTTTTGTAAATATTACAAAATACAGTACGGAAACTTTTAGTATGATAAATTCTCTCCAGTTAAAATAATTAAAATTTTTTAAAAGAATAAATCCCATTAATTAGGCCTATTCTGAAAAATGAATTCTTTTCGAACATTTGCTTACATATATACTGTATATATATATATATATATATATATATATAGATATATATATATTCCTTCTTTTTTTAATTGTTATTATTGTTATGATTTTTTTCTTCATTATACATACAGTTTATAGGTAAAAACATTTGTTTTTTTGGGAGATAAAGGTTAAAAAGAAAAAAAAAACTATAAAGAGGCGTTTGCACTTTCCAACCATTTTTATTTTTAAAATGACTGCGTATCGTCGTTCTACACGAAAGCGAATATAGCAAAAAAGAAATTGACAAATTATGGAGAAAGTGGCGCGCTATCCATAGTTTTTGAACACCGTACGAATGGAAACTTATTAACTAAAATATGAAATATAAAAGAATTACGAAAGCTTTTTTTTTTCATTCATGTACCGACTGGCTAAGTAAATGAGATACGGAAGCAGTGCTTAAAACTTTTTGGTAGCTTTTCTTGAAGACTGTATGAACTCTTTGAAAGACTTGGGTGTCAAAACAACTTCTAGCCGTATTTGTCCCATCAAAAGGTTCTATGTAAATTGAAATAAAGATTAAATAAAATTATGAATTGCGTATCAATTCCCAAAAGAGAATCAGTATCTTAAATAGTAAAAAAGCGATACAGGAGATATATAAATATATATAAGATGTATATACCTTCAATGCATAAGCATTTCCATTGGGAGTGATTTTCAGGATTTTCTCTAATTACTGTTGATTTAAGCAATTTTGTCCCTGTTCTGATAGATATAACGTACTTGTCAAAGCTAAAACACAAAAGCAAAATGTTAGAACATTGTGAATAGCTGAACAGAATCAATCATACTCGAATTCTTCACTAAAATATTTAAGAAATCCGATAAATATTTTTCCAACTGTCTGTGAGTTGTTAGAAGGAGGATATTCCATTCTTTCATTTAACGTTAAACTCCTAATATCGGTTTGAGAAGAAAATTTATTCTATAAATAAAAAAAATAATGTGATTAGAAGATTATAAACAATGTTTTTTTCGCTTAAGACAACTTACGGGAAATAATCTTTGCAGATTTGGAATAACTGGAGGATTACAACCGCATTGTAAATAATGTAGGACCATTAGCACTATACTATAGCTCGAAATTGTTCCCTGACTTGCATCATTAATATTTTGAAATTTAGCCCAACTCTTAACGAAGATAACTAGAGGTTTGATACGCCAGTCAACTAGAGAAAGAAATAATAAATTATTATAGTAATTCAATTTAATTAAATATATATAAATACTTTTCGAATATGCATTTAACAAGTGGGTATTTCGTATTCCGACATGATTATTAATATTTAAATCGCATTCAATGTGCCTATAACAAAGTAAAATAAACTTGATATATAAATACATATATGTATAATAATTATATTATTAAGCATAATTTGCTTACTTCAAATTGTCAGTGAATTTCAGAATAGGCACTTTGGCAGGAATTAGCAAAATATTAGATATAAAATCTATTGGGAGATTTAAGAAATATAATAATAAAATTTATATAGATAGATAAAGTTGTATGTTTATTTTTTACCAAGCTTTCTTAAAGACCGCTGAACTATTCGTAAAATATCAAAGGCTTCTTGACGCTGATCAATCTATAATTAAAAATATTTTGTATTAGATTATACACTTATTTTATCTGTAATTTAATCTTACCGGTAAATGTGTAAGCATCAAACATAGATCCATATCGCTCTTATTTGTACCGAAACCATTCATTGATGAGCCAACAACATACAAACCAGCATAAGGAAATACTGCTTTGAGAACTGCATTTAGAGCCTCTCTCAACTGCATTTTACCACTATACATCTCAGGGGGTTGTTGCATTTTGTTGTAATGCTCGATCAAGAAAGTGTTTATCTATAAGAAAATAATTTATTATCTTTTCAAAAGTTGATGATTTTTCAATACGTATGGAAAAGAAAAAAAATGGAAGGAATTTCAATTTAATGTTGAAAATATCTAATGAGTACGGTTAGCGTTAAAGTTACCTAAAATACAAAATGGACGATGATTTTTTTTAATCCATAAAAAAAGTGTTTAGTCATTTAGGAAAATGCATTAATTTCTTACAGAAATATATTAATAAATAAACTAAGAGGGAAAGTATTGTATAAAGAGAAAGACTTAAAAGGAAATGTAAGAGATAGATAGATATAGATAGAGAAAATGCGACATGTATATATTTCTACGCGGCTAAAGAAAGGGTGAAAATTGAAAAATGTATGTTATTAAGGTATAATTTTTACCTTCTGGTTGTCGATACGCTTCGAATTATGGGAAATAAAAGAAACGCCGCTCTTAGGATTCGGTCTATAACGTTTTCCCTCAGATGACGAGTCGTTATAAGATGGATTATTCCGTTGACGAGCGGGTTCAGAATAATGTCGTCTGAAAAATATGACAAGTAAAATTTAACACAGTTTTATTCAAAAGGAAAGGATGCTTTTATATTTATTAATAGAATAAAAGATTAATTGCAATACTTACTTAACTCCTCGAGCAGCCATACTTAAGATAAGACCGTTCTGTAACCCAACTGGAGTTCCACAAAGACGACTCTCCTGTAAAATATTATCGATATCATCTTCCGAGCTATTAAGGGCTTCGAAAAGCCTCTTCTGTTCGGCAGGAATGCTGAGCACTTGCTCTTTCAATTCGCTCGCCGAAAGATTAGGCGGGTGATATAAATCTGAGGAAAAGTCCGCTTGCTGAACGTATTGAACAGTTAGTTGCTGCTGCGGAGGAGGGGGTGGCGAAACTAGTACGATTTGTGGCACAACGGGAACAGTCTGAACGACTGGAGAATAAAACATTGTTCATTGAACATAGTTTATTTCAAGACGACGATAAAAAACTGCTCATTTTCCGAAAGTATTTCCACTGACGAATGCGACTGACTTATTTTATATTAAAAAATCTTGGGGGCGGAGAGAAAGGGTTTACTTTATATAAAGAGTACTTGCTTATAAACAACTCAATACGGTTATTTACCGAGCTGACAACTTTATTAACCACTAGGTCTAAATAATCTACCAATAATTTACCTTTAATAAATTAAGATGACCTATTTTTTCCAAATTTCTAATAATTAACCAACAAAATTAACAGCTAAAATATCAAGTTTTGTCCATGTTTTCTGTCCGCGTGTGGGCGATAATTCAAGAACAAGAACATTTATATTGTTTACGTATTTTTCCTTTGAAAAATTATTATACAAATTTTAATATCGAAATAAAAATGATTTGAACAAATATAGCACATGAACATATATTTAAAAGATGTTTTAAGAAATATTTTTCTAAAATCATATCCTATAGGTGTCTCTCGCATCGATTTAAGATAAAATTTCGCAATACATTAAAGAAACAATCTAATATGAGCAGAGAGAATCTCTTTTCTTTTAAATTATTGCGATATAACCATAATAGTATATACAAATCTATTTAGGCGGAAAGAAATAGCAAAGAGTTGAATATAAAAGCTAATTAACCATTAAAATATAAACAAATAAGGATTGAAAGTATCTTGTTTTGTTCTGGTTAATATTTTATTATACACAGAGGAAAAACACTAATAAAAGCATGAAAATATTTGAAAAACAAAAATTGTAAATGTAGAGATACTTTAGGTTTGAAACCATTAAAAACTAATTGAATAGAAAACTACAATATAAATGCATGCATAGATAAGAAAGAGACTGAATTATAGCTAATTGCAATTGAAATTGTCTATGCAATAACAATTGCCTTTAAACGGATATAACAATCACATGACCTTTAAAATTGTCAGTGTCAGTGGCATAGTTAATTACTAAATTAAAAAAAAAAGACAAAGTTGAGCATGTTATTTTAGAACGAAAATATGTAACAATAAAGTTGTTTAAACGATATCAGACACCATTAAAAACAGTAAAAATGCAACAAGATCGAAATAATTCGTATATGTAACAGCAGGGTTAATATTTTTTGTTGTTGTTTTTCAATAGATTTAGAATAGATATACAACATTCTTTTTTGTCAATATATTCTATATATAGCTCTCTCTCTCTCTCTCTCTCTCTATTTTGCCTTTCTAAGTTTTTATGTTGAAATATTACGAAAATAATGTTTAAAAAAAAGTCGATATAAACACGATTATTATAATTATTATGGCTATTTGAATAAATTAAATTATAAATGGAAAAAAAAAACAACAGAAAAAAATAGACCCAAAAAATTATGGTCGAATAATAGAATAGAATTTTTTTAATAAAATGATTGTTTTGAAAGTTCATAAGCTCGAATTTCTGCGAAATTTGAATTTCCAATGCTTAAAAATAAAACATTTCTTGCATCGTTCAAGCACATTCCTCTTATTTCTATATTATCTTCTTTTAAATCGATTACTTGTTCTTTATGATGATCGGATGTCGAAATACGAAACACCATACCGTATCTATCTCCATAAATGATATTCTTTTTCTGATCAACAGCTATAAATTGTGTATTGAATGGTATATCGTTTATCTCTGATTTATAAAACCCATCGGCGTCTAAACATATAATTTTTGAACGAATAAGAACGTATACATTGCGATTTAGATCGACTGAGATGTCTCTTATGTCAGACAAAGGAGTAGATCGTCTAAAAAAGCTTTTAGTTCGAAAACTTTTAATAACTCTTTGAGGTTTAAGCGTTCTTGTAGAGAAATAATGTAACGATTCAAGAGACGCTCCAATAGTACCAAATCTAGCATTTTTAATATTTCTTAAAACTCTTTTTGTAATTGACGATTCGAATTGAACGCCGTCAGTTGAATAGAGATGTAATGAGCTACTTGTTAATATAGCAATTTGTTCACCATCCCAACAGATATCTTTGGCTCCTATACATCTAAACATTGATTGAAATGTTCCAGAAGAAGAGAATATTTGTATAGTCATTAGTTGACTATCAAGACAAGCAACAGATCCAGTTAAATTGTTGACACTTAATTTCGAAATACTTTTAAAGCAGTTAGCTTGAATAGAATTTTGAGAGAATCTTCCAAATCTTAAAATTTCGATACCAGGACGATTCTTTAAGCTCGGATATAAAGAACTCTCGGGCGCTATAACAATTAGAAGAGAAATATACAGTGTATATATATATATATATATATATATGTGTGTGTGTGTGTGTATAATGCGTATTTAAAGAATTCTATGGAATATATGAGATAAAAAGAGAATTTAGCAAGAAAGAAGAGTATCTTATTATTTATATCAAGATGAGGAGACTGATCTTTGTTTATATCTCTGCTCTTTCTATGATGGACGTTACATAGTTATAATAAAATTTTTAATGAACTTACCTGTTCTGCTACGGCTTCTGCTTCTTGGAATTCTCATCGACATATTTCTAGTAAGGCGTCCCGGAATAGGAACATCAATTATTTCCCTTCTTACAGGTGGTAATGATGTTCTAGATCTTGTTCTTCCAGTATATTCGGGATTATAAGGAGGTGGACGTTCTTGATTTTGAAGAGCAAGAATTGATTCGTTAGATTCTTTTCTGCATAGGCCACAAACTTGATTGGGAAGACTCTGATATTCTGGAAATCTTGAATAGCACACTTGACATATTGAATGATTACAGATATGACGCAATATATCTTTTGGATTATGGCAAATAGAACAATAATCCTTAGAATTTGGTATATCAACTATAATTCCAGATCTTGAATTTCGTATTAGTTTTTGTAAATTCAAAGCAGTCTTATCGGTTGTAATAAATGAATATTTTGTAAAAAATCCACAGCAATCGCAGATTAATCCAGTAGAATTTCCTAATAGTTCATTTTCCCTAACACAAAACAAACATATCGAATGCTGACACGATAATAGTTGAGGTTTTCTCGTATGCTTATCATAGAGATTCCGACAATTTTGACAAAAAATAAGATATTTTATTATTGGGTGGTCGACATCCATCTTGATTTATCGTCTCTGCTAGAAATCGAAATAGATACTTTAAAAGGCTATCTCGTTAGATTAACTCTCTTCGAAGACTTAACTAAACACTAATCAGACAAAAGAGTTTGAGCACTAAAATAAAACTATTTCAAACAATTTTAGACCTATCACAAACGTAGATGACTCATTTTTTAAAAATTAAACAAAGAGTACAACTAATCGCCTTAGTTAAAAGTGTATAAAATCAACTTACCTCCGACATTAATTGTTCGGCATTCGTTTGACCTTTCATACTAAATTATTATTAGCATTTTAAAGATCTTTTCGCTTGTTAGATATAAATAACCGTCTAACCGACGCCAATACCTGTGGAAAATACCCCTGGAGAATCCATATAGTCACATGACAAAACAAATTCGATGATTGGTCAATAAATTTGAATTTATTTGAATTATATTAATTGCAAAAACCGTTACAGTGTTTATATGTTTGTAATAAAAATTGGTATGTTAATAATGAATAAAAATCAATAAATTTTTAGAATATTTTCAATAATGTTTTTAAAAAGGAAAAAAAACTGTTGAATTATCATGAAAAATGATAAAAATAAATATAATCATTTATTTGCTATGATTAACATTTATTACCAATTTTTTAAATATTTTGGCTTATTTTGCATTGTATTTTATTGTTTTCTTTAAAGAAATGAATATAATTTAAAAATAATTTAATATAACGCAAATATAAAAATCATTTACAACAAACTTCTTCCTTCTTAATTTGTATGATTTTCATAAAAACTTTAATATATCACAAATAAAACTGATAGCCATAGATATATAATGAACAAATATGTATGTATACAATAAATACATTGTATATACAAGCTTATTTATAAAAAGTTGACAGTTTTATTACAAGAGATACTATTTCAGCTTTATTATTATATCTTATTATGGTTTTTTTTTTTAATAAAAAAAACTTACAGAAGGGAAAACAAAGTTTTTTTCCTAGTTCCTTCATCCTGTTACTGAAAAATTTATTCATTTTATAAGCTTTTTTCTTTAGGAAGTGTCATTCTAACTATCATATTATTAAGCCTATATTACTCAATACTATGTTGCTTATGTGGCTTATTCTAATTTAAAGTTGTTCATATTCTTTTCAAACCTACTGCATATGTATTATATTTCAATTGAAAAAAAAAACAATAGATGGCGCTGTTAGTATAACAATAATAATTAACAATAAGCGAACCTTATGCTATATAGTTTTTACTGAATATGTAACTACTTCCTTCTCTCTCCTATCTGAACCAATTAGTGGTAAAAGTTGTAAAAGTAATTGAGTTTAGAAAGTAAAATACTTTAATTAAAAATTTTTCCTATCAGCCATCGTCACTTGGGAGGATGAGAGGAGGGGGTGGAGGTTGTAGGGTAGGAGTCAAACGGTGCTAGGGAAAGGAAAGTAGCGAATACGTGTGTAATATATTTTGAAAAAGTACGGCAATGTTTCTACGTGATGTAAAATTCTTTATACATAATTATATTTAATGTAATTGGTTTTGTATATATAATATATATATATATATATATATATATATATATATATACATATATTATATAATAGTCGATAAACGTGCTAATATAAGTTTATGCTACTAAATGAAAACTTCTGCGTCGTGTAAAGATTTTGTCGTGAACAAGAAAATATTTATTCATTCTTTGTAAAGGAACAACAACGCTATAACTAAATCACTTACTAAGGAATGATATTTAAATAAAATAGATAAGTTTCATTGTGAGTTATATAAACTATTGATAGTGGATTATATAGATATAGTTTATATCTACTTGTATATAGTATACAATTTATATATATATCGTATATATCGATCTATACCAATGTTCCCTTTTTTTGGAAGTGAAAAACAGCATCTCCACCCCCTTAGATTTACGCCCCCGCGCAGTTTTCTATAAAGTATCCTTACCTCTTCCCTGATTTCTTACAGTGACAGGAAAAGAATCGAAATAATCTAGAACAGTTTTCCCTTAAACATTAATTATTAATGGCAATTAAATGATTAAAGAAAGAGGAATATTATCTTATTCAAATTAGGTTTTGTGTAGTGACGTAGAAAAGAGAATTTATTTGAGCAGGCAATTTTTAAATCTGCCTCAAAATGCTTTGATGGATTACTGTAATTATATTCTTGCTAAACAGTAATTTTCCCGCCTTATTGTATTTGGGAAAAGTTTCATTATTCTAAATGTTTCTTTAAAGTCGTTACTGGAGTAAAAATGAGAAACTTGCATAGAGATGGAGAAACATTGAGATAGAGAAAAGGAAAGAGACAGATAAGAGAAATAGATGGGTAAATAGCGAGAGACAATGGGGGAGAGTAAAAATAAAGAAGAAAAGAATTGAAGAGTAATATGTGTTTGAGTAAGAAATTTTGAATAAGATAAGCTTGGGATTGAGATTATCTTTATTAAAGTGCATAGAAGATTATCTTTAATGAAAAAAAAAGCACATGAATATTTTCGTATAAAATTGCCATGCAAAAGAAAAAAGACCCTTTTTAAAATTTTTTCTTGGAAAATGATCGGTTTACTAAGGAATACGATACATCAACTAGGCTTAATAAAATTTCTAATAAACTGCAATATCACGGTGAAATCCAAAACACGCAACATTCTACATATATTTACTTAAAAAACTATGTTAATTTGCTTTCATTTCCTATTTAAAATGTTTTCTTTTTTCTTCAAAAATAAAATAAATTAGAAGGTAAAATTAATAAATTAATATATAAAAAGAAGAAAGGAATTAATGGTACTTCCGGTTGAATTTTTCTTTTTGAATGTACATTTAGTACTAAAATATATAGTATACAATATATGTATATATATATAAATGGATATATACTGTATATATCTACAGTTTGAATGGAAGAAAAGGAGATACGCTGCACCTGCCGCTTTATAACAATTATAATAGAAAAATATTTAAATAGAAGGTTAATTTCGCCTTATAATTTCGTTTATATGTATTTTGCTTATAAATAAGGTAATTCTCTCGTAATGAGAGATATTTTTTTGCTCTCGCCATTTTTGACTCCGTTTTCATTTACACATAATCACGATCTATAACAAAAACGACGACGCTCTTTTGTTATATTCTTCGTAATAATACCGTTCAAGGTTTATTAGCCTTATCGTTTTAAGTAAATAAGGTAAACCATAGGATGACAACAAATCTCTAGACTTCTACTATGGTACATAGATATCTTTCTCTCGTAGATAAATACTAGTTTTTACAAATGTCTCTTCATGTTGTTTGTATCTTGCAATACTTTAAACTATATTATATCTAACGGAAAGTTGAAGGATTAGATGTATCATATAGTAAGTATATTAATAAACACAAGATATTGCATGTATAAACTGTATATACGACACATTCACATGACATTCACACACTCATCTTCAAAAAATAGCCTGTTAATAAAAAAACGCTATTGAAAAGTGATCGAGATATTAGTATTAGGTCAGTTTTCCTCTTCACAAACGACCACTTTTTCTCACATCTCCCAAAAGTGGCTTTTTCTCATTCTCTTTTTCCATTTTCTCTTTTTTTATTATTGTATTGGGTTTACTTTTCAATTTGTAATTAAACTTTCCATACGTAATTACCGTAACCAATGACGATATTGTACAAGAAGTTACTGCAAGGGCAAAGCCCGAGCTCAGTTTACCAAAAGCATCACCAGAAAATACGAGAACCGAAATAAGCGTTGAAATAGTAGAGAAGAAGAATAAAGAGGCTAAAAAGTACTTCTTTACATACTTTCCATATCTTTCGACAGTAGATCTCGCTTCTCCGATATCGAACGCGTAGAATATGGAATAAATAAATGCTGAACTCTGGCAGATTACCGCAATAATCATGAAAGCCTGACAAGTTTGCAGACGAGCTAAAAAAAAAAAAAAAGAGGATAGCACAAATTTTTGAATAGATTCAGTTCAAAATAATAATTATGTGGTTTTGTTCTATTTATGACCAACTTCCCCAGAAATTTTTAATAAAAGAGTGTCTTAATTAAGCATGTGTAGGCAGCGCTGTATATCAAAAACGTGTACATAATGTACATAAATATTCTTAATATATTTTTATATATACATTTATATGTGTCTATATGTACACGTATAAGTTTATTTGAATAGAATTAGAACAATTATTATATATTTAACACCATTCTTCATTTCTGCTATTTAGGCAACTTTTTAGTATTCTACACAAATATTTTAAACAATAATTAAGTTGTTTAGACAATCACTCTCAACAGTTTTTACCTGAGGGTCGTTGTATATCTCGACAACCGAGGAAAAGTCGGCTACATACTCTAAATAAACCCCCATAAATGGATCCGATTCCATCCATCATTTGATAAATGTTCCAGGTGGGAATAGCTAGGCTTATAGAATGTATAATTAGATTAAATAATATTAAGCCGCAAAGGGCTCCGTTCGCTCTTATATTATCTATATTCATATTTCTTTTATTTGTATATTATTCTCGACAATTTTCTGCTAAACACTTCGCCATTTTGGTAGAAAGTCCAAAAGGAGGCGGAGTTAATAATCTCCGCTTTAGGCCTAATACATACTGTATATACCGCCGACGCTTCTTGTTCCCAGCATATAAGAGCCTCGTTTAAGTAAGGAGTATCTAAAGACACAATTATATATATATATATATATATCTTATATTTTTCAGAATAAAGTATATACTTATATATTATATTATATTTATATATATATACAGTATACATATATATATATATATATTAAAGTATATAAGATATATACCGTATATATTAATTAACTTTTGCGAAACTACACTATCTGTTAAGTCATCTTCCAGTATGTATAAATATTTAAATTATTAACTATAATTTTGTTTTGATAATATTGAATAAATTGATTTAATTGTATTATATATAATCAAAATAAAATATATAAAAGTATAGACAATATATATAATCAGTATATATATATATAACATATATTTGAATATTTTTACCTAACATTTACCTAATAATTTAGTACATTTACTTTTTATCTCTTTGTCTAATTGGATGTTTTTTCATTTTTTTATAAAATATTCTTAACATAAAAGTAAATAAATAAAAAATATAATACTATTAATTTTTTACATTTTGACTAATTTATCTATATCTGTATGGTTTATAAATAGATGTTTTTACACTATATATATATATATATATGTCATTCTTTTAGCAAACGCGCATTCGGCAGTGAGCATGCTGGTTCGCCTCTTTCTCGTTTACCTATTCTTACTTATTGCATCAACTTTTGCCAACGAAGAACAGTTAGACCTGTGGAATAGGCCTAAAAATGGAATACTTAATGGTAAGTTGAAGCTACTTTTAGCTACTTATTTGTCTTGTTAATTTCTTGTACTATCATTAAATTCTTAATTAACATATTTATTGCTACTTAAAAAAGAATAAGGAAAAGCCCATGTATAATCGTAGTATCAATGCTGAAACGTACTGTTGATTATGATCACTAGAAATTAAATCCTTTTAATTCGAAATAAAAGATGAATATCTCTCCCTCTGCTTTTTATTATTCATTTCGTGTCTTTAATCTATTCTTTTTTTAACTTTCACGATAAGAAATTCGAAAATAACATCATGATTTCATTGAAACTCCATAACAGAAATTTAATTTTATTACTTTAGATAGAAGTAATGAAAATTTATGAATACTGAACAGAGAAAGAGAGAGAGAGAGAAAGAGACGAGCTAACAGTAGAAAGAGAGTAAAACTTGCACAAGAATGTTAAGGATATTGCCAATCAAGCATATCTTATCCATCCTTTAAGTTTATTATATCACCTTATAATATTGAAAATTGAGAATTATCCCAATATTAGTTGGATAATTGTTCTAATTCTATTTACATTTGCTAATAAATTATCAAGGAAGTATACATTAAATGAGTAATTCAAGGTATTATTTCTAAGGGACTATTATTAAATAACTTTATATCATTTTTCTATTATAAATAATTTATGCTTTGTAACCTTTTTCTGAAGAGGACTCTCTCATTATACCAGATCTAATATCGTAAAGAAAAAGTCAACATAGTATAGCCGACTTTCTAGTTAAGAACCGTATAACTAGCTAATAAACTAGATTTACAAGTTGGCATCAATCTAAGTCCTTATTTTCTGAATTAACGTTACCGGAAATGACAAATATATTTAGCAAATGTCACAAATTGTTAACAAGAACCTTTTGCTGATAAAGAGAAGTCTGTTTTTTTTATTAAAATTATAAGAAATAAAAGAAGAAGGCTTTCTTTGATAAACTTTATTCGTTCGATAAAAATATAATAAAAAGAAAGATTCTCACATTTCAATCTAGCAACTAGCCTAAGGGTCTAATTAGGCTATGCTTGACAAAGTTTTGTACTCTTAAGTAGAGTTAAATAAGGGATATCTAGTACTCCTTTATGATACAAATTCAACGTTAATCTCGAAACAACTTTGAAGCTCTATAAGAGATTATGAGATAAGATGCACTTAGTTCGTCTCTCCCTTGGGTGCTTTCAAATAGGCAAATCTTTTTAATAGATATTTAGTATCGGGATTCACCCTATTCTTTAAACTCTGTGCTTTTTTTTGCAGATTTATTAGATGGAAGTCGTCTACCGTCGCTTGGGAGTCTTTCCATCAAGCAACAAGAAAATTATCCGCTAGATGGCATACGTGAAAAGAAAAGATCGTGTTGGAAAAGATTAACTGCCCAGAACTTTTTTAGCTTTCTAAGAAGAGGAAAAATTTGCGGTAGACCACTATATAGAATGAGATTCGGTTTGGGAAAGTAAAAAAGATAAATATCATCATTAGCAACAGCTTAATTAATATTTTAATTTATTCAAATGTTTCATACACAAAAATAATTCTGAACAGTTTAAGAAAAAGAATCATATTTAAAGAGAAAAACATTAAAGTCTATATAAATTTTAGCTTTTCACTGTTCTTCTCTGCCATTTACAAAGAGATCAAAAATGTTATTTTTCTGTCTGTTCAATAGTTTCGATGTTGTCATGATGAAATAAAAAATAAATTATGTGCGTACTCTGAATTCCTAATAAAAGAGAAAATGAAGAAAAATTACAGACGTTGAATATTCATTTCATTAAAAAATTTGCATATTAATTAGAACAAATAATAAATCATTTAGGAGAGTGGAAAAGGTAAAATTGTAAACAGTGAAACCGTATAAATATACAAACATATATGGATAAGAAGATAAAGGATAAGCGAAAAAATTAATCAATTATTCCTAATAGGGAAAATCGTCCACTTTCGTTCTTCCTTGCCCTTGATCGTATGGAAAAATTGTTTATCTATGTCTAAACTGTCACATTTGACCGAATCAAGAAAAAAAATCGGTTAATTTTCTACCAAGATTGTTTAAATAAACGATTTTTATCTCTTATAAAAATATTGTATCAATTACGTTCTTTTTAATATAATAACAGGGCGAAAGTGAGTAAATATAAAAAAAAGGTTAGAAAAGAGAGAGCAAAAGAGAGAGAGAGAGAGAGAGAGAGTAAAAAGAAGGAATGATGAATTCTCAAATGGAATAAAAAGTAATTAAAAAGTCATTTATTTAAAGAAATATTAAGTAATATTACGCTGATGGTGGTAACTTTTGTAACATTTTTCTTTTATTGCGCTTCTATAAAAGATCTGTACAAGAATAGAAACAAGATAAAAAGAGATAGGTCGGAATAAGTTTAACTAATGTTTCTCTTTCTCTTTTTCATATTATCCTGTTTGATTCTACAAGAATTATTTTTTGCAAGTAGAACTTATTGATCTTCTGACCATATATGAATGTCTAAATGTAGTATATGCATTATACAGTATATATACAATATATGTAGTATTCTGTATTGTAAATAGACGTATATGTTCTATATTTATTATATTTTTCGTATCAAGATATATTAATACAGTATATGTATGTACAATAGATACAGATGGATATTATTGGGGATTTTTTAATGAAATAAAACTGTTCATATTCTGAATAAATCTTCATCGTCTACGTGAACACTTTGACGGTTAAAGTTAAAGCTACTTTGTTCCGTTTGAAAGCTAACACATGGGCTATAAGGGCTACCTCCAGCCGAGTTGAAAGCGGCAACTCTAGCTTTGTAAACTGTTCCGTACAGGAGGCCATCTACCGTACAAACTCTATCTTTGCCTGAGTAAACTTTATGGAAGTTTTCTCCTGATCCGTCATCCAATTCTAGTACAAAATTGTCGGCTTGTGCTAACCAGGCAACCGTTACGCTATTACCCTGAACTGAACATCGATTTCTTACAATTTTAGGTGATTTGGGCGGTTGGAGGGGAGTAAATTTAATATTTTCTACAACTTCAGTTACTGGATGAAGATCAACTGCAATGTCAAATTCAGTGGCTACAGTTTCCCTGTCAAACTTCTTAAGGAAGAATCTTTCCGCCTCGGCAGCTCTGCACATCATTGGAGATGCCGTTTGAAGAAAGGCAACTGAATCACTCTCCTTTAATAATTCGATGGAAAATTGTATAAAACCGTTAGTCTTTTGTAATTGCCTTTTGCAGTCAGTCGCTCGATCCCTTAATTGCTGTAATTTAACTTCCCTCTCTTTGGCAATCTGTTCGACTAGTTTATCCCTTTTAGTGGTTATCGACCTCATCAAACGATCAAACTGCTCAACTAGATTGGCTTGTAATTGGTAGGCGTTCGTTTCGATTTCATTCTCTGCACTCTTCAACCTTTGACAAAATTCGCTGGCTGTCTTTGCCTTTTCGCTTAGTTGTTGTAATCTTAGCGATAATCGATTCTGTAATGGTGTAAAAAGATTATAGGGTTTGAAAAGCTGATAGGGGGATTTAAACGCCTGTTTGCCATAAGGGCTACAACCTGGACCCCGGTATCATCCAGTTTGTTTGTGGAACGCGGAAATCTCATTAAATCGGCGCCGCCCGGTCTGTAAACGGTCGCGTATCTTATTTTCGGTACAGACAATTGGGCGCCTTTTTTTCTCACCCAATACCCCACTTTTTTATTTCTTTATTTATATATTACAGGGGAGTTTTTTTTATTCTTCTTTCTTTGCAGTATATCTTTTTTTTCTTTTATTCTTCTTTATGAATATAAATAGCATTCATTTAAAAGAAGAAGAAAGATCTTCTGCACAAACTTGCCCACCCGTATTATAATCTAATATCTTTTCCACATAAAGAGCACCTAAACTATTTTTCTCAAAGTGTACTAGAATAGCAAATAGAGTACATATTTGAATGCATTTATATAGTTTGTATACAATATACAGTCGCTTACAAACACGCATACAGACACGCACATACTCAGTTTCAGTATATACTCTCCCCTCTCACTGTATGCATACATATGTTTTATTTATAAACATATGTACTCAAGCGTCTATATTCATCTACCAAAACATATTAAATGTTTTTTTTGTACAATTGTATATATGTGCTTTAAGCATACTATAACTGCAATAATAAAAAAGCGACGGTCTTTGTATATATACACATATATATATATATATATATATATATATACATAACGCTTTTCTCATGTCAAAAGTTAAGTTTATTTACGGTAGTTTACGTGACAATGTACGGTTTTTTTCTCTTGAAGTAAAATGAGAATTTTAGCTTTGTAAAATGAGAGCAAAAGATTAAGTACTACCGTACAAATACTAGGGTATATTAATATATACGTTTACGGTATGCTTGCTTTACTTAAATATTATAGAATAGTAGTACATGAGATTATTAAAAATGACAGATGGCGCTCCAAGGCTGTTTTTTGACACCTCTCCTAAAAAAAAAGTAAAAGGAAAAGAATTATCAAAGGAAAGTAAAAGGCGAGAAAGGGGGGGAAAAGTGAAAGTATAACGTAGAAGTAACGCTATCCAGCCGGTCCTTTATTCTTCGCCAAACTGCCATATGGCCGTTAAAAATTTAGGCCTAGTTATAAAAGAGGGAAAAGAAAGTTAATTTTATTTTTTCTAATTCAAAACAAACCCCTATCTGTGCATAAAAAACATTAACTGTTTAACGTCTCTTTTTGTTTAATTAATGAAGCCAATAATACAAAATTAAACAAGTTCTTTTGATGAGGATAGAGCGAGAGAGAGAGGAGGAAAAAGAGACGGTCTAGTCTCTTAATTTCTTTTATCTGCTCTACTTTTTCTTTTTTTTTTTTTACTAAACGCGAATTAGATTGATAGATAGGAAGGAAGATAGTAAGAGTACAGGTTAACGATCTAGGGGGAAAGCATAAGCGTTTGATTATGTATGTATATATATCTACCGTTCCAGAAAAACATCTAAGATTGCGAGTACTCTTTTGATAGAATATAATAGGAGAACTATAGTACGATTGTAGTAATTGATTAATTATCTATTGCCGTGAATGGTTTGAGCTGGAAAAGAGGACATCCATTTATGTCATTAATTTCCAAGCTGAATGAAATAATTGAATCAAGTAGGCTGCCGCTTCTGAATGATTTTAGAATAAGAGAAAACTGACGGTTACAGAAATAGAGCAGAATCGTAGCTTTTTATCCCTTGTGACCCTAAAAAGCATGCTTTTTAGCACGGCGGGTGATAAATACGCTTGACAAACTACGACAAACATTCTATATGGCGCCATTCTGTCTGGAATCGTCTCAACGGACGCTTTCGTAAATTCTTTCCATCTATCTATCTCTTTCTTTCGTTTCGTTTCTTTTATTCTTTACTATATCCAATCTCTTCTCCATTCTAATTGGAACGAGATGTGGAATTGGTAGATTAGTCGAATAGATAAGATAGAAAGGGGTGAGAATTGCGATAATACGCTCAACTCCCCAAATGCACATGTGCGATTGCATAACTTATTTGACGATATACGCAACAAAAGCAATATATTTACATCCACCAAAGGAATCCTGACTTAATTGGCTTTCGACAAGTTTCTAAAATGACCAACAAACTTATCGCCCCTTCACATCAAACGTTGAGAAGAAAGACGACTTTTTAACTTACTACAATAGATTGTCAAGTTCGGTTAAAGAGGTGGAAGTGTTATAAGGTAGGGGGTATTTCGTTAAAAAAAAAAGGAACGCCCAGAAAAAATACTTTCTTAAAAAACAAGCGAATAGGGAATTCATCACTTCAAAGAACTAGAAAAATCTTAAATACATATTAGGCCTATATTTATGGCACAAAAATTCTTTCAGTTAGAAGGTTTGTAGAGGAATTCCAAGAGGGGGGCGTTTCTTTATTTCCACCCTAGTTAAGAAGAAGCGAATATTTCAATAAACCGTCTGGTAATTGACCTCATATTACTAACAGAATTCAATAGGCTTTTAACGGTCGAAAAGAAGTCTGGAGGACGTCATAGCAACGCTTGTTGACCCTTACAAGATTCTGACACGTGACAATTTGTTTTTAAATAAAAATTTCCCTAATTTAACTCCCAAGGCTCTCAAATATGTTAAACCTGTTTACATAAACAAAAAGGATGTGTACGAGCGATAGACGTAATACCTTTCTGCACTAGATTCCACACCTGTAATAGGCCTAAGTGATGAGGTGGGTGGGGGGGATGGAAGCATTGATAGGAGCGAATGAAAGTGAAAAAAAAAGAAGAAAGCTAAGGCAAAGACATAAAGGAAGTAGAAAGTTATTTAATAGTGAACGAGATAAAGTGTTGTCATCTACTCAGATTTCCTTTTCTTATTTGATGGCAAAGGTAAGGTTCTATAGGAATCTTGTTATTATTATTTTTTTTAATATCTAGGCCTACGAACTCCAGTTATCTCTGTTAATCAAACACAATAATTACAGGCATATATAAATATATGCAATCTAGAATATACACTGATTCGATTAATCCGCTTTATGGAAGCGGCGGCGCCCAAATGTCTGCGAGAACGGAGCTTTTTGGCGCCGAAAGCGAGAACGAATTGAAAAAAGTCTTTCGGATGAATACTTTTATCGAATCGGTAAATAGACGAGGCCGAGATAAGCCACGATCTTGAAATTTTTTGTTATATATATTTATATATAAATATATATAAATATCAAAATTTTCTATTCATCTAACAATAGTACGGTACCGTGTAAATTAGCATGTAATTTTCAAAAACTGTTAATTATATGGTCTATTCTATTTTTCAAGATCGTGGGTGAGAAATTTTCCTTTTTCAATAAGAAAAGAAATCTCTCCCCTACCTTCCTTTTTTTTTTATCTTCCATATTATTTATATATTTATAAGGACGCAATTATTAAGCCTTTTACTTGAATAAGAATTGCAAGCAACCCGCATTCTCCTTTTGTTAAACGACAGCATAAATAGGAAGCAATTATAAATTCATATATCATAAACCGTCTTTTCTCTCTGTCGATTTTCTAATTCCCAATAGTAATCTTTCTATTAGATTGCGAAAACAAAGATCTGGACAAGATTGATATGATAGAATGAATAAGTTAACTCATTCCCTCCACTATCGTATTAATTTACCATTAAAAATAGTCTAGCCTAAATATTAACTCATTTTTCTTTGAATATATTTATTTTTAGATGCTTTAAAGGAAATGATTCATACTTTTATAGTTAAGCTAAGAAAGATAATCTTAGATTCATCTTCTAATCTCCCTTTTTTACTTACTCCATACTCTTAGTGTTCTCATACAAACTCTATACAATATATATTGTATGTATATATTCATATACATTATAAAAGATTTTTTATTATCTTGTCAAAACCAAATACGACAACTATATTTACTATTAAATACTACAAGTAGTAGCACCCGTATCACTTTGTTTTCTATCACGTGACTTATTCAAATTCTACAAAAGTCGATTATTAGCCTAAAATTTTTATAGACTTCCGCAAAACAAATATATTAAAGTTTATGCCCAACGTAGATAAACGACTTTAAATATATAGTATATATCATTTATCGTATTGATTTTTTCGTTACTTTATGCACACTTTTAATAAGTATGCACTTAAAATATATACAGCTCCATACCCTATACATACAGCCAGACGTACGTATAACATATATACAGTTAGCAATTCGCTTATATACACTATATATATATATATTAAACAAGAAACATGACTGCCATCCTTCACACCAAAAAAATCAAACAGTATATATATATAATACATTGTAATCTACTTATAAAGGGTAAAATTTAACCAATAGATTAATGATCGTTCTTTTATAAATTGTAAGTTTTAATAAAGAAAAAGAAAGAGCTTTTCTCTTTCGAGTATGAACTCTACTTTTACAATAACTATATAGGAAACAAATACAGTGAAAACTAGTGATTCACCTAGTTTATAGTACAATTACGAATATAACCTCTTTAGACAAGAATGATTAAGAAACGCCCGATAGTGTAGGCATTAGGTTTCAATTGACTTATTACTCGTAGAATATTTTTTTTGACGTCCCGCCTTAATTTATACTGGAGCGTTTCCTTTTAAGGGAAATTGAAAAGTTCTCTCTTTTTTGAATGTTTATATTAGATATTTAGTACGAAAAATAAATTTATCCCTCTTTATTAAATGATTAAGAATTACGTAATTGGGTTTATATGAAACATTTCACAGAGATAGCAGCTGCTTGCACGCAAATTTCATCGATTTCTTTTACCAAATGTTTGTCACCTGACTAACCGTAATGCTTATATCTATATATACTTACATTATGTACATAAATATATAATATAGGTAACGCTTTACAAAAGAATAAGTTTGAGTAATCTATAAAGAATATAATAGTGACCCGTCACTAGATAAAAAAAACCGGGTATATAATAGATAAACATGTGTTAAGAGCACAATTGAGTTAGGGAATTAGGAACCACTTATAGATATATTATTATTATTAATAAATATAACAATAATAATAATAATAATATAATATTCTCAATTGCATTTCTCTTAAATAACTAGCCTGACGCGTTGAAAAATGACTAAGCGCATTAAAAAGAAATCACAACCTTTTGAGCCTTTGACGCATTGCCAATCGGTACCGATTCGTGATCAATATGTCTCTGACAGCAAACCGAACATACCAGAATTTTACAGTCCATACAGTAGGTTGATAAAACTTGAGAATGTTCTTTGCAGTTTCCATCCTGCTTTAGTTTTAATACAGTTGAACCTTCGTTTGCAGCTATAAAGTTATGATTTGATAACGGGCCGCTGTTGGGATGGCATGCTTGCTTACAGGTTTTGCAGTAAAACACTTCACACTGTTCGCAAATGTCCGTTGCCTCCTCTCCACATATTTGACAATATTGCATATCGTCTTTTCTTTGTTTTTCTACTATTCTAGCTAAGGCTCGGTTCCTTGTCAGTGCCGCAGCCCCTTGCGAGGCGTCTAACCAAATCAGCCGCTTACAAACTGGGCATTGCAGTACTACTGTTGACTGTAGAGCCAATAGGCTAGCTGAATTTGGCGTACCAATGTAGCTATTCGGTCGGCTACTACAAATTATTCCAGAATCGGTTTCACTATTCAACGAGAGCTTATCAAAATCCTGTTGCTCAAAATCGGATTGTATAGCTGGAGATTGTAAGCCTACTGCACAAGCGAGGCAAATAGAATGGCCACAGTTAAGAAGAACTGGATTAGTATAGAATTTCTTGCAAATTGGGCACTTGAGCTCTTCTTCCATTATATTCTTATGTCTCTTCTTTTAATAAATCTATTATTTTCCTCTATGCGACATGAAAAAAGATACTCTCCACTTAAAATCCCAACATACCGCTATTGACCGCTGTTAGAGAGTGAATAAAAGTTAGTTGACGATTTTCGATTGCGCATGGTGGCGCTGTTGCAAATACTATTAGTCCTTACTAGATGGCGAATATCTACGGGTTGTATCGGGTGTATACCCGCAGGGTTTATTCCCTATAGAATTTATTATACAGCTGTTTTCCTTTATTTCTAATGTATCTAAACTGGGGATTAATTAATTATAGGATTTTCAATAGTAAACATTGGAAGAAGAAAACAAGCTTGAATATTCCTTTTCGTATTATTTAAAGTAGAGAAAAATTAATTTTCAACTAAAATTAGCTATCATTATGCACTAATTGCTTCAAATACTCGAAATACTAAGGGCTTACTTCCTCTTCTTAAGTCCGCATATTACTATCGATTAATTAATCATTAGCATATTGCGAAAAGGGGAGAAAAAAAAGGGTTTCAACGATAATCTTAGTCCAATTGCTTCCTGTTCCTGTCTCTCTCTCTCTCTTTCTCTCTGTGTGTGTGTGTGTATCTGTGTACTCCACCCGTCCCTCACTTTTTACTCTAAAAATAACGAATTTATCCTATACTTAAATCTAATATACATATATATTAAAATATTATCGTAATTCTTGATGGTTTATATTTGTATTTTTTATAGTTTAACCTATTTCCTTCTGGTTGGATTCTTATTTCTATATGTAAATTACTTTGATTATTTCAATTCTTTGTAAACAATTTATGCTGTGTACCTATACCATTCACTTAACTAATAAAATGACTAACTCCTTTGTAATAGCAAGGAATAAATATGCAAATTATACTCATATACATATATATATATATATATATTGTATATAAGTACAATAGTCAAATACTTGTAAACTGTATAATTTCTCTTGATATTTATAAATATGTTATTGAAACTTATAATGGTCTTTTCTGTACGAAAAATTTTGTTTTATATGATTTTAAGTACACATTCTAACTATTTTGTCACCTTATACGTTTCTAACAATTCTATATTTACCGACAGATGGCATTTATTTTACAACTTTTTTAACATTTTATGCATCATTATTGAAATAAGGAAAAGTAAGGGAGAGGGCAAAGAGAGGTGAAATAAGGTAATTTGAACTCAATACTTTTGTTTATACGGTCAACGTATACACAAGGAAAGTTTTTTTCATACCCCTCTCTCTCTCTCTCTCTCTCTCTCTCTCTCTCGATATACCTGGCTTTTTTTGTTAGTTTATTTTTTCCATTAAAATTCTAGTACCGTAGAAAATTGGTACACGCTGAGACTTATCGACTCTAGATAAAGTCCCTCATTAATATTCATAGGGGGTGCTGATAAAACAAAAAAGAGAGAAGAGAGAGAGAGAGGGAGAGGAAAAATTTTAATTAACATTGTCCCATCCAAAGTTTTCTCTCTGATGACGACTCACATGATAAAAAAAGGGCAGAAGAGAGAGATAGGTGGATAGATAGCGCGAAGAATTTAGAGGGAGTATAGCATATCCAGAAGTGGTAAAGAATTAATTAGCGTGATATATCTGGTTAAAATCTCGCGTGGTCAAGACTGCTAGATCGATTTAAATTCGTAAATTTGCACATGAAATAGTTAACAGTACCTGATATTCTCATTAAACATAGATCATTAGTCGTATTTGATTGGCTGTTGATTTAAAATGTTTACATTAACGTGAATAAGACGAATGCAAAACATAAAATTGCCAACAACCAGAACGTTATAAATGCTGTATATAGAATATATAAATAAATATATATATATATATATAGAGAGAGAGAATTTTATATATAAAAAGATGATAAACTCATAGAAAAAGAATAAGAAAACTTTAATAACAATACATAAATAGTAGCAGTAATAATAAAGTTATATTCTTCCAATTCCCATTTAGAAATATACAAAAAAAAAGGAAAAGGGACTTTCTTACACTGTGAATAGTTAAATATAAATTTAGAATATAAGAATTTTTGGCAATTTTAACGCCGATTGCTTGACCTGAATGGGATAGAACCGATCGATTTAGTTTATTGTTCCTTTCCTTTTATTCTTAAATATTTTTTGAAATTGCTACTTTGCATTTTTTTTTGGATTTAAATTAATAAACAAATAGATATGTTTATAAATTTGCATATTTAATCTATTCATGGATCAAAATTTTTATAGTCCTTCCTACGATTTCTATTGTATATACGAGAATAAAACTTTTGGTTCAGGTACAAAACTACGGATACTTAATAGGTTAAAAAACCGGAAATCCTATAAAGAATGGACAGAAGGTGTTAAAGATGAGGAAAATAATTATAAAACTATTGGTTGTCCGCCCCTTGACAACCAAAATTTCCTTATAGAACTTAAAGAATGTTGTGAATGGGTCGTTAAATGCTGCGGGAGGTGGAAAAGTTTGCGGTTGGATTCCTCTTTGGAAAATTCTTTAGTAATAGAGAGATTGACGGAAGAATAAATCCATTATGTATTTGTTTTTGAATGTTATTAATAAATGGAAATATTTATTCTTTCGTCAAATTTCTGATACTTACAATTGGTTTAATAATAATTATTCTATTGATTGTTATCTATTATATATATTTATGGAAATATTCGAAATTAGAAGCAAATATTGAAGAGAAAGCCATAGCATTAAAATTATCTAATGAGTTGAAGAATAATTTAAATAGTTTCGTTACTCAACAACAAACTATTGAATTATTACGAGAAGTAAAGGCGAATATACGAAAGAAAGCAGGAAAATTAAAGAGAAATAATGAACTATTACTAATACCTGAGGTAGAAGAAAAGGACTAACTAAAAACTATTTAAAACAGATTAATCATGAAAAGATCATTTTTTGTATACCTTATTCTTAAAATTCAATCCTTTTCAACTAGTTTTTCTCTCTCTCTCTCTCTCTCTCTCTGTGTATATTATGCCCTTATTTTTTTATAAGAGAAGAGTACCTTTTTTTTTACATAAACTAATATTTAACACCTGGCTTATCACATAATATTTTTTTATATACAAGATGCGGGTTAGCAAATATGTTATACAGCAAATATCATTGTTAACCCTTTTATAGGTAAAAAGGGAGAGAAATGACAAATGCATTTGTTTAGAAAGAAACGTTTTATAGAAAATAGCGAAGAGAAAGAGAAAGAATAGAATACAAATGATCTAGAAATGAAAGGAAGGAAATATCGGTGGGTGAGTAAAGGGAATTGGAAGAAAAAGCATAGATTTAATAAATAGAATAATTTAGATAGTATAATAAAATCATTAGCAAATATTTAACGTATGGTGGCAGGTTAACGACGTAAAAGTTCTATAAATATTTTAACTCATCGTTCATTTGCCTTTCTTGTAAATGGGCTTAAATGTTTATTAATAACAATAATTAATTTACTCTCTATAAATAAGGGATTAAGAGATATATCTAATCAATCTAATACAATTAAGAAGGGGTACAAACATTTGTGTTTGCATATTATAGTACTTTTATTGTATATTATATATAAAATCTATTTAGAGATATTTATATAGTATACGCTTTGTATATTTATATATATCCCATATATTAATTAAGAAAAGAATTTGTATTAATCTAAAAAGATTCATTTTTAATTTAATAGAGAAATTTAAACTTTTTCTATAAAAAGAAATGCAATGAGAAAGTAGATAAATTAATTAACTAATTATTAATTAACTTATGCATAAAAAAACCAGCATCATATTTATTTCATATTAATAATTGTATTTTTTTTTATACCAACTTTTCAAGCTTTTACGAAATCAGAACAATCGATATATTAGTATAATATATATGTAGATATATACTGTACATGTGTACCAGATATTTTCAAAGAAAAACAACATATAACAACAACAATAATAATTATTCTTTTCTAATAATTTGCATACTACTAATTTACATATGCATATAATTAATTTTGTCTTATTTATTTCCTTATTTCTTGTTCTTTTTACTATAAACTATTACAGTTCTTACAATAGACGATTATTTTTATAACTGTTATAGAGAAGTTTATGTTTTATTTTATTATGTAATTATATACAAAAATGATGTAATAAAAGGAAACATGCTTAGAGATTTAATGAAATCGTTTCGATCAAATTTTAGCTATATAAGTTAGACTGTTAAAAAAGGCCATAAATATCTTTTACGATAATACTCTTTATAAGTAAAGAAAGAAAATAGAGGAGGAGAACATTTTTATGATACGGTAGAGGGCGCATCTAATAGCGAAATGGAAATAGTGTTGAATGGAAAGAAATAAGGGGAGGGGAGGAAAGAAGAGACAGTCTAGAATAAATAAATACATTTCAATTTCTATTCTTTTTTATTGTTTTTTTTTTCTTATCAATGGTAGCGTATTAATGAATGGAGGAGATTGTAAACTCTTGTTATTGTTAGTTTGCTACATAAAATTTGGATTGTCTATATTACAGCATGCACAAAAGCACGATCTTAGAAAATGTCTTCTAAAAACGTGGGACATGAAACCGTAAATAATTGGATTGAAGGCGCTATGAGCAAAAGCCAAACATGAGACAATAGTTTTCAGAAGAGGCACTATTGGTCCACTTATTAAATTAAAATCTTCGCATAGCCTAAATACGTATGAAGGTGTCCAACAAATTATAAATACAGTTATAATTACAAACACCAATTTTGTAATTCTAACGCGACTTTTAGTCGTTCTTTGTCCTGTTATAGACTTAGCTTCGGCTCTAGTACAGGAAAATGATACTCTCCTCCATAAAGAATTTGCCACTAGAGTATAGCAGATGGCAATAATTAGCAAGGGCATCAGATAGTAAAAGAGAAATTGAATTATATGATGAATTCTTCTCTTTTCAACATTTGATTTTTCAACGCAAGTACTCTCTCCGTGTGTTGCAAAAGTTTCGTACTCTCTTCTATCCATATCATAGATGACTAATAGTCCACTTACAATCCATATACAAACGACAATAGCAACAGCATTCCTTTGACATCT